AAATATGTACACAGGAATTGTAAGCAAGCTTCAAAGGCTTTAATTGCCTTTAAGGAAAGAAATACTACTGGAGACAAACTGGAGCATTTTATAGTGATTAATGTGTGACTATATTGGGAAGGTATAAAAATATGATGCATGTGCATTCTACAAAAGAACCCCCAAAATACATAAGGCAAAATGAACACAGTTGCAAGGAAAAATCAATAATTTTACAGTTGGGAAGGTCAGTCTTCCTCTCTGAGTATTGATAAAATAATTAGATGGAAAATTAGTAAGGATAAGGAAGAGTTGAAGGTCTGGTGTGATGGCCTAGTATGCTAATCCTCTGCCTATGGCATCAGCATCTCTTATGGGCATGGGTTTATGTCCCAGTTGTTCTACTTCCAGTTCAGCTGTCTGCTTATATGCCTGGGAGTGCAGCAGAGAATTGCCCAAGTGCCTAATCCCCTGCACCTGTGTGGGAGACCTGGCAGAAGCTCTTGACTTCCAGTTTTGTACTAAATCAACTCTGGCCTTTGCAGCCATTTGGGAAGTGAACCAGCAGATGGAAGATCTCTCTGTCTTTTCTTCTCTCTGTATAGCTCTGATTTTCAAGTAATAAATAAATAAATCTTTTTTAAAAAGGATTTATTTATTTTTATTACAAAGTCAGATTACAGAGAGGAGGAGAGACAAAGAGGAAGACCTTTCGTTCAATGATTCACTCCCCAAGTGATCACAAAGCCACTGCTGAGCCGAAAGTCAGGAGCCAGGAACCTCCTCCAGGTCTCCCACACAGGTACAGGGTCCCAAGGCTTTGGGCCGTCCTCGACTGCTTTCTCAGGCCACAAACAGGTAGCTGGAAGGGAAGAGGAGCTGCTGGGATTAGAACCGGTGCCTGAAAGCAGCAGAGGATGCCTCAAGTGCTTGGGTCCTTGCATCAGTATGGGAGACCTGGAAAAAGCTCCTGGTTTGGCCTGTCCTAGTCCTGGTCATTGTGGTCATTTGGAGAGTGAATCAGTGGATGGAAGTTCTCTTTGTCTCTGCTTCTATCTCTGTCATAAATAATTTTAAAAGATGAGTTAGAGAAGAGGAAGAGACAGAGAAAATGATGAGAACAAAATCTTCATTTGGAAAGCTGGTGTCGTCTTCTGCAGGGATTAGTACCTGGAGTGAGCTGACATGCAGAGGATGAGAGGTACACAGAAGTCACATCTTTGTCTTCCGTTGGGTGGCTGCCATGATGACCTGTGACTTGGTGACATTCAAATTCACTGTGTACACCTGGTCCCGTGTCTGGATCCTTGGCTGCTTGGTCCCTCTCTCCATCAGACATACAGCCAGCACCGTCCACAAAGGTCAGTTATCTGGCCAGCAGCTACTCAAAGCCTGAGCCACAGCCCATGATGAAGATGAACCTGTCTCAGATGTGGCCCCCACCTGGAAGCAGCTCAGGGGTTTCCCGTAGCTCCCCTTCCTGGGGACCTTAAATGAGTTGCTGTCTTTCTCTTTCCCCTTCCATGATATCTCCTAGTTTGCCTTCAAAAATCTTTTGCTGGCATTACTTCATTTTTGCCTTCTGATTGGAACATATCCCAGACCATGAAATTTTTTCTTTTTTTTAAGATTTATTTATTTATTTTATTGGAAAGTCAGATATACAGAGAAGAGGAGAGATAGAGAAGATCTTCATCCTCTGATTCACACTCCAACTGACTGTAATGGCTAGAGCTGAGCTGATCCAAAGCCAGGAGCTAGGAGCCCCTTCCAGGTCTCCCACGTGGGTGCAGGGTCCCAAGACTTTGGGTCATGCTTGACTGCTTTCCCAGGCCACAAGCAGGGAGCTAAATGGGAAGCAGGGTGCCAGGATAAAAAATGGTGCCCATGTGAGAACCTGGCTTATGCAAGGTGAGGACTTCAGCCACTATGCTACCGTGCCAGGCCCAAGATTTTTTTTTTTTTTTTTTTTACTAACACAATGTTTTTCCTTCATTATCTTTCTGGCTCTGTGTCAGAAACTGGAAGGAACATTTTGTTATCATTCCAGGTTTGGTTTTAACCTTCTTGGTATGTGTTTGTGCAAATGCAGAAGCAACGTGTGCTGTTGTTGTTCAAGAATGTCTTGTGCCAGTTGTAGTTCTACTGCCTTCAAGTTCCTCCCACCTCCCCTCATTTTGGTAGATTCACTGGAAGTGGGTGAATTTGCTGTGACCTAGAGGGAAGGCAGGTGTGTCCCACAGTAGAATAGGAGGCCTGGAAGGCAGGTGATCACTGTCTCGGCATGGAAAGAGTCAGAAATGGGGCCAAGCAAGACAGATTAGAAGATTGGTGAAACCAGACCATTCTTAGAAACAAAAGTAGCCAATCTTACACCATCCTCAACTTTAAAAAAAAGACATATGAATATATTATATATATATATATTTTAAGATTTATTTTTATTATTTTTTCATTGGAAAGGCGGATACACAGAGAGGAGAGACAGAGAGGAAGATCTTCCGTCCGATGATTCACTCCCCAAGTGAGCGCAACGGGCCGATACTATGCCGATCCGAAGCCAGGAGCCTCTTCCGGGTCTCCCACAGGGTGCAGGTTCCCAAAGCTTTAGGACGTCCTGACTGCTTTCCCAGGCCACAGGCAGGGAGCTGGAAGGGAAGCGGGGCTGCTGGGATTAGAACTGGCGCCCATATGGGATCCCGGGCGTGCTAGGCGAGGACCTTTAACCACTTGCGCCACCGCGCCAGGCCCTATATTATATATTTTTACATTTTTCTTTTTTATTACACATTACTATTATTATTTTATGCCGCTGTTCCATAGATGAATTTATTTAATTGGGAAGGCAAATACAGAGAGAAAGAGACAGAAAGATCTTCCATCTGCTGGTTCACTCCCCAAATAATTTCAATGGCCGGAGCTGAGCTGATCAGGAACCAGGAGCCAGGAGCTTTCTTCTAGGTCTTCCATGTGGATGCAAAGGCCCAAGGGCTTGAGCTACCCTTTCCACTGCTTTCCCAGGCCGTAGGGGGAGCTGGATCGCAGAGTTACACCATTGCACTGCCCCCCAACCCTCAACTCTTAGTGATGATTCCAAATTCATGTTCCCAACTAACTGTACAGGCTACCACTTCCATAGCTCTGTCCCAGATGACATGGCTTTTATGCTTACGCAGGTTTTACCACCTTCCCGCCATAGCGGAGCACGGGAGGATAGAGAGACCCCCTCCACACCACTCTGGGCTCTGCCCAGATGCTTCATCATGCTGGGATCCCCTTGTGCTCTGCCACATTCCAAAGGTGCCAGAGAGTGAGTCCTGATCTCTGCTGCCCTGGGAACCCTCACTCCCCAACCCTTAAGACTTGCCCTTTTTCCGTATCAACCAGAATGAATCTCCTTGTCTTTGGGGGGAAAGGCACTGCTTCTCTGAGATATATGGACACTTAACAGAAAAATACAGAATAATGGACACATATAAAAAATCACTATCTCAAATATGACCCAGGAATGATATCCTCCTAGTGAAGGTTCTGTATCTTCAACTAAGAAAATTAATCTTTGGTCTATGTCACCTTCTCAGAAGTGCGCAAGTCTGACTTGGGAATTTTCCAAGGCAGTAGGCACTGTGAGTCTCCAATGCTCTCATTCCATCCCATCATTAAGTAATTCATGGCCACAGACTCCCTTTGTGATTCAGGAGTAGACTAACCCAAGCCAACTTGAGCCAGTTTCTGGATCCTGTGAACATTATCTTACATGGAGAAAAAGTCTTAGCTATAGATATCATTAAGACTCATTTTGTTACTTTCCAGTTCAACCAGATGTTCAAGACACACGAGTGAAAGATATTTTAATTAAAATAATTCACATGTGATCTTCATGGCATGATCATTCATCAAGATCAAAAAAGTCCTTTCAAAAAAAAAACTTGAGCCAAGAGTTTAAGACTTTGCCTTAAGCTTAGTTCTGGTACTTATTTGATGATGTCACTAATTTAAGAAATTGATTCTCCAACAATTAAAAAAAAAAAAAGAATCTCAGGTCTGGGGATCTGAACTCATGAGTTCTGTGCCCTTCTCCTGGCCCAAGAGCTGTTGGGCCTTGGGTGGACCCCTTGTTCTCTGAGGGTTACTTCTGTGAAATTCTCAGTGGCTCCCAAGTGCCTTAAGTCTTCAGAATCATCTAGGTGCATTCTGCAAGCACATATTTCTGGACGAAGATGGCACGCCTGGCGACGGTCCCAGGAGTGAACAACGGTGGCAGGCTCCACTGTCAGGGCCAGCCAGCAACACCTCTGTACGCCACTGGCTGCCTTTCCAGGTGCTCAACTCTTGTCCCTGCAAGTGTTACTGCCACCACCAGGCGTGCCATTGCCGCCTGCCACCCAACGTATCTGCCTGGTGAGTGGAGGTGGTAGGGCGGGGAGGACAGGGCAGACCCTTACCAAACCTTAAGTCCTTTACAGCCCTTTGGCACCCCACCCTAGACCCTCCTCTTGGCTGCATCTGAAACCTAGCTCAGCTCCAGTCCTTCACAATCTAGACATGCCTTGGGCCTACCCCCATCCCTGACGGGGAGACAGCCATTTTCTTTTCTTTTCTTTTCTTTTCTTTTCTTTTCTTTTCTTTTCTTTTCTTTTCTTTTCTTTTCTTTTCTTTTCTTTTCTTTTCTTTTCTTTTCTTTTCTTTCCTTTTCTTTTCTTTTCTTTTCTTCCTTTCTTTCTTTTTCTCTCTCTCGTTCTCTCTTTCTCTCTTCCTTTCTTTCCTTCCTTTCTCTCTTTCTCTCTCTCTCTCTCTCTCTTTCTTTCTTGGCTTACTGAATCCGATTGTGCTGACACTGGGAGCCCCTCCAAATCAAATGATGCTGAAAACTACTGGGTGATGATATCCCAATCCCTATAAACATTTACTTTCTGATTCCTGTTTTTTCTATATCTGTTTATTCTACCCACAAGACTTATGTTGAAACAAAGCACAAAATCAACAATTAAAAAAAACATGAATTCAACTTTACACTCTCTTCATCCACTCATCCAGCACCTACACTGTGCCTCCAAGGTAGTAGGCACTAAATAAATATTTGATTATTTCGGCAATGGTGAGCAAAAACATGAATGCTATTTCACGTGGATCCCAATTAACTACAGACAGAGAAATCTTTAGCAAGAGAAAGCAGACTTTAAACTATTGTCTGGTGCACTCTCTCACTCCCAGCTGCGCTGCTGGGCACTGCAGGAAAAGGTCATATGAATGAGGTTAGTGCATGATTCAGGACCCAGGAGGAAGGTGGCTGAGAGTCTCCGATGGCTGGATTCTCCCACGATGTCTCCACGATGGTGGCAATGGGTCATGATCCAGCACGAGCTGATTTCTCATTTGTTGACTTTTCCGAGTCCAGAGAGAGCCCTAACCCATCTGGGTGAGAGACTTCCTTTCTCTCTCCCCTTCTCGACACTCCACCAACTGACTCAGACACTGTCTGCTGGCCTCGGGAGGTATCGGCTAAGGATGAAATCTGTTATGGGGGTAGGCAGCTTGGCCAGGGGGATGTAGAGGAATTTGACATCCAGACCAGGGTTGTAGCGGGTACGGGGGTTCCGGGAGACGATGGCATGTTCCATGCTGTTGGTGACGTCCGTGATTCTTGGCTCTGCTGACCGCATCAAGTTTTTCAACTTCTTAGTATCTGTTTGAGGATAGGTGGGGAGGGGGAGGGACATTAAAAAGATCTGTTTATTCTTCATGGCAGGTGACTTCTTTCGAATACTGTCTCAGCTTGCTTTCCTTCAGATCCTGTGTCAATGTTACAGGTGATCCTTTCTCTCCCTCTCCCCCACCCCTGGGACTTGTCTTTTTTCTAAGCAACTTGTCAGATTATATCAAACCACTTCCTGTGTGTGGTCAATGTACATCAAGATTTTGCTGTTGCATTAGACCAGTGATGAGAACCGCGTGCCCAGTTCTTCCTATAACAGTGGCACTTACATGACCTTGACTTTAAAGGTCATAATCTGTAGAAGGGGGGTCCAGAAAACTTGGATGACTAGAATCAAGGTAAGCAATGTGAGAGGACAGGATAGCAAACGTGTCCCTGTGTGCCTAGAGAAATCAGAAAGGAGTGGAAGATATTGTAGAGTTGTTTGCTTTCCTTCTCTGTACTTTCCTGAATTTCTACATTTTTCTACATTTCTAAGTATAAAATTTTGAAAAATGGGATTAAGAAATAGAAATACTGGAGGATAGAAAATAGGCACCAAAACCCAGCTGGATAGAAGTAACAAGTTCAAGTGCTCTGTGGCACAGATCATAGTTCACATTAATGGATTGTACCTTGATATGTTGCTGCAAAGAGGAACTGCCAGGCTCCAGATATTTATAGAAGATAAGGGAATAGCAAGCTGGAGTGCCTTATACCATACAAATGTGTTGCAATATCACACTCTACTCCATAAAGCAAAACAACTTTTAAAAAAATAAATAAAATTAGATTAAAAACGAAGAAATGCTACTCCCAACTCAGTTTGGCCATGGTGGAGTCAAATGACCTAAGGTACGGGCAGGTGTCTTGGAAGGTGTTAGAGTCAGGAGGGTCTATTCTGAGCACCCTGGGTACACAGGCATGGGACTGCAACAGGGTTTCTGAGTGGGACCAGCCTGCCCAGGCTCCCAGCACAAATAGGAGACAGGCCACATAGCATCTTCATTCCTGCTTCCGGGGAAGAAAACTTGTATGCAGAAGATTCAAGGCTGTCCACTGCAGGTCCCCTAAGGAGTCAAGCACACGCAATACACACTACTTGTCAAACGTCAATGTCCTCCAACACTCTGTCTTCCCACCCTTGGCTTGCATGGAGTCTACCCTAGCAAGGCCGAGTGGTGGGGGACCTCTGTGAGAGGGTTTGCCTGGGTATTCGGGGCTCCATGCACCACTCAGGGACACAGCTAGTGGGGAGAGGGGAGCACCGGGCCCTGAAAGGTGCAGAGGATTCCACAGGTGACAGAAGGCATTGCACATGTGGACAGCAGGGTGGGGCACAGGCTTACACAGCACTTTCAGATGCTGATGGGCTCCTGTGCTTGGGCACCTGCTGGGCACGAAGCGGATGGTGATAGAAGTTCCTGTCTGCCTGTCACTCTACTAGGCATGAGTCAGATGACTGCTGCATCCTTAGGTTTGGGGGCCCAGGAAACTGGTGGTGGGTATCATCTTGGCTTGGATGGAGTGAGGCTTTTCTTCTTGAAATGCTGTTCCCTACATGCTGTAAATTCTTGCAAAGAGAGCTCTGGACATTAGAATTATCTGCAGGCCAAAGTGAGGAATTCTTGAGGTCCATCCAGAAACAAAGATAAGTGTAATTACTCAACCAAATCCGTGGCAAGGGGGACAATTTAGCAACATGTCCTCCTGGACTTCATGTCTCATCAGAGTTCAAAGCTGAGACATCAAACCAGGATGGCTGGGTCTGTACCTAGAACAGAGTTAATGGTGAGGTCCTGCCTGCCAGGTACTGAGAGAGCAGACAGAGCAGCCGGAAGCTGCTGACCCCTTCCTGCCACTGGCTTAGGACAGAGTCTCAGCACCAGAGCTTAGGGAAAAACAGGTTCCATGACCCATGTGACTCCTAGTCATTAAGGATAAGCACAAAAAGGATGCTCATTCAAATGTGGTGTGGGAGAGGGCTTCTGGGAGCTGGGTTGTGCTGGGGAACTGGAAGGAGGATGACAGGGACATGTTTTCACAGGCTGTCTCTGCGAAAGTGAAGTGTTTTTGAAGTTGAAAAAACAAACTTGCAGGTGGGTGCAGTGAGGGGTGGAGATGACCAAAGAGGTATGGGATATAGCCCGGCCTCAAAGCACCCTGAGACCCAAGCATGCTACTGCCCCATGCTTGGGAAGGGCTGTGCCAGGGCTGCCACCTTCCAGGGTGGGTAGCCTGAGGGAAGGACCTGTGTGCCCTGTTTGTGTGTGTGTGTGTTAGAGAGCTGCTGTTGTTGCAGTAAGGAAGAGGAGCCATCAAGAATGAATGCAAACCACAGAGCAAGAGAGCTGGTGCTGGAGGCATCATTCATTCATTCACTCATTCATCGGTTTAGAGAAAACATAGGGTGGGGCAGGGGTGGTGGCCGCAGACCTTTAGAGGACTCCCTAAAGGAAGTAATCTTCCGGTTTTGGATATCTTAAAATTCTGGGAGTCGAGTACTTTACAGAATGTCCTCTGCTTACTTCTCCCAGCTGGGAAGTGGCAGGGCTCAGACCTGAAACCTGGGAAGTCTGGCTCCAGTAACCATTGCTTCTTCAGTTGCCCCTCCATACTTAACACACTTGCGTGGGACTCACCTGTGTGATGGTCCTGCCGTGGGATTCCCCAAAACCCAGCAGCTATGGTGCCAGCACTTGTCCCCATTCTGGCACCCCAGTGTGGCCACTAGCTGTGTGGCCTGGACTCTGAACCCAGAGGACAGCCAACTTAAATGCCTGCCTGTCAGCAACCTCTTTTCCCCCAATGGACATCCCTGGCCCTCTCGCTTCCCCGCAGCTCACAAATGCGGAAGTACTCCTCGCCGTAGCTGTCGCGGGTCTGCTGAGGCAGCTTGTTCCACAGCTTGCGCATGCGCGCCTCCACACCCTCCTTGCCTAGGATGGAGGTCCGGTAGTTCCCCGGTTCGATGATGCTGACCTTCACGCCAAAGTAGTGGAGCTCACGCCTGGGGGAGAGAGGGTGGGGTGGGAAGTCGGGAAGTCAAAGTGCTGCACTCAGTCCCCCAGGGGGACATCCATTCCTCCTCAGGGACTGGGAATGCAGTTCCCTTCCTGGCTCAGGTATTCCATAGGGTTTGGCCCCCTCCCAAGGTGGTCCACTGGGGGCTGAGCAAGGAGTGCTGGGAAAACCTGGCAGGCCCAGAAAGAAATCAATAGTGAATCAAGGCTATGACCTTGACATCCACTAACCAGTACCTCCCACTCTCAGCTTCCTGCCCAATACCTCCCACGTGGCCCATGGGGTGAGATGGCTGCCTCCAGATCTCTTTCTGGGCTATGCCTGCAGGCCCAAACAGGGTTCTGCTCATTCTGGGTCAGTTCTGGAGAAGACCTGTCTGACAGGTCTTTAAATCACCCACTCTTGTCACCCCTTCTTCACTTGGCCCAGGGAGGTTTTGTCTTCCTCTCTACCCACATACTATTACACCATCACCCCTACCAAGAGCCCCACCCCCAGTAGGGTTATGCTAGGATTTCAGTCACCTGATGCTGTCGGAGAAGGCCTCGACACCAAACTTGGAGACGCAGTAGCCACCACCGATGACAGCCACCCGTCCGCCAGAGCTAGACATGTTCACCACTCGGCCTCGGGCCATCTTGATCATGGGCAGCATGTGGAGGGTCACGTCAATCAGTCCCACCAGGTTCACATTGATGACCTTTACGAAGTCCTCCTTAGTCAGCCACTCATTGGGCCCGCTGGGCAGGGCCACACCCGCGTTGTTCACCAGGGCCCAGAGGCCTGGGGAGGAGATGAAAGGACGGAGAACTGTATGCCACACAGAAAGTCAGCAGTGCTTTTGAGGCAACCCCAGGTTCTACTACCTGCCAGCTCAAGTTCCAAGAAAGGTGACACAGGAGCCTAAGACGCAAGGAAGGGAGCAGCATTGTGGCATAGTAGGTCAAGCCACTGCCTGCAAAGCCAGCATCCCATATGGGTGCTGGTTAGAGTCCAGCTCCATGCTCATGACCTGGGAAAGCAGTAGAACATGGTCCAAGTGCCTAGGTCCCTGCCACCCACACGGAAGACTTGCATGAAGTTTCAGGTTCATGGCTTTGGCATGACCTAGCCCCTGGCATTGTTGCCATTTGGGGAGTGAACTAGTAAGTGGAAGATTTCTCTCTTCCTCTCCATAACTCTGCTTTTCAAATAAATAAGCAAATAATAATAAAAAGACACAGAATAACCTGGCTTGGGACATGGGGTGGGGCGCTGTCAGTCCTTTATTAGTTTTTCCTGAAGGAGCGTTCACATGAGGGCTGCAGGTCAGCTGGGGCTCTGTCACAGCTACCATCCCAGATTCAGCTAAGAGGATCAAGTGATGAGTCTGGGACAAGCAGTATCATTAACATCTGAGTGAATTGAATTGTGACTTCTTCCTCCTTCTGTAGTCACCAGAGCACCAGAAATGTACTTCACCTCATGCATTACTAAAATCAGTCTCTGCATTCATTCATTTGTTCTCACAGTTGTCCACCCATTCTTCTATGAATTCATTCTCTTTGACAATTCTCTCAGGACCAAGGAAATATCCTTCAAGGGATTCACACACCACAGAGGGAAAGATTATTGGCAAATAAATATACAACCTACTCAAATGCAATGCTTATGGGAAAATCTGAGAAGGATTATCTTTGAGATTTAAGTTGGGTTGGTATAAAGAGGAGAGAAACTCAGGAATGTTGTTCGACTTTATGGTGACCCAAGGGCTCAAGAGGCTCATGTCCTAGTCCCAGATCTCCCTCCAGCCTTGAACTCCTCCATGGGTCTTGGGTTCTTCATCAAACTGGTTGAGAATGGTTGTGTCTGGCCTGTGCTAACCAGCTGGAGAGAAATGTGGAGACAGCTCTCCCTTCCTTTACTTTATATACTGAACTTCTAAGCCAATTCTACTGCAGGGAAGGTGATGCAAAAGAAACTGGAAGTGGGGTGGGGTGCGGGTGCCGTGGCCCTGCAGGTTAAGCCCTGCCTGCAGGGCTGGCATCCCGAATGGGTGCCAGTTCAAGTCCTGGCTGCTCCACTTTTGATTCATTTCTGATCTTCCAGGGGCCTGGGAAAAACAGTGGAGGATGACTCAAGTCCTTGGGTCCCTGTCTTGGTGTTCACATGTAATGCTGCCCTGGCAGTCACTGGAGGCATCCCTTCTATTTTTCAGACTTTTTAAAACATCATATTTATGAGGCTTTAAAAAGTCGGGGTGGTGGTGGTGGTGGTGTAGCATACTGTTTGTTACACTGGCATCCCATATGATCACTGGTTTGAGTTCTGGCTGCTCCACTTCCAATCCAGCTTCTTACTAATGCACTGGGAAAGCAGTGGAGGATGGCTCAAGTCATTGGACCCCTATGCCAGAGACCTGGAAAAAGCTTCTGGCTTTGGATTGGCCCAGCTCCAGCTGTTGTGGCCATTTGGGAAGTGAATCAGTAGATGGAAGATCTCTTTCTGCCTCTCCCTCTTTTTTTGTAACTCTGCCTTTCAAGTAAATAAAATAGATCTTTTTTTTTTTTTCCAAAGGGGGATGGAATGGAAATGTGTCAGTGCAATGGTTCAATTGGCTAAATCTACACCTGGAGGTGGTAGCATCCCATACGGGTACTATTTCAAGTCCTGGCTGCTCTACTTCCCACCCCACTCCCTGCTTATGGCCTGGGAAAGCAGTGGAGAATGACCCAAGTCCTTGGGACCTTGAACCCATGTGGAAGACCCAGAAGAAGCTCCTGGCTCCTGGGATACTTTGCAAATCTCAATATGTCCCATTCTATTCCCAGGTTGGTCTGGGTGCAAGCAGAAATCCTGGGCTACCCCACTCCCACGATCTGGGGGCCCTACCCAAGCCAGGTCTTCATCTTTCCTGTCTTCTTCCAGTTACAGAGGCTCCAGCAAGTTGGCCATGTTTAGAACTTTCCCAGCTGGAGAACTCTAGTCTAGTAAAAGGAAAAATGAGGGGAAAAAAAAGGACCAGAGACCCAGGCAGCCCCCTCCTCACCCAGGCTCACCATCACCTTCCCTTATCCTGGCCAAAGAACCAGAGAGGAGGCCCTAGCTCAACCTTGTTGGCTTGGAGGATGCAGCCAGGAGCCAGGAGTTGTAGATGACTCGAAAAAGGCAACAGAAGGGATACCCAAGAGCCTGTGGGTTGCCCCAGGAAGATCTATTTTGGGCTTCTGTCTCCTAGAACTTCAAGATCACAAATCTGGGTGACTTTAAACCACAATGTGCCTGACAGTTCGGTACCTGAAACAGGTACACTTGGTGTCACAGCAGACTAGGGCACCAGACGAGGCACATCCACTCATGGCTCCAGGGAGAGCTGCCGGAGCTGCTGGGCAGCCTATTGAGGAAAGAGGCATGTGCCTCCAGCATTATTCATTAGGTAGTTCACCTCACAAATATTTACTGCACACCTTAACAGGTGCCAGACTCACTGTAGCTACTAAGGATAGTAAACAAGTAAGAAAGAGACAAAAACCCTGCCCCATCCTGAGCGGAGAAAATAGATGATAAATTAGGAAATTAAACAAAATGTGCTCTATAGGCAACAGGGACAAAGGAGGCTAAGGACAAAAGCCAGGGGAGGGTGGCCTCTGTCTCTTCTCATGTTCTAGGGCTCTGCTGCCCACACCTGCACTTGAACCCTTTCAAGAGTGACGACCCCTTCCCCACAACTCATGTTCCTCCTGTTCCTATGTCTACACCTGTGTGTCAGAAGTTCACTGGACAAATCCCCAAGGGGATCCAGCCTTTTTTTTTTTTTCCAATTAGGAGCAGTTGCTGCAAACACCTGCCTTCAGTCCAACCAACAGCCACCCTGATATAAGAAGAGAAAACATCTTCTGCTGGGGTCAGGAGAGGGGGTCCCCCTGCACTGTGGCACTGTGGGTTAAGCTGTTGCCTGATAAACCAGTATCCCATATGGGCACTGGGTTAGAGTTGGATTAGAGTCCCGGCTGCTGCACTTCCTGTCTAGCACCCTCTCTGCTGATGACCCAGAAAAAACAGTAGAGGATGGCCAGACAACTTGGGCCCCTGCCATTCATGTGCTAGAACTAGATGAAGCTCCTGGCTTCAGCCTGGCTCTCACCTGGCCATTGAGACCATTTGGGGAATGAACCAGTGCACAGAAGATTTTCTTTCTCCCTCCCTGTAATTCTGTAATTCTGCCTTTTAAACAAACAAACAAACAAACAAACAAACAAATAAATATCTCCTGGGCCTGGCATGGTAGCCTAGTGCCTAAAGTTCTTGCCTTGCTTGTGCTGGGATCCCATATGGGTGCCGGCCTGTGTCCCGGCTGCCTTACTTCTCTTCCAGCTCCCCTTCCTGTGGCCTGGGAAAGCACTGGAGGAAGGGCCCAAATCTGTGGGACCCTGAACCTGTGTGGGAAACTCAAAGAAGCTCCTGGCTCTTGAATTCATATCAGCTCAGCTCTGGCTGTTGTGGCCCCTTAGGGAGTGAACCGGCAAATTGAAGATCTTTTTCTCTATCTCTCCTTCTCCTCTGTAAATCTGACTTTAATAAAAAAAATAAATTTTTGAAAAATGGTCTTCTTACTTACCTCCCCAGGTGGGTAACCTAGCCTTCTATTGGAGATCCTGGCCAGAGCCACATGTGTGTTCCTCAGGTATTAGACTGAAGACCATGGAGGAGAAGGCGCTTCTGGCTTTAGGGTTCAGACAAACAGAGCTCATCTTCCTTTCCTCCCTCCCATTGCCACTCTACCCTGCATTTTCTTGGAAATTCACTGTTTCCTTAGGCCAGGTCAAGCCATGCATTGGTGCCCATTGCAACTGAGCCAGAGCTCCACTGCTCCTTGCTTCTCTAGTCCCACCCCCTCTGGACACCAGGGTCCCTGGAACTAACAGATGCGGTGGGACACACAAAGGAATGGGAGGGCTAAACAGAAAGCCAAAGAAAGCCGTTTGCCCCACCTTGCTCGCCCACATGGTCCCTCACCCACTGGGCCGCTGCCCGGATGCTCTCAGTCTTGGTGACATCCAGGATTATAGTGTGCAGCTGATAGGATGCATCCCGCTGAAGTTTCTGGGCCCCCTCCTCTGTGAGGCAAGCAGCCAGCACGCGCATGCCCCGGTCCACCAGCTTCCTGGCCAGCAGGTTCCCGAAGCCAGAGTCACAGCCTGTGATGAAGACGTACTTCTCTGAGAGGTCACGAACCAGATTGCAGTTCTTGAGCCAGCGGTACAGGGAGAGGTCGGTGAAAGCCGCCATGGGGCAGTGGCAAGGAGATGGGCAAGAAGGATGGAGACCCGAGGACAGCAGGAGAGGCTGGACCTGGAGCCCACGGAGGACAGTGTCTTGCCTTCCACCCCTTGCACAGATGCCGGGCCCTGGGTGAGCCACTCTGTAATTTGTATAGTTGGATGTGTCACACTAATTAGGCCAGATACAAGAAATTCAAGTTCAACCTGAAGCCTTGTCACTTCTGACAGCTCTCTGGCCTCCTCCCTCTCTGCCCCTGCCCTGGGATGGGCAAGTACCCTCCTACCCCACCAAACAAAAGGCCAGGGAGGGGGTCTCTCTAGGATGATGTGAGGGAGGTATTTCAGAAAGGGGAATACAACTTAGAAACTCCTCCCTGCCCATCAGAAATCTCCTATCCAGCCCAACTCCACCCCATCCCCAGACCAGGGATCAGAATCGCGATCATGTGGCCTTGAGTGCAGTTGTGCAGTTTAATTTTAATTTTTAAAAAATTTTAGGCTTGGATGTGGGGAAGAAGTAAACAGGTTCATTCACAGAAGTTCGTTTGGTGTCCTCCACACGGGAGGAGAAATGACACATGACACACAGGGCACCAGCTACTCGGGAATCTTAGCTGTCTCCGTCGTGAGGGATGATGAAAACCAGGGTTTCCCTTCCTGCTGGGTGTGCCTGCATCAGCCTGAGACATCAGAATGAGACACGAGGCAGTGGGCGTTCTTGAGGGGGAGGGGAAAAAGCAGAGAGACCCCTGGGACTGTGGTCTGGCTCCTTGGAGGAATAGCTGGGATCTAGGAGGAGCCCCCACTACACTCCAAGCAGGTCCTGGTGACCTCCAGTGCCTGGTGGCCAAGCCAATAGGGGAAACTAAAGACTGAGAGCTTTCCCAGAAAAGCACCCCTTATTCCCTCAAGTCCATCCTCAGCACCAGGAATGTTCTAGGTAATCCAATGAGCTGAAGAGCCTGAGGGGGAACTTGGAGGAAGAAGGGGCTAAGAGGTTGGTGGACTTGATGGCTCATGGGTAATGTAGGGGGAAGGAAAGAAGGGAATCAAAGTGATTCAAAGATATGGAGGTCAAAGGCAGGTAGAATTACAGGTACAAAGAGATGGGAGGTCAGTGTCAAGGCCATGCCCAACATTACAAAAGATGTGGGCACAAAATGAGGCTGGAATCAAAATTGTTCACTGAGTGAATCTCTCTGGTCTCATCACCCCACACCTGGTCCCCAGCCAACACATCACCTTCCTGTTTGGAAGGTCTGATGCAGAGATGGGGCTGCCAGGTTGTCTGGAGTGAAGGGACAAAGGATGCTTCTCCATGTGCCACTGTACCAGGTCCAGCCAAAGACAGAATCAGATCAAGTAAGGTTCAGGAACACCCAGTGGGGATCGGCTGTCCTGTATCAAGGACTCAGGTGGTTCCAAATTGAACTCATCCCATAGATGGTGGAGATGGGAAGGGTGCAAGGCTGACCTCACCTGCTCCATGTTTGTTGGGAGAAGTCAGCTGATGTTACTTAAGAGCTGGCCACCCCAGATCTGGAGGACATGGGGGAGACTAAGGTGTTTGCTTTAAGCCTGGAGAAGAACGACTCAGAACTGCCCTGTTTCAAGCTTGGGCCTCCCTTAGCCAGTTCCCGGTCTCCTTGCTGACTGTTGTGTATAGAAGAGGGTGTGACAACCACACACAGGGCAGGTGGCTGTGAACACCTCCAACAGGTGTGCCATCTCAGACACTGGGTCTGTCTGGGAATTGTCCTCACCCTCATCCTGCATGCAGAGAGAAGAGGAACTGTCAACACACACAAGCTGCTTCCAAAGCACCTGCTGATCTGGTGGACAGGAGGCGGAGCAAATAAGACCTGACATCCCTCTCCCTCATGAACACTTTCTCAGGGGTTCCTCTAGTGAGGACTGGGACTTGAGGTGACATCTGTGCTGAGAATTTTGGGACACATGGGATGCAGAGATGAGATGAACCAGTGCATACTTTATTGAATTTTTCTGGGGGACGTTATACCAAATTTTTGCAAAACAAGCGGGCTAGGTAATGTTTCAAGTAACTAAACAACGGCGTACAAGCAGTTTAGGATGATAGGTCACAGGGATTAGGGGAATAATCACCAGGCTCCCAGTCACTGTATGAACAAATACGAGTTACAGGAATCAGCCCTGGTAAACAAACAGATCTAACTAGAAACGGAATCTAATAGAACTTTATACTCAGATACGATCATGCCACAGTCACTAAAGGAAGAGGAAGGTGATGATGAAGACGTCTCACACTTCCCCAGGCAAGCTTTGTCAACAAAGTGACCTGAAATTGCGGCAGAAAGTCTGCCTTCTGCAAAATTCTGTCTGCCAAGAACGTTGAAGATTTGGGGTCCCTTGGACATTTGGTGGTTGGTTCAGGGGACAGATCTTCACAATTAATAAATCTCCACATCACCTTGTTTAGCCTCACACAGCTGCTCATGGCATTGCCACAATGCGTGCAGGAGGATCTCTGTAGTTTGATTATAGAAGGTAGTTAATTTGCCCTAAAACGCCCAGAGCTCCAGCAACGACTGCCCCAGGAAAAACCTGTAGCTGGGATGAGGATAGGATGAGCTAAAGGACCCTGGGAACTTGAGGGATTGTACCGCCACCGTCCCATTTTCCACCCCCAACACATTGCCACTCTCAGTACCCCAGCAAAAACCCAGCTGTGCATACCTCATTGTGGCTTCACAGAACTTGTGCTGGCTTTGGGCTGATCCAGGAGACCATGGCATCCACCAGACAGGTGGGCATGTAGCTCAGAGGGATGTAGAAGAACTTGGCGTCCCAACCTGGAGAGTGGCGGGTGCAGGGGTGGCTTGGGGTCAGTGCTTGCTCCATGCAGTCACCAACGACAGGTCTGACTTGCATTTTTTCAAGGCATTTTCATACATTTTGGTGTCTGTCCAGGATGAGAAAAATCCTTCTGGACTTGCCCATCCCTCCTCTTGCATTTACAGCTCTTAATTAGGAAGAGAGTTTCTAAGACTCCCTGACCCACTGAGCATATGCCTCACGTCTAATTTAGCCACACCTGCCAGGGAGCATGCAGGCTTAGCCCAGTGCTGCCTCCACCTCCCACCCAGGAACATTCCAGACCACACACTCAAGGTCTCTGCTAATAGTCCAAGCACAGGAAAGCAGACTTTCTCTAAACCCAGCTGCCCAGAAGACCATGGTCTCTCCCCTCTCTGGCTTTAGCACTCTCTTCAAAAAGAATAAGGAGGGGGCTGACATTGGCACACAGAGGTTAAGCCATGTGTAATGTTTGCATCCACTATGGGGCTGGGTCAGTTCCTGGCTACTCCACTTTCAACCTACCTTCCTGCTAAGGTTCCTGGAAAAGAAGTAGCAAAGGCCCAGGAGTCACCTGTCCTCCCCACTACATGACAGATTCAGATGAATTGCTGGCTACAATAGACCACAGCCCTCAGCATTGCAGCAGTAAAGGGAATAAACCAGCTGATGGAATCCCCACCCCTCACTGCGTCATTCAAATAAATCATTAATAATCTGAGTGTCAGGCATGTTAACTTAGTGGCTAAAGTCCTTGCCTTGCATGTGCCGGGATCCCATATGGGCGCCAGTTTGTACCCCTGCTGTTCCACTTCCCTTCCAGCTCCCTGCTTGTAACCTGGGAAAGCAGTCGAGGATGACCCACAGCTTGGGACCATGCATCAGTGTGGGGGAGACCAGAAGCAGCTCCTGGCTCCTGTCTTTGGATAGGCCATTGCATTATTCAGAGAGTGAACCAGTGAACGGAAGATCCTTCTCTGTCTCTCCTTCTCTCTGTAAATCTGACTTCACAATAAAAATAAGTAAACATAAAAAATTTTATATTCTTTCCAGCAGGTATTCTTACAAGCCTGGTCCCATGAGGCTTGTAAGGATTTCAGAAAGCTCTCCACGCTTGCTATATTGGTCTGGGAGGAACCAGGCTCAATGATGGCCACTTTCACCCCAAAGGGGGAGAGCTCCCTCCTGCAGGCCACAGACAGGGTGGTTAAGGACTCAGTACTCACTGGGACCAGCCCCCACACCACACAGCAAACCCCTACAATGCACCATGACAGGTAGGGTAGCACAAGAAAGCAGGCATAGACACCCCAGCACTGCCACGGCTGAGGCCCAGTGTCTGACCCACACACGTGTGTAGGTTTCTAGGTAAATCATTCTTCTGCTAGTCAGGTTCTCAGTCCTGTACCCTCTGGGCCCCTCCCTGCCCCTGTATCTTCAGGTCTTGGCCACGCCCCTCCTCCATGCTCCTCCATCCACCCACTCCTACCCTCTCCTTCCCAATTGGCTCCCTGCTCAGCTCACTGCTGCCCCACTGCCATATTCTCAATGGAGCCTTCTTTGCCACTGGCTTGGTCTTGGCACTCAGTGCCATCATTGTTCCTGACCAGTGGGCAACAAGATGCTGGGTGCACAGAGTGTCTCCCCTGACCCAGCTATTCCACAAAACTCCACTGTCAGCAAAAGGAAAGGCATGCTATGGAACCAGGGTGCTCAAGTCCCACCTGTACTCTCCCGTCCAACCTCCCTCCTGCAAGGGCTGGCCTTACCCTTTCCCCAGGAGCACACAATACCTGAGTGAGTCTGAGAAGACCACCACACTGTACTTGGAAATGCAGTAGCCGCCACCCATTATGGACAAGCGGCCCAGAAAACTGGAGATGTTGACCACACAGTCCCGTGCCTTCCTTACAAGGGTAACAGGCTCAGAGTCATCTCAATCATCCCTAGCAGGTTCACATTGAGCACATCCACAAAGTCCTGTTTGGTCAACCACTGGTTGGGAGCTGAAGGCAAGATAATGCCAGCAGTGTTCACCAGGCCCCAGAGTCTGGGCACAGTGGAGGAGGGAGCATGTCAACATTGAACCTGTGCAGCGCCCACCCTGCTGTGGTTCAAATCATTTTACAATGGGATGCACTGATGGAGAACACAACAATACAGACAGTGAAGAAGAGGAGGGAGTAAGTAAAGAAGAAGCAGTGGTCACAGGAGACAACCCGTGTCCAGTTGTCAGCCTCTGTTTTCTTTGCCAGAAGCATGCAGCTGGAAGCCACCTTCAGGAAGCACATGGACATGGTTTGAGAAACCAGGGTGAGAGCTCAGCAGGAGTCTCCTGGGAGGAAAGATGGAGGATAGGAATGAGGTGAGAGAGAGAGAGAGAGAGCAAGCTAAGGGAGGAAAGGAAGGGAAGCTGGGGTGGGGCGAAGCTAGGGGGTGATGAGTATCTATTTACAGTCAGGAGAGATACATAGGAGAGCCTGAGGGAATGTGAGAGGACAGGCCTGCCTAGGCCATAGGGCCTGGCTGTAGACCCAGGGAAGGCATGTGCAGCCTCTCTGCCTGGGCATTCAGTGCTGGCTCAGGAGGGATGCCATGTCGCCAAGCAGAGAGGGCTGGGGCCTCCTGCCATATCCTGGTGCCCCGACTCCATCTGCAGACACCCATCTCTTCCCATGACCCCAAACAACATTCTTGTTCTAATCTCATAAGCCCCCAACCCAAGGCATCCCAGGGACACAGGCAAGGGATGGACAGGCATCCAACATGTATGCTTCCACCTCCTGGCCTTCTCCTCTCCATGGGCCTGGGGAAGTGCCATTGTCATAACCCAGGCCTTGAGAAGCATTTAAGCAGGGAGCAGGGATGGAGGTTGGAGATGCCCTGATCTCTGCATCTCTCCTTCCAGGATCCTGGGCGCCCAGAATATGCGGGATGCTTTGTGAAAGCTGGGATTGCCTTTGACCTCAGCCCTTGGCCTGTTTAAGAATGCCAGCCTCCTTGGCTAAAGAGAAACCAGGGAGAGAGAAGGAGAACTGAGTTTTCAGGAAATGCCTTTCAAAAGTGTTGGAGAGACTGCCTAAACACTGAGTCAAGTTTGTTTTTCAAAAGCATCTAAGAATATCCCTGGGAAGGGAGCCAAGCCTTGGTCGTGGGAGTCAGGACTTGATGTTGAGGTCCGGGGATCTGGGGAAGGGATTGACTCTGGACTTCCTGGGGAGGAATTAATTCTGCAGTTCTCTCTCTACTCTCACTCACCTACCTCCAAATTACAAAGAAAGGAACAGTTTGCTTCTCCCACTATGTAGACAATATTACAAATAAAATTTTAAAAGTACACTTTCATAGGCATAGATGTTAATAATATGTGTCTCAGGAGAGTAAGGTAAGGCTAGATTTTTAAAAGATTTATTTATTTTTTATTGAAAAAACAGATTTACAGAGAGGAGAAAGGTCTTCTATCTGCCACTTCATTCCCAAATGGCTACAATGGCCAGAGCTGAGCCAAACTGAAGCCAGGAACCAGGAGCTTCTTCCAAGTTTCCCATGTGGATACAGGAGCCTAATGACTTGAGTTATCCTCTGATGCTTTCCCAGGCCATAAGCTGGGGACTGGTACGACGCAACTGGGACACAAACCAGCCCTCATATAGGATACTGCTGCTTGCAGGTAAAAGATAAGTCTTTTGAGCCACTGCACTGGTCTCCAGGTTAGATTTGTGTTTATTTTTAACATTTTTTTTCAACATTTTCCACAATGATGACCCACAACCCCATGTCTCCCCAGGTCAAGGCTAAAATCATTGGCATATGTGAGTCTTACAATTTTTACAAACAAGCAAGCATGATTCTGATAAATAAGAAATTGGTGTCTGGGTCCTAAACCCAGCCTGATATGCAATTTCTATCCTGTTGGAAGGTACAGATTGGCCAGGGCCAAGGTACACCCTGATCAGGTGGGTAGGATGCAGAACAGATGTGGGTGGAGCCTACTGAAGCCTCTGGATGTATGGGTTCTTTGCTGTTGACTGTGAGACTTCAGCTGCTGCCCAGGTCGATGGAACTCTCTGTTCTACAGCCAAGTTCTCAGGACTTTCTTCCTAACAGCTCCAGAGAAGAGGGTAAAGGTGAGGATGAGGCAAGCCCTGGTGGCAGGACAGCACCCCTGTCCACTTTCTTCCCCTGAGAGACCCCCTCACTTACACAGTATCCAGCTCTGTATCCTGGTTATGGTTTCACAAGGCTTGCGCTGGCCTTGGATAAAGCCAGTAGACCAAAGTGTCCACCAAACAGGTGGGCATGTAGCTCAACGGCAGGTATAAGAGTTTGGCGTCCCAGCCAGGGGAGTAGCGGGTGCGGGGGTGGTGTGAGGTCAGTGCGTGCTCCATGCAGTCTGTCACCAGGGATAGGTCCTCTGTGCACTTTTGTTCCATGGATTTAGTTGATTTTATATCTGTAGGAAAATAAGAAGAAACTCAGGTATCGTCCCACCTCCATGGTTCCTGCTTTGGGGTCAATTTAGGGAGGGACTTTTTCTTCAGATTTCATGCCACTCATCCCCATAAGCCATCCCTGATATCTAATCCTGGAAGTGCCACTGTCTTAACAGGGGAGGCCACATCTGCCACTCTTACTGAGGAATCCCAGGATGGCACGAATTGAACATGCTCTCTAAGCCTGTGAGGAGCAGCAGTCTCTAATGCCAGCTGGTCATGTCCAGGTATGCTTTCCCTTGCAGGCTTCACACAGGCCCTTGGAATCATCAGAGTTCAGATGAAACAGTGGCTCTACATTCTCATTAGCCTACATACTTGCTTTGGTGATGGGCTGACCACACAGCACATGAGAAATGGGGCTTTATACATCCCCCCACTCTGGAGGAAGCCAAGGCCCAGACAGGCAAATCCTAGTCCTGCTACAAAGACTCATGGCGACCAAGCTTCCAGTTTAGGAAGTCATTCTCTTTCTGGTATCCACAACTCACTCACAGGTTTCCAGAAACTTCTTGCCATACAAGTCTTTGACCTCTGAGCTGGCCCGGTCCCATAGTTCTCCAAAGCTCCGCATGAATATCTCACTACTGGTCACCTTGGTCTTGAAGTAGCCGGGTTCGATGATGGCAACCTTCACCCCAAAGTAGGACAGTTCCCTCCTATGAGAGATGGTAGAGGAAGGACTTCCATGGTCTTAGAAGGCAAAATATATACAAGATAAAACACAGCTGCAACATGGGATTGAGGTGAGTCAAATCAGTGTGACATTCAGCAACACCTAGTTCACATTATGATGACATTGCCTAGCAATGTTGGAAAGTACTAGCCCTAAACCTCACCTAGAGTAAGGCTGCCCCTTCCCATTCTCCTCACATCCCCATAGACCACCAGGCTTCATCCTCCCCTCTGTCCATTCCCTCCTTCCCCTTGGCCAATACAGTAAGCTCCCTGGCCATCTCGTGGCAGGTCCATTGTTGGACTATTCTCTGGGGTCTTCCTCTGTTTTGAGTCTTGGCCCCCACACTCAGAATCATCTTCCACTGCAGCCAGCAGGCAACTAGATGTGGATTATCATAACTTAGTCCCATCTGTGGAATATCACTACAAGCAGCAGGAAGTACAACACCTGCCCAGGGCCCATGGACTTGCCCTAAGCCCACTGTGTCTAGCTTCCCTCCTGCCAGACCTGGGTTCTTCCCTGACAGAGCACTCAAGTACCTGAGCGCATCTGAGAAGGCCTCCACGCCATACTTGGAGATGCTGTAGGCTCCACCAAACAGGGACAAGCGGCCCATGACACTGGAGACGTTGACCACGCGGCCCCGGGCCTTCCTCACCAAGGGAAGCAGGTTCAGAGTCACCTCGATCAGCCCCAGAAGGTTCACGTTGAGCATGTTCACAAAGTCCTGTTTGACTAGCCACTCGTTGGGGGCCGAGGGCACAGAGATGCCAGCATTGTTCACCAGGCCCCAGAGCCCTGGGAACAGTAGAGAGAAGGATAGACAGTGAGCAGATCTAGGTTGAGTCTGTGCAGTGCCCACCTTGCTGGGGTTCCAATTCATGCCTATTAGATGGGCAATGCTGTGACAGGTATTGCCTGGGGGAGTGGGGTAGGACAGACGACCACACGGTATTTGCTCAAGTTGGGGCTGCCTGTCCTGGAAGCTGCTGGCAGGCAACAACCAGCCTTCTTCCTCCTTCTACTCTTCCTGGTGCAGCTGGGTGCACAGTGGACAATGGGCAGCTGCACCATGTTACATGACAGCAGCAAGTGATGTCGGAGAATCCTGCAGCCCCCACCAACTAGAGACATGGAACTGACATCTGACATCATACATAATGTCATCCTAGCAGTCACTGTATGGTTCCCCTCCATGTTTGGCTTTCCCAGACAGCTGGTATCAAATGCTTTCCATATACCATGGGGAAAGCTAGGCCACAGGGAGAAGCAAGATGGGAATCAAGCAGATATAAGACATGGCAAGGTGCGGAAGGTTTGTTGAGATAGAGAAACATGAAGTTGCAAGATGGGGAAGAGTCATGTGTTGGATGCCTGTGGGCTCACTTTGAAACACGCTGGACTGAAAAGTACTCCCCCAGGAAGTGCTGGGAAGCCCCTCGGCAGGGTCTGGCACCAAGCAAGCTCATTATGCCTTTGCTTGGGACACCAGCATCTAGTATCAGATTGTGGTTTCAGGCCCAGCCGCCTTGCTTCTGATTTAGCTCCTTGCCAAGGCACCAGGGAAATCACGGAAGACTGCCAGAATCCTTGGGGCCTTGTCACCCAAGTGGGAGCCCTGCCACCCATGTGGGAGCCCTAGGTGGTGTTCTTGCTTGTGGCATTGGTCTGGCAGAGCCCCATCCGAGGAAGCCACTGGGGGAGTGAACCATCAAATGGACCATCTCTTGCTCCTTCTATCTCTCCCTCTCTCACTGTCACTCAGCTTTTCAAGTTTTTTTTTTCTTTTAAGCTTTATTTCTTTATTTATTTATCTAAAAAGTGCAAAGCACCCAACGGGCAGGCTTTAGGGAGGACCAAGACGTCTCTTAGGACAATTACATGTGAGAAACACTTGCAAACTCAGACAGCTTTGCATAAGTGAGGCTGGACCTAAGGATGTTCTAATGCACTGTGGACAGCATCTTGAGGAAATTTTTCTTCTATTGTAGAATTGCTTATCTTTTTTAAAAATTTATTTTTATTGGAAAGGCAGATATACAGAGAGGAGGAGAGACAGAGAGGAAGATCTTCTGTCTGATGGTTCACTCCCCAAGTGACTGCAACGGTGGGTACTGCGCCAATCTGAAGCCAGGAGCCAGGAGCCCTTCCAGGTCTCTCACGAGGGTGCAGGGTCCCAAGGCTTTGGGTTCTCCTCAACTGCTTTCCCAGGTCATAAGCAGGGAGCTGGATGGGAAGCAGGGCCGCCAAGATTAGAACTGGCGACCATATGGGATCTGAGCGTGTGCAAGGCGAGGACTTTAACCACTACACTATTGCGCTGGGCCCAGAATTGCTTATCTTAAGATAAAAGGATATGAATCAAACTAGAAAATAGAATCCCTTAGATGTCACGTATTACAGCAATTATCTCAGAGGAGTAGATGAAGGAAAACTTTGCTTTAATGTTTATGTTTTAAGTATTCTCCACAGTCAGTATGTTCTGCATTTATAAATGTGTAAGGAACATTCTTTTCTTCTTTTTACAGTAAGGCAAAACAGTGTAGACAAAGGAAAGGCAGAAAAGGTGACCAATTACTAACCTGGGTCTACTAAATTGGTCCTTTACTGTGATATTACCTCTCAGTGGAGGCTGTTGGTTGCTGGTATAGAACAAGTTCAAGGGTTAAGAAGTTGAGTCTGGTTCCAGCACAGTTCCCCAGCCATCACTGCAAACCCATAGCCCAGAGACGCTCCCCTTGCCCACTGGAAAGTCTTCCTGTCTGCACGCCAGGACCTCTGAGTGGAGCAAGGGAGAACTTGTGCTTAGGAAGAAGACCATGGAGCTAGGAGGACTCAGGGGAGCAAATTCTCATCAGGACAGGGGGTCCCTGGGGTAGGAGAGGGGGAATGGGAAAGAGAAGGGGCTCAGGCTGGCAGGATGGGAGAGGGAAGAAAGCCAACATGACCTCAAGTCCTGAAAACCCTTGGGGCATCTGGCAGAGGCAGACAAGAGAAAACTCCAGCACACAGAGGGAAGAGGCATGCGTGAGCAGGTGCCAGGTGGTACCTCTGTCCCCCACGTGCTCCTTCACCCACTGGGCAGCCGCAGTGATGCTCTCCGTCTGTGTGACATCCAGGATTACCGTCTCCACCCTGTCCGATGTCTGCCGCCTCAGCTGTTCAGCCCCCTTCTCTGTCAGACATGCGGCCAGCACCCTCAGGCCCCTCATGTCCAGCTGCCTGGCCAGCAGGTTCCCAAAGCCCGAGTCGCAGCCCGTGATGAAGACATACTTGTCTGTCAGCTGGCTCACCACCTGCCTCTCGCGGTACCAGCGCACCAGGAAGAACAGGCCCACGAGGGCCACCAGGCAGCCCCACATGGCTTTTCAGGGGACACACAGAGGCAGGCTGGGGTGGCACCAGAGTGTGGACCTGCTATAACAGCAGAGCAGTGAGGAAACAGATGATCTGGTTGGCTGGCCAGCCCTGGTTCAATTGCATGGGCTCTGATTAGTACCTGACCAGTCTTTCTAGAATTTTGATTGTTGTTATTATTTGCCTTCTTGACTCCACCTCTCTGCTCTTTGGACTGCTTTTGCAAGTTATAAAGCTCTCATGCCTGGGCTTAACTGGTTTTCATTGTGTCAGAATAAACATGCCCTTTCATTTCATTTTCCATGTGCTTTGATGTTGCTTCTGTGTGCACATGCGTGTTTCCTTCAGAACCCATGTCCAGCTCAGCTACATTTTCTTTCCCACTGAATCCTCTCTTGCCTCCCTGTGCACACACAGCTACCCACACAGGTGCACAGAAGGAACTCCCCAGGGTCCCAGAGAAGGAGGAGGGAAGCTAGCACAGGGTAGGCATATCCCCTCCCCAGCCCTGGGCACTGCTGCCACTGCCCTGCCCTCTGTGCAACCTGACCGGCCAAGTCACACACACAGAGTCGGGCTCCTTGGGGTTACAGTCTGATGCAGGGGAAACTGCATGCCCCAGGCATGGGGCAACGAAGGGTGTGGTGCAGGTTGTTGACCCTGCAGGAGAGTGTGCAGACGTTAATGATGAAGGTCGCTTCCTTCAAAAGACCCCACCAAATGGCTGCACAGCGACCCCACCTCATACCCTCCACCCCATTTGGGTTCCCGGTAAGGTCAGGGAGCGTGCTTCAAGCAGGAGTTGGAGCCACGGGGGTCAGGAGCCCCGGTTTGGCATGCCAGCGTTGCCCTGGCTGTCATCTGCTATCTCCACCCAGCTATCCTGCTTTCCCTGGTCCGGCCCTCCTGAGGGCAGCCCGGGGGCTGGGCCGACGGAGGGAGGTTCTTGCCTCAACCATACCTCCCCTGCAGCCGCCCAGAAGGAGGAGAAACGGGGGTGCCAGGTCGGGCTCCCTTACCAGTAGTGGGGCGACTGTACCATTGGAAGCGTCAGTCGCTCCCGCGCCAAGTGCTGGAGGAGGAAGGGCTGCGGGACTTCTCAGCAATGGACTTGCAACGCTAATCTCGGAGGTCCGAGGGACCTGTGGCTGCGGGATAGCCCCCAAGGCCCTCAGCCGCGCCTCCTGCGTCCACACCCAAGTCCCGCCCTGCCTCTCGAGCGGTACGTCCCCACTCTGACACTTGCTACTCCGGACGCTTGCGCCTCCTGCTGGAGACCCGCGGGGAGGGGCTTGGGAGCTCGCTCAGCCAAGCAGTGACTGTGCCTGCCAAGTCAGGGCCATTTCATCCAAACCTGTTTGGGATGAAAGGGGTAGTGGGGACAATGCAGGAAATGTTACGCAGAGCTGTAAGGGACGGGAAGCCAGCTCCTTACCGCCCTTGTGTTCAACTCTGCAGCCCCCCGGCAAGGTGCAGGGGATCAGAGAGGAAGAGGCCCTTGCCCAGCCCGCAGCCCGCCCGGATTCAGGGCCCGGAGAACAGAGAGGGTGGAGATCTCACTCCGTGACCAAAGGGACCAGCGTAGTGGGGTAGTGCATGGTCCCTCTGCCTGCAACACTAAAATCTTGTAAGTTTGCAAGTTTGAGTGTGGTCTACTCCACCTGGGATTCAGCTCCCTGCTAATGCACCTGGGAAAGCAGTGGAGGTTGGTGCTTGGGTCCCTGCACTCATGTGTGAGACCTGGAGGGAGCTCCTGCTTCTAGCTTGGATCTGGAGTCCATCTCTTCCTGTTTGGGGAGTGAACCAGCAAATGGAAGGTCTCATGCTCTCTCGTCTGTCTGTAACGGAGTCTTTCAAATAGATAAAACCAATCATTAAAAAAAGAAGAAGAAAAGAAAAGGCAGGAGACTTAATTGTCGAACACCAGAGTCCCTCAGCTGTAGGAAACAGCCTGGCTTGCCTTGCACTGCCCTGGAGTGGGAGAGACCCACGGAAGACACAGTCGCTTCCAAGGTGCAAACCACCCCTGCTGGTTTGAAGCCAGGGCTGGGACCCTTTTGTGCGTCTCCTGAAGGAAGCTGCCTCCCACATCTGCACCTGCACACACTGAACCTATCTTCCAAATGCAGGGTCAGCTCTCCCTATCCTGGGCCAGGCCCCTTGTTTTCCTTGTATATTTAGGCTTTTCCTGCACTTAGACTGTCATAGTCTCATGTGGCCTGACTCTGAGTGTGGGAGCCAGCAGGGCATCCTGGCAAAGAGAGCCGAGGGCATCAGTGTCCAGGGCTGGGGAGAGGCATGCAGAGATCAACGCAGGGCCCTAGTTCTAGTTGCCCTTCCCTTTTGCTGTGTCTGATGTTCTACTCCCTTGTCACCGGCACTGCTCTTTGCAGACACTTATCCCTAGCTGTGACCACTTCCTGTCCTCTTTCTCTTTGTGTTTCAATGTACAGAGATGGCTTGACTTGGGTTCCTACAGAGCCATTCTGGATGCTGAGCTGGGTGAGGCAGTGCAGGCTCAGAGAGGGAATTTCTCTAACATGGTTTGGGTCCTGTAGTGTGGACGGACAGGATGTGCAAACATAGCCTTGAGTTGGCCTTAGTGTCATTTATGAGTGCTGCTGCTGTGTGAGGGCGCTGCTGTGGGCACTCGAGTATGCCTGTGTGCATTTTGCAGGCACCTGAGTGTGACTCTGGGTACCATTGAGGGCACAGAAAAGCAAGGAAGAATAAGTAGAGTAGGCAGTTGTTGCTCGTCAGGACACTGTGAAAGAAGCACACACAAACATACAGAGCGCATTACAAGTTCATTACAAGTGTTATTGAAGGACATGTTTATCTTGGTACAAAAATGTGAAGTCCAATCATAGGAATTTAACAACTTGCAAAAGCAGTCCAAAGAGCAGAGAGGTGGGGTGAAGATAAAAAGGTTCTAGAAAGACAAGGGTCAGGTGGGAAAGCCGAGCCCATAGAATTGAACCAGGGCTGGGATCCTGGGCAGCTCCCAATCAGATCGTCTGTTTCCTCACTGCTCTGCTGTTACAGAAGGCCACACTCTTGTGTCACCCCAGCCTGCCTCTGTGTGTCCCCTGAAAAGCCATGTGGGGCTGCCTGGTGGCCCTCGTGGGCCTGTTCTTCCTGGTGCGCTGGTACCGCGAGAGGCAGGTGGTGAGCCAGCTGACAGACAAATATGTCTTCATCACGGGCTGTGACTCGGGCTTTGGGAACCTGCTGGCCAGGCAGCTGGACATGAGGGGCCTGAGGGTGCTGGCCGCATGTCTGACAGAGAAGGGGGCTGAACAGCTGAGGTGGCAGACATCGGACAGGGTGGAGACGGTGATCCTGGATGTCACACAGACGGAGAGCATCACTGCGGCTGCCCAGTGGGTGAAGGAGCACGTGGGGGACAGAGGTACCACCTGGCACCTGCTCATGCATGCCTCTTCCCTCTGTGTGCAGGCCACCAATGTATGGTCCCTGCTCAACTGAGCCTGTCACCTTGAGCCTCAGGTGTAGGGCTGAGCGTGAGACCCAGGTTGGGTGTGGCTTGGAGTCTGGGGGCTGGACCAGGCTGGGTCAGCTCAGGGTCTCTGTCTCCCCCAGGCTGTCTGAGCACCTGCCCCTGATGGGGAGAGCCTGACGCTGGGAAAGCTGCAGGGTCCTCGGATCCAAACACCTGAGGTGGATCCTCTGCTCTATTAGGCTGCTTGTGCTTTTTGTGAAAATAGAGGTCAATGTTCTTTTTTTTCTGACTGGAAATGAAAAACATGGGTGAGAGGACAGTGAATCCATGTTCGCTTTGACCACTCTCCATTTTTGATAATTCCCTCTGTCTGGTGTGCAACTTGAGGTCAGCGTTCTATTTCTTTTTTTTTTTAGATATTTATGTGTTAAAAAGCAAAGATTATGAAAGACAGACAGACAAGGAGAGAGAGTGTTTCTTGACCCTATTGGATCACTCCCCAGATAGCTCCGACAGCCAGGGCTCGGGCTCGGCTCTGGGTCTTGCCAAAACAGGAGCATGCAACTGTGTCCATATATCCCAAATGGATGACTGGGGTCAAGCTCTTGGGCCATCTTCCACCACTTTAGAAAGAACACAAGCATGGAAATGGATTGAAATTGGTCAGCGTAGCCTTGATCCTGAGCCCGTATGAGATGCTGACGTTGTCCAGTGGGTTCATTGTGCCACAATGCCAGTTGTGAGATGAATATCTTCATCATTCATTTTCTTTTACCAGTGTATGAGGTGGTGAGGTGGCACAGGTGAGAGCTCTAGGCTTAATTTCTTACCAGCAAGTTCAGGGTCAGGCTGTCCCCCACCTCCCTGACCGGAACCTGTCCTGCTGACCCGAGGGTGAAGGTTGGTCACTCTGACTCCTTTCCAGCTTGAGGCTGGGTCCTCCCCCCCGGATCTCCTAGCCAGTGTTGTCCAGTGCTGAGTGGCTGGGCCCTTAGGCTTAGGGCAGGAGAGGTGTTTGCAGGTATGGTAGGAGAGGGTGACACCTTAGGCATCTGCAGGTGGAGTCAGGGCACCAGGATGTGGCAGGAGGCCCCATCCCTCTCTTCCTGGTGACCTGGGCTCCCTCCCTGGCCAGCGCTGAATTCCCAGACAGAGAGGCTGCACATGCCACTCTGGATGAACACTGCTCTGGCTGGAGCCAGACATAGTCCTGCAGCCTAGGCAGGCCTGTCCCCAACATCCCCCTACCTTGGGCTCTTGTGTGTCTCTCCCAGCTGTGCACAGACACTCATTAACATGTTCTTCCTTGTCCCTGCCTCACACCCTTTCCTTCCCTTCCTCTTCTCTCTTATCCTTGGCTTGTTCTCTCTCTCACCTCATTCCTCTCCTCCATCTTTTCTCCCAGGAGACTTCTGCTGAGCCTTCACTCTGGTTTCTCAAATCATGTCCATGTGCTTCCTGAAGGTGGCTTCCAGCTGCATGCTTCTGGCAAAGAAAACGGAGGCTGACTACTGGGCACAGGTTGTTTCCTGCAACCACTGCGTCTCCTTTGCTTACTCCCTCCTCTTCTTCCCTGTCTGTATTGTGTTCTCCATCATGTATCACATTGTGATGTGATTTTGAACACCATCAGAGTGAACACTGCACAGGCTCAGTGTTGACATGCTCTCTCCCTCTGCACTGTTGCCAGGGCTCTGGGGCCTGGTGAACAATGCTGGCATCGCCATGCCTTTAGCCCCCAACCAATGGCTGACCAAACAGGACTTTGTGGATGTGCTCAATGTGAACCTGCTAGGGATGATTGAGATGACTCTGAGCCTGCTGCCCTTGGTGAGGAAGGCCCGAGGCCGCGTGGTCAACGTCTCCAGTGTCATGGGCCGCCTGTCCCTGTTTGGTGGTGGCTACTGCGTTTCCAAGTACGGTGTGCAGGCCTTCTCAGACTCACTCAGGTAATCAGTGCTCTTGGGATAGGAGCAAGGTCAGACAGGTAGGGTCAGAGTTTAGTCAGGTGAGTGCAGGCAGGAAATGGGAACCCTGGTGTCTATATTGTGTCCTCCCTCTTCTGGCAGTGGATTGCTGAGGGAGAGCTGTCTCAGAGAAGCCACTTTGTGCAACTAATGCCTCATTACCTGCTGGGAGGACTAATGATGGCACTGGGTGCCAGGGTCTGGCCAGTGGCAAAGAAGGCTCCATTGAGGATCTGACAATGGGGCAGCAGAGAGCTGAGCAGGGAGCCAGTCAGGAAGGAGAGGGTAGGAGTGGGTGGATGGAGGAGCATGGAGGAGGGGCGTGGCCAAGACCTGGAGATACAGGGCAGGGAGAGGCCCAGAGGGTACAGGACTGAGAACCTGACTAGCAGAAGAATGATTTACCTAGAAACCTACACACATGTGTGGGTCAGACACTGGGCCTCAGCCGTGGCAGTGCTGGGGTATCCATGCCTGCTTTCTTGTGCTACCCTACCTGTCATGGTGCATTGTAGGGGTTTGCTGTGTGGTGTGGGGGCTGGTCCCAGTGAGCACTGAGTCCTTAACCACCCTGTCTGTGGCCTGCAGGAGGGAGCTCTCCCCCTTTGGGGTGAAGGTGGCCATCATTGAGCCTGGTTACTTCCCGACCAATATAGCAAGCATGGAGAGCTTTCTGAAATCCTTACAAGCCTCATGGGACCAGGCCAGCCCTGAGATCAAGGAGATCTATGGCCAGGAGTATGCTGTAGCCTGTAAGTGAGCTATATGCCCATAGGAGGAGAAGCAGGTCGGGTGGGAATCCTGGGGCCATCCCTTGTGTCTCCATTTCTGGCAGGGCCCCTCAGATAGACCCTTCCTACTCTAGCCATTGAGGACATTTAATCCCATGTCCACAGTGTTGTGTAATCACATGGTCACCACATCACATGTCTAAGCTTATAACAAGGTAGAGACATGAATCCCCCTGAACTCTTGGAATTGGGATGTTAAAGTGAGGCAGATTGGAAATATGCAATGACACTTCCAGCATGTGTTGCAGGGAACTGGGCCTGAGCTTGGGTCTCTAGTGTGGCCTGACCCACCCCTAGGTATACTCTGCTAAATCAAGGAGAAAAACAGATATATTTGAGTGTAGAATATCATCCCTCTTGTAATGGCTGGGGTGTTCTGCCAGGTACCTGGATGGACTAGATTTGGGATATGAAGGGGCATTGAGACACTTGAAGTCATAGAAATTTTTATCTATATTGATTGCAAGCAGGAGCCGAGGCAGCATAAGCATATGAGTCCTTTCTGTTTCCCACAGATATGAAAATTGCTGCAACCCTCAGCCCCCCAGTTAGGCAGGACCTTGACATGGTGACTGACTGCATGGAGCACGCGCTGACATCACAACATCCCCGCACCCGTTACTCCGCCGGCTGGGATGCCAAGTTCTTCTACATCCCTCTGAGCTACATGCCCACCTGCCTGGTGGACGCCATATTGCGTTGGATTTACCCAAAGCCAGCCAAGGTCCTGTGAAGACACTATTAAGACTCCTGATGGTGCAGAGCTGGGCACAGTGAGAGAGGGAGGGGGACAAACTGGGGAGAGAAGGGTGCAGTGCCTACTCTGCACCTTTTATGGGGTGGCATGGCCCTGGGCAGAGGTAACATCACCCTCTGAAGACAGTGGTATACAGCTTGAGGGTGGGAGGCTTAAACCGTGACTCTGGCTATGAGACCTGAGTAGACTCACGGGTATTGGGGGATGATGCTGTCCTCAGCAGGACACCAGCATAGGACACAGAAACCAATTCCCCATTTGTTGAAGCCTTGGTTTACTCATGAATATTTTGCCTGAGAATAAACATTGCCATGTTCACACTCGCCAGTGACTCGACTTTGATCTTAGGAATGGCAGGGTATGATCCTGTGGGAAGAAGGATCAGGTGCCTTCCTGGAGTTTGGGGAGGAGAAGCCAGAGGAGGGATGTGGATGGGGTGGTCAGGGCTCCTGTTCCTCACTGTGCCTTCCTGACTTACAAGACAGAGGCAACTGCTTGCCTTCCAGGATGAATCCCAGAGCCTTGTCGCTGCATTAGGAATCAGGGTGGAGTTAGCCCCCCAAATCTCTTTTCTGTGTCATTCACACCTTCCTCCATTTTCCCCCAGCCTCCTTAAGCCCCCAGGAATGTCCTCTGTTAGGGACATTGCAGGTGCTGCTGTGTCTTCCTCCCTCAGGCCCCACCCACTCCAATCTGAGTGCTGCAGTGCTCACAGACCTGTCAATCTGTTCCCAGCACTCACTGCCTCCTGCCTGTGGGGAGCCCTTCTGTGACCCCCAGTGTCCTGAGACACAGTGCTTGTTGGTCAATCCGCTCAGGAGCTGCAGGGCTGGCCTGCCCCAGAAAGTAAGAAGTGCTGTGGAATCCTGAGCAGGAACCTTTTGGAGATTGGTTCTCACAACTAGAAAATTGGAATTTTTTCCCCCAGTGTGCAAATGGAGCCTAGGGAGAAGAGCTGACCCTGGGATAAAGGACTATGAAAGCATCAGACAAAATACAAGGTGAGGCCCAGGCTTGGCACTCCTAGAATTTCCATGTAGCCTAGTCCTGAAGGAATAGCGAGATGGGCTACAAACCCCAGCCTTGCCTTAATGGGTACCCAATACAGCAGCCACCAAGAGAGCATGATGAACAAGGAGGAAGAGACCCCTGCCCCACAGGCCACACAGATCAAGGGCCAGGAGGACAGAGGTTAGCACTGCATGACCCATGCTCCCCAAAACCTGGTCCAGGAATGGAAAGAGGAAAGGCACCTGTTGGGACTCTGTGGATCCCAGGGAACCTCCCACTCTGCACAACTCCATGTGAGGACCTGGCTTCCTTGGGAGGAGAGAGGCAGGGCTGGGAAGAGGAGGGTCCTAGATGAGGCTCTGGAATGACAGTCCTGCCTCTAACATGGGAGGCAGTTGGGGTGCAGATCTGCCCCTGTGAAACCAGCACAGGATTTAAATTCTCTCAGGAACACTACCGTATGAGGCTGGTACATGTGGGGTGGTATTCTGCTTAGTGTGTTTTATTTTGCATGCATATGTGTGTGTGTGTTTGTGCATCTGTGTCTCCTGCATGCATGCATTGGAAGTATAAAAGCTGGCAGAGCCTGAGTAGTGGGGTTGTAGGTAGCCCTGCTGTCTGTGATGCTTGCATCCTCTATGCATGCCAGTTCAAGTCCAAGCTGCTTCACTTATGATCCAGCTCCATCCTAATTTCATGGATTTCACCCAGGAAATCACCTGTGAGTTCTGGAAAAAATTTCTGGCTGCTGTGTTGGGATGGCCCCTACTATGGCTAATGTAGCCATTTGAGGAGCAAAGCAGCAAATGGAAGATCTCTCTCTTTAAGATTTATTTATTTTTATTGGAAAGGTGGATATACAGAGGAGGAGAGACAGAGAGGAAGATCTTCTGTCTGATGGGTCACGACCCAAGTGGTCACAACAGCTGAAGCTGAACCAATCCGAAGCCAGGAGCCAGGAGCCCTTCCAGGTCTCCCATGTGGGTGCAGGGTCCCAAGGCTTTGGGCCGTCCTTGACTGCTTTCCCAGGCCACAAGCAGGGAGCTGGATGGGAAGCGGGGTTGCTGGGATTAGAACCCGCGCCCACATGGGATCCTGGCACGTGCAAGGCAAGGACTTTCATCACTAAGCTATCATGCTGGGCCTATTCTCTCTCTTTCTTGCCATCTCTCTCTCTCTCTCCCTTAACTATGCACTCAACCAGGTAAAACAAATAATAAGTAAAAACAAAGCCACGGGGCTGGCACTATGCTCAACAGGTTAATTCCCCACCTTTAAGCCCTGGCATCCCATATAGGCAACTGTTCACATCCTGGCTGCTACACTTTCCATCCAGCTTCCTGTTTATGGCCTGGGAAAGCAGCTGAAAATGGCTCAGGACCTTGGGATCATGCACAGCTGTATGGGGGACCTGGAAGTGGCTCCTGGTGGTGCTTCCTGATTCACATGAGAGGGACAACTGCTTCGCTTCCAGGGTTAGCCCCTGAGCCTGGGCCTCAGCATTAGAAGCCAAGGATGGAGTCAACTTCCAAAATCTCTTTTCGTGTTACTCACACCTTCCTCCCTTGTCCCCCAGCCTTCTTGAGCCCTCAAGGATGCTCCCTCCTTAGAGTCATTGCAGGTGTACCTGTGTCATCCCTTAGCCCACTTCCACTCCCTGTAGTGCCCACAGGTGTGTCACTCTGGTCTCAGTGCTGTGGGGAGCCTGTCCTGGGAGCCTACCATGTGTCCTGAGACACAATGCTCAGTGGTTTGTTCCCTGAGGGAGCTGCAGGCCTGGCCTGGGCCCAGAGAGCAAGAAGTGCTGTGGGATCCTGGGCAGGAATCCTTTGGAGATAGGCATTCCTTCCCAGGGCCTTGGATTTCATTCTCAGTATGCAAATACATCTGGAGAACCCCTAGTTGAAGGACACCAGTCATACCATGCAGATGACAGTGAGGCCTGTCTGGGTACTTCCCAGGTACAAACTCAGAAACTAACTGTGGAGGCTACACCTACCAGGCAGGAAGCCACAGATGACCAGGGCAGTTCCTGGTGTCCTCCAGTCCCAGAATGTCTTAGTGCTACTCAGATTGTACAGTGGAAACCAAAGCTACAATCTGCTGTTTAGCCTGCATTTCCTCCTTCCTTCTTTCCTTCCTTCCTTCCTTCCTCCCTCCCTTCTTCCCTCCCTTCCTTCCTTTCTTCCTTCTTTCCTTCCTTTCTCCCTCCCTCTTTCCCTCCCTCCCTCCCTTTCTCCCTTCCTTCCTCCCTCCTTTCCTTCCTTCGTTCGTTCCTTCCTTCTTTCCTTCCTTCCTTCCTTCCTTCCTCTATCCTTCTCTCCCTCCTTCTTTCCTTTTTTTCAATAGGGAGAAGTTCTGGAAACACCTAATTGCCTGCTGTTCCACCATCAAAGTCTCTGGGAACCACATGTGTCAGGATCCAGGCACCATGTGGGCCTGTGTGTGGGGTAGGGACCAATGGACCTGAGTTATTGCTCAACAAACTGCGTAGCCTGGAAGGACACCAAGAGCCCATGGCCTAGGCCTAGGAGCCACATAGGCAGGGGGTGTCCTGGCCTTCCACTGCCACTGCCTCACTAACTGAACAAGCCCCTGGGTTCCAAGTCCTGGAATCATGTGGACAGGTGGGATTAGGGAATGGTGGGGTCGTCCTGGCCCCTATGAACTGGTGTGATAAGTAGCCAGTCCAGGAGTGTTGGTGCCTAACGCTCTCCATGACCCACATAGAGGTAGTCTGAGCATTCCAGAAACTGAGCCTTTATCAGATTCCCTCTTGGTCCCTCTGTTGGCCTTTGGTTTGGTGGGCGGCCAGTGCTTCCATGTCTGGTTGGCTTAGGATATGTCGGGGTCTCAAACTCAGGGGTCAGAGTCCATGTGGATCAGCCCTGACCTTGGAACACACATAGGGCCACCCCCTTTGCAGACTCTTGTGCAAAAAAGAACATACCCAGGGGCCCGGCGCGGTGGCGCAAGTGGTTAAAGGTCCTCGCCTTGCACGCCCGGGATCCCATATGGGCGCCAGTTCTAATCCCGGCAGCCCTGCTTCCCTTCCAGCTCCCTGCCTGTGGCCTGGGAAAGCAGTCAAGGACGGCTCAAAGCTTTGGGACCCTGCACCCGCGTGGGAGACCCAGAAGAGGCTCCTGGCTTCGGATCGGCATAGTATCGACCCGTTGCGCTCACTTGGGGAGTGAATCATCGGACGGAAGATCTTCCTCTCTGTCTCTCCTCTCTGTATATCCGCCTTTCCAATAAAAAAATAATAAAAATAAATCTTTAAAAAAAATAAAATAATAACAATGAATAATATACTCATATATGGACAAAGAGGGAATTATTTCCTTTAAAAAAAAAAAAAAAGAACATACCCAGCAGCCCACCAATGACAAGTCAGCCAGCTTCAGCTCACCACCTTATCTCAAATGCTATTTCAAAGGGTAAAAAGAATTAAGAACTTCCAAGACTAATGACATACATGCAGGGGACACAGCCGTTGGCACTGACTAAAAATTCTCTGGTTCATGACTGATTCATCAGATGAGAGAGCGAGAGAGAGATGGTCAAAGACTATGTCCCTCTTCAGCAGGAAATAGTTACAGAAGATGGGAGGATCCATACCCTTGAGCAACCTTATGGACTGAGGGTCAGAAATCTCTGAAAGGCAGTGAAATGGGACTGACAGCTAGCTGGTTCAGGCCCACGAGTTAGACAGAAGTCGCATCTTCCCCTCACTTTGCATTTGCACAAAAGTTTTGGTAGTAATTTCAACTTGGGTTCTCCTATAGTCTCACCATTCACTGTTTGCAAATGGAGCAAGAAATTACAATATCTTGGTTGGAAGAACATCTCTCAAAAGGTTCTTGCCCAGACTCCCACAACACTTCCTGCTTTCTGGACCCAGGCCAGGCCTAAGCTCCCGAGGGAGTCAACAAATGACTAATGGGTCTCAGAACACACTGGGAATTCCAGGGAGGAGCTCCCAACAAGTGAGAAACAGAGCGCCGGGGACAACCCTATGGGCACTCTAGGGTGGCATGGGAGGGACTTGAGGGATGGCACCTGCAATGACTCTAATGGGGAACTGGGGGACAAAAAGGAAGATATGAGTCATCAGAGAAGGGATCTGGAGGGTCAGCTCTGTCCCTGACTCCTAAAGCTCTGGCCCAGATTCAAGGGTTCATCCTTGAAAGGAAGCGGTTGTCCCTTTCAGGAGTGTCGGGAAAGCAAGTGAGGAACAGGAGCCCTGACCACCCCATCCACATCCCTTCTCCAGCTTCTCCTCCCCAAACTCCAGGAAGGCACCTGACCCTTCCTCCCACAGGACCACACACCCCCTTCCAAAGACCAAGGTCAAGTCACTGGCAAGTGTGAACATGGCAACATTTATTCTCAACACAAACAAAAGGAACCTAAGCTTTTAGACAAATGGAAAATTAGTTTCTGTGTCCTATGCTGGGGTCCTGCTGAGGATGGCACAATGTCCATAACCTGCACATCAGGCTTCATGGACAGGATCATGGTGTGGTGCTCCTACCCCCACTGCAGTGCATAGTTGTCTTCAGGAAAAGATGCCTCCTCTGCCCAGGGTCATGCCTCCCTGTGAGAGGTACACAGTGCACAAGCCAGGCCCATCCATGGGGGCAGAGCAGGTGCAGGCTCCATGAATCTGTCACTCTTCCACATTGTGCAAGCTGTGAGCCCTGAGGGCTATTCCCAGGCTACATGGCAGCAGGTAGACCTGGGGAGAGAGCTGGGGAGAGGCTGCAGCAGCAGGCAGGCCTGGGGACAGCTGAGCACTGCATCTCCTTTCCAGCAGTTGTCCCCCCACCCCCCACCTTAGTATTCCCAGCTATACATATGTAGGAAACCTGGTAATGTCTTCACAGGGCTTGAGCTGGTTTCGGGCTCAACCAGCAGATCATGGCATCCACCAGGCAGGTGGGCATGTAGCTCAGAGGGATGTAGAAGAACTTGGCGTCCCAGCCAGCAGAGTAGCGGGTGCGGGGGTGGCTTGCAGTCAGTGCATGCTCCATGCAGTCAGTCACCAGGGGAAGGTCCTGACCAAAGAGCGGCTTCAATAGATGACTCAATTTAATGTCTGTCCAGAAAGAGAAAAGACTCAAGTATATTTCTGTTGTGGGTGACTGTATTACTGCCTATGACCATGGGCCTGGTACTAAACTCCATACAGTGCAGGGCATGGGGGTTCTCCCTAAAGTGCATGCCAGGGTTGGACCTGTGATGACCCCTTGAATCTCCCTCACCACTCCCTCTGGGCACAGCTTACTCACAGGCTTCCAGAAACTCCTGGCCATAGACCTTCTTGACCTCGGGGTTGGCCTGGTTCCATATGGCCTCCATAGACTGCCTAAATTTCTTTTTGTCCACTATGTTGGTCTGGAAGTAACCGGGTTCAATCATGGCCACCTTCACCCCAAACGGTGAGAGTTCCCTCCTGTAAGCAGAGAAGCAAGTGCTAGTGTTGTGTGCAACGGATAGTGCTGTTACCTGTTTCAACATCCCTGACAGGTGGCGTAAACTCTGGTTCCTCCACTTCTGATCCAGCTCCCTGCTATTGCACCTGGAAAGCAGATGAGGAGGACCCCAGTGTGTGTCCCTGCACCAACAAGGAGACGTGGAAGAAGCTCCCAGTTCCTGGCTTCAGCATAGTCCTTATGGCCATTTGGAATGAACTAGCGGAGCAAAAATCTCTCTTTCTCTTTTAACTCTGCATTTCAAACAAAAAACAAAAAAAAAGGAAGGAAGAAAGGAAAGAAAGAAAGAAAGGAAGAAAGAAAGAAAGAAAGAAAGAAAGAAAGAAAGAAAGAAAGAAAGAAAGAAAGAAAGAAAGAAAGAAAGGAAGGAAGGAAGGGAAGGGAAGGAAGGAAGGGAGAGAAAGAAGGAAAGGAAGGAAGAAAAAGAAATCTTAATAAAAGAAAAATAGAGAGGTGTGAGACAGTGACTTGGCACTCATGAAAAACAGCATCGACAGCACACAGTAAATCCTCACCCACAATGCACTGGATGGGAAAGGACCTTGGGGGAAGGTGTAGGAATCCAGCCCACTCAGATACAGGAGGGGTCCAATATCTGACCTACAGTCTTTCATGGGCACAGTCAAGTGCATTCCATTGCCAGTAAGCTCCTCAGTGCTGTACCCTCTTGGCCCCTCCCTGCTTCTGCATCTCCAGGTCTCAGCCATACCTCCTCTTCCTTGCTCCTCCATCACCTCCCGCACACTCCTCCACTGTCTCCCTGCTCAGTTCCATGCTGCCCCAATGCCAGCTCCTCTCTGGAGCCTCCTCTGCCACTGGCCTGTCTCCTACATCCAGAGCCATCCTTGGTTCTCCCAAAGAGTAATGAGACATTGGCTGCACAGAGAGGCTCCCCTGAGCCAGGTCTCTCACTGGATTCTGCTGCCAGCAGCAGGAAGGGCACAACCTGTCCAGGAACCCGTGTCCTCAAGTCCCACCTGTACTCTCCTGCTCAACCTCCTTCCTACAAGATCTTATCTTACCCTTTCCCCAGGAGCACACAATACCTGAGTGAGTCTGAGAAGGCCTCCACACCGTACTTGGAAATGCAGTAGCCACCACCAAATGGTGACAGACGGCCCAAAAAGCTGGAGACATTGACCACACGGCCCCGGGCCTTCCTCACCAAGGGCAGCAGGTTCAGAGTCACTTCAATCGTCCCCAGAAGGTTCACATTGAGCATGTCCACAAAGTCCTGTTTGGTCAACCACTCATTGGGGGCTGAAGGCAAGGCGATGCCAGCATTGTTCACCAGTCCCCAGAGTCCTGGAGACAGTAGGGGGGGGGAGAGAGAGAGAGAGAGAGAGAGCAGGTCTAGGTTGAACCTGTGCAGTGCACATCCTGCTGGGGTTCAAATTCATATTACAATGGAATGCACTGATGGGAGAAGGGAGGGAGTAGGCAAAGGAAATGGAGCAGCTGGGACATGAACCAATATTTGCACCAATATGGGATCCTGGTATACAAAGGTGAGAACTTTTACTGGGGTTTGTGCAGTGGATGTGAGGGACACAAAGGTGTCCCATTGCAGGCAGGGCCACAGGGAAATTCCTGCTGTATGGCAGGGCTCAGCAGACGTCTCTACAAACCACTTGAAGGCAGTCCCACCTCCCTTTGCTGTGTGGACACTGAACCACCCTGCTGAGAATTCTGTAATCTCTTCAGGCATTGTTTACCTCTGTGGAGTTGGTTTTTACTATCAATGCGAGCTTGGAAGTTGATGCTGCTGGTAAGTCTTGCCAAAGGGCCTTTTACAATTCATGCTGTCCTTGTCTCAGCTGACCTTAAGCTAATCAAGGGATCTATTTTATGGTTTCTTCCATCCTTTTCTTGATCTTTAGGTTTCCCCTTGACCATGACGTAAAAAGTCTGTGCCAGAGCTTGTGACGGCTTCTGTATAAATAAGGGGGACAGCTTTCTTGCATTGTCCGTTATGATCATGAAATTATAAGTGGTCCATTTCTTTTCTTTTTACGCCTACTCCATGCACCCTTCTCTAGTTCCGAACTTGGCTGGAACTGGACTCTGGCAGACTTTAGCCATGAGACTACCAAGTTGATCTCCAAATAAACAACTTTTTATAATAATAATAATAATAAATAATGGAACAATCAATAAAGTATGTAGAGATAGTCTGAAAAATAGAAAATTGCAGATTTTCATTTATGACAATAAAGTATAAGAAGCATTTTCAGTGCCCAAGCACAGAATATGGCTTCAAGTAATACAATAACTAATCAAATTCAACATTTGAAAGTAAATTTCTATCCTGTTGTAACCACACTCATGTTGGGGCTGGTGTTTTGGCATAATGGGCAAGCAACTACCTGCCTAGTGGCATCCCACATGGGCACCAATTCAAGTCCCTGCTGCTCCACTTCTTACCCAGCTCCCTACTAATGATCTGGGGGAAAGTATTGGGAAGCTGGCCCAAGTGTCTGGGCCTTTGCCACGCCTGTGGGAGAGCTTCATCCAGCTTTAGTCTGGTCCACATTGCCCATTGCAGCCATCTTGTGACTGAATCAGCAGGTGGAATATTAGTCCCCTTTTTGTTTCCCCACCTCTCTTTGTAATTCAAACTTTCAAGTGAACAAATACATCTTTAAAGAGAGAGAGAGATCATCTTTGTAAAGAGAGAAATAGGGCCTGGCACACAGCCTGTTGGTTAAAGTCATCCTCTTGCATGTATTAGGATCTAATATGAGTGTTGGTTGGTGTCCTGGCTGCTCCCACTCCCCGCTTGTGGCCTGGACAAGCAGTAGAGAATGACTCAAGGTCTTGGGACCCTGCACCTGCATGGGAGACCCGGAAGAAGTTCTGACTTCGTTGTGGTTACTTGGGGAGAGAGCAAACGGACAGAGAGAGAGAAAGAGAAAATAATATCAATGTTGTACTAAATATAATCCTACAGGCATCAAAATGTTAGCAATACCCATGTCTAGGTGACAATGTTTGGTGATTTTTGATCTTAGCTTTCAACCTCCCAGTCTATTTCTATTTAAATTTAAAAAATCAATTCTTCTTGTCTCCTCCCATAATGAAATACGCAAGCTAGTATGCTTTATCAGGCCAGAAAGTGGTCTGTTCCTGGCTTCTGACCTGCCTGAGCCAGTCTTCAACCTCCTGATCTCCTGTGAAAAAGGAAGGATCATGCTGTTGGAAGGATGGATGCTGTTGGTCTCCAGTAAGAACAAGTTCAAGGGCTCAAGAGCTAGTCTGGCTCTAGCACAGCCCCAGGCCACCACCTCCAACCCACAGCTCAGGGTCCACTTCCCTTGCCCTCTAGAAAGTCTGTCCATCTGCAGCCCAGGGCCTCCGTGTGGAGCAAGGAAGAACTTGTGCTTAGAAAGCAGGCCCCGAATACAGAGAGACTGAGTTGGGCCAATTCTCATCAGGACAGGGGACTCGAGGGCCAAGGGGGTGAGTGGGAATGGGAAAGAGTAGGAGTGCAGGCTGGCAGGATGGGAGAGGGAAGAAAGCCAACATGACCTCAAGTCCTGAAAACCCTTGGGGCATCTGGCAAGAGGCAGACAAGAGAAAACTCCAGCACACAGAGGGAAGAGGCGGGCATGATCAGGTGTTGGTGGTACCTCTGTCTCCCACATGCTCCTTCACCCACTGGGCAGCCGCAGTGATGCTCTCCGTCTGTGTGACATCCAGGATCACCGTCTCCACCCTGTCCGATGTCTGCCGCCTCAGCTGTTCAGCCCCCTTCTCTGTCAGACATGCGGCCAGCACCCTCAGGCCCCTCATGTCCAGCTGCCTGGCCAGCAGGTTCCCAAAGCCCGAGTCGCAGCCTGTGATGAAGACATACTTGTCTGTCAGCTGGCTCACCACCTGCCTCTCGCGGTACCAGCGCACCAGGAAGAACAGGCCCATGAGGGCCACCAGGCAGCCCCACATGGCTTTTCAGGGGACACACAGACAGGCTGGGGTGACACGAGAGTGTGGCCTTCTCTAACAGCAGAGCAGTGAGGGAACAGAGATCTGTTCGGTTGCTCTCCTAGGCTCAGTTCCAAAGGTTCTGGTTAGTACCGAACCTCTGTATTTCTGTAACCTTTTTATCTTAACTCCACCTCTTTGCCCTTTGCACTGCCTTTGCAAGGAAGCAAACTTCTCTGTGTGGACTTTAATATCTTTTGCACAGGCTAAACATGTCCTTTAATCACATGTGGAATGAACTATGAAGCAGTTTATGTGCACACATAAGCAGTGTATGTTTGTTTGTCTGTGTTTCATTCACAATCCTTTCCCTTGGCAGTAATACTCCCCCGCCATTGCTTGTTTCCGCCTTCCTGTGCATACACAGGTTACCCACAGACACACTGGTGCCCGCACATGTGCACACACTGACACACTTGCATGCCCACAGCAGTGTCCTCACACAGTAACATCACTCACTACTGTGCTCCATCTTCCAAGGTCAGGGATGTGTGCACACATCCTGTATGTGTGCTCTGCAGGACCTTTTCCTGGGGAGCTGTACCTGCAGACAAGGTGCTGTGATGCCATTAGAAAGCAAAGCAAGGGGCTAGTGGCTCACAATTAAGGCTCCTGATGTTCTGTTTTGTTAATATTGATTTAATCTATTTGAAAGAGAGAGAGAGAGACACACACACACAGAGAAGATGGAGAGATGTTCCATTTGCTGGGAACCAGACCCAAGCAGGTGCATCCTACTTGTCTCCCATGTGGGTACAGGAGTCCAAGCAGTTGAAGCATGCTCTGCTTTCCCAGGCACATGAGTAGGGAGCTGGAACAGAAGTGGAGCATCTGAGACTCCAACTGGTGAACACATGGGTTGCCACCACCACAGACAGTAGGGGGACCCACTAGCCCACTATGCAGACTGTTAGTTTTCATTCTTTCTCTGTGTGTACAGAAGATACAGGTGTATGCAAACACAGACACAAGCATAAAACACAGCAAACACAACACCAATTCCACGTGTTCCAGCCTCGCCATGCAGGTGTTCCTGAGGTGGGAAGCCCACCCAGAATGTCTGTGAGTGTCCAAACGCTGGTCTCCTGTGCCAGTTCCATTTGGGCAACCCTCACCTCAACTGGACATCTGGAAGTGACTGAGAGACAGTGGCTTTAGAGCAAGGCATTATGAATCAGTCTGTCCCTACTCCAGAGACTCAGCCCAGAACCTCCCTTTCCCTCTCTTTTCCCAAGGCAACCAGATCAGTGGGGGCTGGGAGGTGCCTTGGTTCTTCTGAGTCCCAGCAGGTGCCTTTCCTCTTTCCCTTTCCAGGCTGTCTTCCCTCTGTGTGTGTGTGTGTGTGTGTGTGTGCGCGCGCGCGTGGGTCATGCACTACTGATCCCCATTGGCTCCATCAGTCCAGGGTGCAGTGACATTGGGAAGATGTCCAGCACAGGAGGCAGGGCAGGGCCATGAGTCTGTATGCAAATGGCACCCAGGATACAATAGCACTTCCTGCTTCTGGACACGGGCCTAGAGCCACCAGAGGATGCCCTGGTCAGCTCTGTCTTCCAGTGTGGCATTGCAGATGTGGCCCAAACACTTAGCACCCAAAGAAAAACATGGCACCCACAACACAGTAGCATGACTGACCTTTGACTCCATCTTCCAGGGGCAGCTGTGTGCATGTCCTGAGGAAGCGCCCACCATGGGCCTCACTTGGTGTTTTCATGAGGAGCCTTGGTTGTCAGCTTGGAGTCACTGACAAGCTCCCCAGCTGTCAGGTGCATACTGAAAAAGAAATTCCAGGCCCCTAGGGAGGACCTCCTACCTCTAAAGCATTCCTAGCCAAGATCCCACAGCAATTCCTGCTTTCTGGGGCAGGCCATGCCTGCAGCTCCTGAGAGGATTGAGCAGCAAGCACTGTGTCTCAGGACACAAGGTAGACTTCCAGAAAGGCTCCTCACAGGCAGGAGGCAGTGAGTGCTGGGGACAGGTGACAGGCCTGTGGGCACTGCAGGGTCTGAGACAGCAGTGTGTGGGGTGCCTGAGGTGTGACACAGGTGTGCCTGCAATGACAGTAACAGAGGAAACAACTCCAGGGGCTCAAGTGAGAGAGGAGTTAGTGGGTAGTAGGCAGTTAGGGCATTCTGGGTCCCCGAGTAAAAGAGAATTTCTCCACCATGTCTTGGACTCACCAGAACACGTCCCTTCCAAGGGACAGGTGTTATCAATGCCCCACCTGAAGTATTATCGGCCATTACCTTGGCCATTGTGGGAGGGCCTCAGGCTGATAAGTGATGCATATCTGCCCAAGGCCTGGAATGTCCCATATCCTGCACCTCCCTGATCTTTTGCCCCAAAACCGAACACCTGGGGACCACCTGGGGACAGGGAAATTCCTTTAAAAGATCCCAACACTCCCCCATGCACGGGTCCTTTCTATCTCAAAGCCCCCTCCCGTCACTAGGACGGGAGTCTTCTCTTCTCAACTTTCCTAATAAATCTTGCGTTAAAACTAAACTGTGTCCGCATGAAAATTCTTCTTTCCTGCGAGACAAGAATTTGAGGTTGCTGCCATACTCGGAGTCAAAATTCCTGCAACACAAGGAGGGTAGGGGACAAGGGAGGAAGATGTGAATGATACAGAAAAGAGACTGGGGAGTTGACTCCATTCCTGACTCCTAATGCTGAGACCCAGGCTCGGGGGTTCACACTGGAAGGGAAGCAGTTGCCCCGCTGTGTGTGTCAGGAAGGCACATTGAGGACCAGGATGCCCCAAGACCCCATCCACATCCCTCCTTAGCAGCCTCTATCTGTACTCCAGTAAGGCACCTGACCCTTCCTCCCACAGGTCCACACCATTCCCAAAGCCAATGTCAAACACTGCGTTTGTGTGAACATAGCAACATTTATTCTCAAACAACACAATCAAAAGGAAACTAAGCTTTAAGACAAATGGAAAATTGGCTTCTGTGTCCTATGCTAGGGTCCTGCTGAGGATGGCAGCTCTCCTAGTGCCCATAAACCTGCACATCAGGCCTCACGCACAGGGTGGGGTTGACCCTCACACTCTCAAGCAGTGTGCAATTGTATTCAGAGGATTATAATTCCCATGCCCAGAGCCATGCCTCAATATGAGAGGTGCAGAGTGCACAGGCCAGGCCCACCCAGGGAGGCAGAGCAGGTGCAGGCTCTGTGTACCTGCCACTCCCCCACACTGTGCAGATACATCTTGAGAGCCATGAAGCTGTGAGCCCTGAGGGCTGTTCCCAGACTGCATGGCACCAGGTGAGAGCTGGGGAGAGGCTGGAGCAGCAGGCAGGTTTGGGGACAGCTGAGCACTGCATCTTCTTTCCCAAGCTTCTGCCTCCTCTAGCTCTCAGGGCGCCTAGCTCTGCACCATCAAGTAGGGTCCTCACAGGGCTTTGGCTGGCTTTGGGAAAATCCGACAGAATATGGCGTCCACCAGGCAGGTGGGCATGTAGCTCAGAGGGATGTAGAAGAACTTGGCGTCCCAGCCAGCGGAGTAACGGGTGCGGGGGTGGCTTGCAGTCAGAGCATGCTCCATGCAGTCAGTCACCAAGGACAGATCCTGCTTAAATGGGGGACTGAGTCTTGCACCAACCTTCTGGTCTGCCGGAAACAGAAAGATTGGTGTATTCTCAGTCTCCTCAGCTCCTACTTGCATTCAACATGGAATAAAAAGTTTCTGTGTCTCAAACCATCTACTTCCCAAAGCCCTACCCAAATCCTTTCTATTCAGGTGCTTGGTGGGACATTCCAGCCGTTACACCAGAAGTGGGTGTGTCACACTCAACCACCTCCTCCTTTCTCCCTAGGCTTAGCAAAGAGCATCCAGGGAGAGGTTCTGGCCACATCAGAAACCCAATTTCAGGGTCCAGCTCCCTTTAACACCAGTTTCCAAGAGTCCATGGCATGTTCCCTCTCTGCCTCCCTTTACCACACTAAATTCTGAGGATTTAATTGATTTGAGGTCCAAGGTTTAACAGGTCTGGACACATGATGTAGGCATGATCACACATGACTGTGGGCATAAGGCTAAGTATGTCCACTATGCGGTTATAAGGGGTCTTCCTGAGGACCCCTGCCAGGGTTGGAGGTGCAAGGAATGGCCCATGGACTCCCACATAACTCTGCTTCTCCTCCCACAGGCACAGCTCACTCACAGGCTGTAAGAAACTCCCGGCCATAGATCTCCTTGATCTCGAGACTGGTCTGGTTCCACATGATGCGTGCGGATGCTGTATCTCTCCCAGCGTTGCCAATGTTGGTCTGGAAGTAACCAGGCTGAATGATGGCCACCTTCACTCCAAAGGGGGAGAGTTCCCTCCTGCAGGCCAGAGGCAGAGTACAGGGCTCAACACTCAGTGGTAGCAGTAGCCATACCACAGAGTAAGCTCTCCCATGACTGGGAGAAGAGAGCAGCACGAAGTCGCAGCCTGGGGACACTAGCCCTGCCACTCATTCTGCCCCCTGTGCCTGACCCACACAAGCTTATTGCTTCTCAGTCAAATGGATTCCTCTGCCAGTCAGCGCCTAGGTGTTGTAACCTCTGGGCCTTTCCCTGCAGCTACATCTCCAGCTCTCGGCCATGCCTGCTTCTTCACTTCCTCCCTGCTTCTTCACCCCCTCCTGCCCTCTCCTTCTCCACTGGCTCCCTGTTCAGCTCCATGCTGCCCCATTGCCAGCTCCTCTCTGGAGCCTAATCTGCCACTGGCCTGTCTCTCACACTCAGCCATCCTTTGTCTTCCCAGGGGACAATGAGATCTTGGCTCAGGGAATGGTTCCCCTGAAAGAGATCTCCCATGGGACTCCCATGAGACTCCAGCAGCAGGAAGGCACAACGTGCCCAGGGTTCAAGGGCTGACTGTCCCCATATCCAACCCGTGCTTTTTCACCCAACTTCCCTCTTGCAAGGCCTGGACTCGTCCTTCCCCAAGAGCACCCAGTACCTGAGCGAGTCTGAGAAAGCCTCTACACCATGCTTGGAAATGCTGTAGCCGCCACCAAATAGTGCCATGCGTCCCAGAGGACTGGAAACGTTGACCACGCGGCCCCGGGCCTTCCTCACCAAGGGCAACAGACTCAGAGTCACCTCAATCAACCCTATCAGGTTTACGTTGAGCACATTCATAAAGTCCTGTTTGGTCAGCCATTGGTTGGGGGCTAAAGGCATGACGATGCCAGCATTGTTCACCAGGCCCCAGAGCCCTAGGGATGGTAGGGAGGGAGAGAACAGCTGTAGGATGAACCTGTGCAGCACCCATCTGCTGGGCTCAATGTCACATCACAATAGAATGCACTGATGGAAGACATAACAATGTTGAAAAGGAACAGGAGAAGGGAGGGAGTGGCTAAAGGAACGTGGTGGCCAGACTAGTCAGCGTGTGCTGGGTCATCAGCATCTGCTTTCTCTTTCTAGGAACCCCAGCCACCAGGACTAGCTCTAGCAGCAAATCCAGCATTGGCCCCATGCTCAGCCCCACACTGAGACTCATGGCTCAAGTTAGCTGAGCAGGGACCATACATTGGTGGCCTGCACACAGAAGGAAGAGGCATGCATGAGCAGGTGCCAGGTGGTACCTCTGTCCCCCACGTGCTCCTTCACCCACTGGGCAGCCGCAGTGATGCTCTCCGTCTGTGTGACATCCAGGATCACCGTCTCCACCCTGTCCGATGTCTGCCGCCTCAGCTGTTCAGCCCCCTTCTCTGTCAGACATGCGGCCAGCACCCTCAGGCCCCTCATGTCCAGCTGCCTGGCCAGCAGGTTCCCAAAGCCCGAGTCGCAGCCCGTGATGAAGACATACTTGTCTGTCAGCTGGCTCACCACCTGCCTCTCGCGGTACCAGTGCACCAGGAAGAACAGGCCCATGAGGGCCACCAGGCAGCCCCACATGGCTTTTCAGGGGACACACAGACAGGCTGTGATGACACAAGAGTGTGACAACTGCCACAGCAGAGCAGTGAGATCTGTCACCTCAGATCCCAGCTTTGGTTCAATTATATTTTTGGACTCTGCTCTCCCACCTGACTCCTGTCTTTCTAGAACTGTTTTCTATTAACTCAACCTCTCTGCTCTTTGGACAGCTTTTGTAAGTTATCAAAGTCCTACGCATGAATTCAAATTTTGTACCAAGATAGACATGTCCTTCAATAACACTTGCAATGAATTTGTGATGCGCTTTGCGTATGTGTGCTTGTGTTTCTCTCAGTGTCTTAACCGGCAATAATTACCTACCTCACTGATTCTCCTCCGCTTGTCTGTGCACTCACAGGTACCCAGAGACAACTCAGGTGCCTACACAGTGCATGCACAGAACACTCAGAGGTTCACAGCAGTGCCCACACAGCAACCTTAACAGACAGACCATCCTGCAATTACTTGGCCTCATGCATTGATGCTATTAGCCCAAATGAGTGATATTTGGGGGCATGGAAGGAGAAGGTGATGCCTTAGCATCTGCAGGTGGAGTTTGGGCACCAGGATATGGCAAGAGGCCCAACCCCTTCCATGTGGTGTTCTGGCTTCCCTCCCTGGCCAGGTACAGAGACTGCACACGCCTTCCTTGATGGTCACTGTGTGGGCTGGTACAGCTGGGCCCCTCAGCCCAAGGATGGCCTGTCCCTCATGTTCCCTGAATTTGGGATCTCCCATTTGTCTCTCCTGGCTACACAATCATCAAGCATGTTTTCCTTCTCAATCTTTTCTTCCTTCCTCTTTGCTTTCTCTTCTCTCCTTGTCCTTGGTTTCTCTCTCACCTCCTCCCTACTTCCTTCCCTTCTCCTATCCAGGTACTAGTACTAAGGTCAAGTCCTGTCAGGCTAGACTTCAGAACCATCTACAAAGTGCAAGATCCAGGCATAGGAGTGGGTGTAGTGGGGAAACTTTGGGCACCCCTCTGATGGGTTGTAGTTCCCACCAGTGAGCATGAGAACCAGGGTTGGGGGCAGGCCTTGGTGGACAGGCTGTGGCACCCGCTGGCATGAGTGTAGGCTGCATAGCAAGGTTGGTCAAACTGAGCTAGGCTCCAACAGCCATTGATATGTACAAAAGCCAAATGAGATTGGGACAGACTCGACAAGTCTGTTGCACATATCAGCATACATGTAACTGGGTTGGGAGCTGGCCTGGTAGGGGTTTCTGGTGTTTGCCCCAACCAGGCTACAGTTTCTACTGGTATGCATGAGAACCAAGTGTGTGGTGAGCAGGGCCAGGCTGGGCCTCAGCATCTATAGGTTTGAGTATAAGATGAGGCTGGAGAAAGAACTGACTGAGCAATTCCAAACATCAACGTGTATGGGATGGTGTTGGTGACACACTGAGCTGGACCTTGTACTGGCTAGCAGACACACAGGAGTCAGGTTTGCACTTATCTCTGCTGAGGTTTTTTTTGAGGGGGGACACCAACTGGACCACTGGAATCAACCACGGGGAAAATCATAGGATCTGTGGTCTGATCATGGAGTGCATGTGTCAGAACTGTGTCTCCTCAGTTGTTGAAACCTGTGCAGTGGGTGGCATGCCCAGCCCAGATGCACATGGGGGAGATATGGCAGTCCACCGGACTCTGCAGAGGACCTCTGGTACCATGGCAGAAGGTGAAGAGCAGAACAAATTGAACAAATCCCAGCTTGGACACCCAGTATCTGGGCAAATGGAGACTCTGGGTGGACTATGTCAGTCAATGGAACTTAGAAGGACTTCCTGAACCTCAGAGCAATAAAATCAACAGCATCCCAGAACTATCAAAACTACTTCAGCAGTCCCCTTGGAATATGCTCCACATTGGAGACCCTGCGATGCCATCAGGTGGCCATCCTCAATCCCCAGGTACTGATGCTATTGAACTACTGGGAGCTGCCCTTTCCCATTCTCTTCCTCCCCAATATACAGGAAGAAGAAAAAAAATCAAAACAGTTGTCTCATCCACTTTCGCCTATTAGTTGATCCTTCCCACCCTAATTGGTGGTCCACAAGGGCATGCATCCCCTCAATAATGCAAACGTCATCGAAAATAAAATTAAAACAAAAAACAATAAATAGTAAATGATGCTCTCAACACTGGAATGCACAGACATTGTATATCCAGATTTGAAAGAGACTGGATCTTGAACATCTCAACACTGTGGCATAGCAAGTTAATCCATAAGGACTGTGCCAACATTCGATAAGGGCAAAGGTGGAAAGCCTGGCCGCTGTACTTCCCCATCTTAATCCCTATTGGTTCACCTGGGAAAGCAGCAGAGGATAGCCCAAGTGCCAGATGCTAGCCTCCCGCTTGGGAGTTGTTGAAGGAGAACCAGGCTCTGGCCTCAGGCGTGAATCAAAAGTAGGCCACAGGTGTTACAGAAGTAGGGAGAATATTACAGGGAGTTGAAGAGCTCTCCGTCTTTCTCTCTGCCTCTATCTGTGATTCTACTTTTCAATACTTAAATAAGTAAGAGTCAAAAAGAAAACACTGACCTCAAGGTGCACAAGGGAGGGAGTCTGCAGGGTGGGATCAGAGTGAACGTCCATTCTCCTGTCCTCTCACCTGTGTTTTGCATTTCCAATCTGGAAGACAGAAACCAGGGAGCTCTATTCTTGCCCAAGGTGGTTCCTCTGCCCTCTGCTCTGTTAGGCCTCTCATTATGTAAGAATAGAGATCCCTGGTTTCTGTCTTCCTGATTGGAAATGCAAAACACAGGTGAGAGGACAGGAGCATGGACGTTCACCCTGATCCCACCCTGCAGAGTCCATGACGTGTGCACTTTGAGGTAGCATTTTCTTTCCTTTTGAGTTTTTATCAATTCAGACTGTTACAGAAGCAACTGAAACAGAAAGACACAAAGCACAAACACAAACAGGGAGAGAGAGTTCTTTAACTTGCTGAGTCACTCTTTATGGCTGCTAAGCCATGGATCTGCTCTGGCCAATGAAAACCCAGGAGCTGGTGGGAAGTGGAGCACCAGGCCTTGATTCTTACATGTATGGTATGCTGCTATTGCACAAAGTGGATGAACTGTATCACAGTGAATATTTCCCTTACTGATTTCTTTCAACACTAGATGCTCACTGTCCTTGTATTCTGGTGTTGATAGAATCGTGTATTTACCCAGTGTGGCACTGTGAGCTGTTGAAATGTGTTTCTTGCTTTTCCTGGATCGATGGACGTAAGCATACGACTGCTGTAATAAAAATTCCTCCTCTGCTCCTAAGTTAATACAAGATGTTCAAGCAGGTCCTTTCTCTAATGCCATGGAGAGGTGAGCAGGGGCAGAGCAGAGCTGCAGGCTTAATTTCTATCCAGGAAATCCAGATTCAAGCTTTTCCTACCTTCATGACCACACCATCAAATCCTGCCCTGCTGAGCTGAGGGTGAAGGTCAGTCTGTCTGACTCCTTCCCAGTTCAAGGCTGGTTCACTCACCCCGACCTCCCAGCCAATCTTCTCAGACTCTGGATGTCTGGGAACTTATGAGGTTAGAGCAGGGGTGGTGTTTTGGGGAGAGCATGGGAGAAGAGGGTGACACTTAGGCATCTGCAGGTGGAGTCAGGGCACCAGGATGTGGGAAGAGGCCCCATGCCCTCTGCTTGGTGATCTGGGTTCCCTCCCTGGCCAGCGTAAGATTCCCAAGCAGAGACTGCACACACTCAAGCTGGAGAACAAGGAAAGACAGTGTAGGTGACACAGAGAAGAGAGTAGGGAGTCGACTCCATCTCTGACTCCAAATATAGAGGTCCAGGTTCATCCTGGAAGGGAAGAAGTTGTCCCTCCCCCGTGAGTCAGGAAGGCACCTTGAGGACCAAGAGCCCCAAACACCCTATCCACATCCTTCACCTGGCCCTCCTCACCTACCACTAGAAAGGCACCTGATCCTTCCTCCCATGGGCCCACACACTTCGTTTCCGAGGCGAAGATCAATTCACTAGGCAAGTGTGATCATGGCAACGTTTATTATCAAGCAAAACATAAAGAAAGAAACCATTATTTCAACAATGGGAAATTGATTTCTGCATCCTATGCTGAGATCCTGCTGAGGATGTCATCTTCCCCCCAATGCCTATAAAAAGAAACCTCAGGCCTTATGAGCAGGGTGGGGATTGGCCCTCCCACCCTCAAACAGTGCACAGCTCTCTTCAGAGGATGATGCCTCCTCTGCCCAGGGCCATGCCACCCATGAAAGGTGCACAATGTACAGACGTACCACCCAGGGAGGCAGAGCAGATGCAGGCTCTGTGCACCTGCCACTCCCCGACACTGTGCAGATGCGTCCTGAACCATGAAGCTCTGATTCCTGAGAGCTGTTCCCAGGCTACATGGCACCAGGTGAGAGCTGGGGAGAGGCTGGAGCAGCAACAGGCCTGGGGACAGCTGAGACTGCACCCTTCTCTCCCCAGTTAATCCCCCTTCTCTCTCACTGTGCCCAGCTCAACACTATCAGATAGCACCCTCACAGGGCCTTGGCTGGTTTTGGGTGAGTCCACTGGAATATGGCGTCCACCAGACAGGTGGGCATGTAGCTCAGAGGGATGTAGAAGAACTTGGCATCCCATCCAGGGGAGTAGCGGGTGCGGGGGTGGCGTGCAGTCAGTGCATGTTCCATGCAGTCAGTCACCAAGGACAGCTCATGCATAACTGGGGGCTTGAATGCTTCCATCATCTTAATGTCTGCAGAGACAAAAGACTCACGTATACTTCAGCCTCCTCAGCTTCTACTTGCAATCAACATGAAATAATAGGTATCTAAATTTCTAACCCTCCCCCTAAAGCTTTGCCCAAATCCAAACCATCAGAGTTCCCTGTGAAATCCCCAGCCCTTACATCAGGGGAGGGTGTACCACACTTAACCACCTTCTCCTTTCTCCCTGGGCTTAGCTGAGTGCAACCAGGGGGAGGTTCTGGCCACACCAGAAACCCAAGTTCAAGTTCCAGCTCCCTCTAACACCAGTTTCCAAGAGTCCATGGCATGTTCCCTCTCTGCCTCACTTTACTACTCACAATTCTGAGGGTTTAAATGACTCAAGGTCCAAGGTCTAAGAAGCCTGGACACATGCTGCAGCTGACCCTGTAGCCACACGTGACCATTGGCATGGAGCTAAGCATGCCCACTACGCAGGGCAGGGAGGGTGTGCATGATGGACACTGCCAGGTTGGAAGCACAAGGGATGGCCCAGGGACTCCCACGTGACTTAGCTTCTCCTCCTTAGGGCACAGCTCACTTACTGGCTGCCAGAAACTCCTGGCCATAGACCTCCTTGAGCTCAGGGCCGATCTGGTTCCATGCGGCTTGTAAGGACTCTACAAATCTCTCAGGCTTGATTATGTTGGTTGGGAAGGTACCCGGTTCAATGATGGCCACTTTCACCCCAAAAAAGGAGAGCTCCCTCCTGCAGGACAGAAACAGAGGACATGGTTCGGCACTCACTGGAAGCAGCAGTCACACCACACAATGAGCACTCCCTACTACAATGATGGGGAAGAGAGCAGCAAAAAGAGCGATTGAACACAACAGCCCTGACACAGCATGGGACTCCACATACACGCTTATTGTTTCTCAAACGGATTCTTCTGCTAGTCAGCTCCTAGAACCATACCCTCTGTATCACTTCCTGCTCATGCTTCTCCTGGTGTTGACCACATCTATCCTCCCTGCTCCTCCACCCACTCCTGCTCTCCTCCTCCACTATTGTATCTAATCATCACCCTGCTGCCCCACTTCCAGTTACTTCTGGAGCCTCATTTGCCACTGGCGTGGCCTTGGCTCTCAGAGTCATCCGTGGTCATCCTACAGGTCATGAAACCCTGGATACACAGATAGGTTCCTCTAAGCCAGCTCTTCCACGGAACTCCACTGCCAGCAGCAGAAAGGGCACAACCCACCCAGAAACCTAGGAGGGTCCCCACATCCCGTCTGCAGTCACCTGTCTAATCTCTGACCCTCCTGCAAGGCCTGGCCTTGTCCTTTCCCCAGAGCATCCAGTACCTGAGTGAGTCTGAGAAGGCCTCCACACCGTACTTGGAAATGCAGTAGCCGCCACCCATCATGGACAAGCGGCCCATGACACTGGAGACGTTGACCACGCGGCCCCGGGCCTTCCTCACCAAGGGCAGCAGGCTGAGTGTCACCTTGATCATCCCCAGCAGGTTCACGTTGAGCACATCCACAAAGTCCTGTTTGGTCAGCCACTCATTGGGAACCGAGTACCCAAGGATGCCAGCATTGTTCACCAGTCCCCAGAGCCCTGGAGACAGCGCAGAGAGAGAGAGAGAGCAAGTCTAGATTGAACCTGTGCATTGTCCAACATACTAGTGTTCAAATTCACATCACAGTGCGATGCACTGATGGAGAACATAGCAATGGCAGACAGGGAACAACAGAAGGACAGAGTAGGCAAGGGACATTCAGTGGCTGCAGCCAGGAACATCTGCTGTCAAAGCTCTGTTCTCTCTTCCATTCCTGTGCTTAGAAACCGGAAGCTACGCTCAGGAAGGGCATGGACATGGCTTGAGAAAACAGAGAAGACATCAGGTGTCTTCTGGGAGGAAAGGTTGAGGAGAGGAATGAGGTAACAGAAAGAAACCAAGGACAAGGGATAAGAGGAAGGGAAGGATTATAGGAAAAGGGAGAATGAAGAACATGCTGATGAGTGTTGTGTATAGTCAGGAAATACAGGGAGAACCTGAGATCAGGGGACGTGAGGGTCAGGCCTGCTTAGGCTGCAGGGCTCCAGCTGCAGCAGTACAAGTAGTGTCCATCAAGGAAGGCATGTGCAGCCTCTCTGTCTGGGAATTCAGCGCTGGCCAGGGAGGGAGCCCAGGTCACCAGGAAGAGAGGGATGGGGCCTCCTGCCACATCCTGGTGCCCTGATTCCACCTGCAGATGCCTAAGGTGTCACCCTCTCCTACCATACCTGCAAACACCTCTCCTGCCCTAAGCCTAAGGGCCTAGCCACTCAGCACTGGACAACACTGGCTAGGAGATCCGGGGGGGAGGACCCAGCCTCAAGCTGGAAAGGAGTCAGAATGACCAACCTTCACCCTCGGGTCAGCAGGACAGGTTCCGGTCAGGGAGGTGGGGGACAGCCTGACCCTGAACTTGCTGGTAAGAAATTAAGCCTACAGCTCTCACCTGTGCCACCTCACCACCTCATACACTGGTAAAAGAAAATGAATGATGAAGATATTCATCTCACAACTGGCATTGTGGCACAATGAACCCACTGGACAACGTCAGCATCTCATACGGGCTCAGGATCAAGGCTACGCTGACCAATTTCAATCCATTTCCATGCTTGTGTTCTTTCTAAAGTGGTGGAAGATGGCCCAAGAGCTTGACCCCAGTCATCCATTTGGGATATATGGACACAGTTGCATGCTCCTGTTTTGGCAAGACCCAGAGCCGAGCCCGAGCCCTGGCTGTCAGAGCTATTTGGGGAGTGATCCAATAGGGTCAAGAAACACTCTCTCTCCTTGTCTGTCTGTCTTTCATAATCTTTGCTTTTTAACACATAAGTATCTAAAAAAAAAAAGAAATAGAACGCTGACCTCAAATTGCACACCAGACAGAGGGAATTATCAAAAATGGAGAGTGGTCAAAGCGAACATGGATTCACTGTCCTCTCACCCATGTTTTTCATTTCCAGTCAGGAAAACAGACCAGTGACCTCTATTTTCACAAAAAGCACAAGCAGCCTAATAGAGCAGAGGATCCACCTCAGGTGTTTGGATCCGAGGACCCTGCAGCTTTCCCAGCGTCAGGCTCTCCCCATCAGGGGCAGGTGCTCAGACAGCCTGGGGGAGACAGAGACCCTGAGCTGACCCAGCCTGGTCCAGCCCCCAGGACTCCAAGCCACACCCAACCGGGGTCTCAGGCGCAAGGTGACAGGCTCAGTTGAGCAGGGACCATACATTGGTGGCCTGCACACAGAAGGAAGAGGCATGCATGAGCAGGTGCCAGGTGGTACCTCTGTCCCCCACGTGCTCCTTCACCCACTGGGCAGCCGCAGTGATGCTCTCCGTCTGTGTGACATCCAGGATCACCGTCTCCACCCTGTCTGAAGTTTGCTGCCTCAGCTGTTCAGCCCCCTTCTCTGTCAGACATGCAGCCAGCACCCTCAGGCCCCTCATGTCCAGCTGCCTGGCCAGCAGGTTCCCAAAGCCCGAGTCACAGCCCGTGATGAAGACATATTTGTCTGTCAGCTGGCTCACCACCTGCCTCTCGCGGTACCAGTGCACCAGGAAGAACAGGCCCATGAGGGCCACCAGGCAGCCCCACATGGCTTTTCAGGGGACACACAGACAGGCTGTGATGACACAAGAGTGTGACAACTGCCACAGCAGAGCAGTGAGATCTGTCACCTTAGATCCCAGCTTTGGTTCAATTATATTTTTGGACTCTGCTCTCCCACCTGACTCCTGTCTTTCTAGAACCGTTTTCTACTAACTCCACCTCTCTGCTTTTTGGACAGCTTTTGTAAGTTATCAAAGTCCTACGCATGAATTCAAATTTTGTACCAAGATAAACATGTCCTTTAATAACACTTGCAATGAATTTGTGATGCGCTTCGTGTATGTGTGCTTGTGTTTCTTTCAGTGTCCTAACCGGCAATAATTACCTACCTCACTGATTCTCCTCCGCCTGTCTGTGCACTCACAGGTACCCAGAGACAACTCAGGTGCCTACACAGTGCATGCACAGAACACTCAGATGTTCACAGCAGTGCCCACACAGCAACCTTAACAGACAGACCATCCTGCAATTACTTGGCCTCATGCATTCATGTTATTAGCCGAAACTGGCTCTCCCTTAACCCAGCTTACCTACATGCCAATGGGCTTTATAGACCTACCCATTCTGGCCTGCCCTAAGTCCTAGCTCACTTGCTTTCACACTCACGATCAGGAGCACTAGCCCAGCAGGGGTGTCCCTAAACCTCTCCTCAAGGTTTGCCCTCAGTCCTCCTCCCCTGCCATGCTCAAGTCTTATGTGTATAGGTGGATTTTGCAGCCCATTCTGGCATGCCTTCCTCAACTCAGCACTCACCAGCAGCTATTCCCAGCCTGCCCCAGGCCCAGCCCATGGTGGTGAATACTGCTCCCTCGTCCAACCCAACAGGCCCCAGTCAAGGTCTAATGTGAACTGGCTGTAGTTGCAGCTCACACGGTCTTTTCCACATCCATCCTGGTTCTTACATCTGCTACTTGGTTGTACGAACTGATCTGGTCCAGCCTATTCTCGGACCTGACCCACACATATACTGGTGGGTCAAGGCTGCTTCAGCCTCGGTTCTTACACTCACCTGCAGAGACTGTATCCTGACAGAGGAGTTCCTCAAGCTCCTCTTTCACATCATCTCCCAGTGGCAGATCTCTCACCCACCTGCAGGTTCTTGGACAAGCCTGACTTGGTCTATTTCCTGTCCTGGCTTGCCCATCTGACCCACGCCAATTCTGGCTTTTACTGTTGGTTGCTACAACTCAGCCCTTCCTTGTCCACCCCTAGAACTAGCTCTCATGAGGTTCAGCAGGTGCCAAGAACTAGCCCAGCTTGTCCTATACTTACCCTGGCTCTTGCAAGCACCAGTGAGTGTTAAAACCTAGTTCAGTGTAGCACACCCCAGACCTAGTCCATACCCATGCTGAGAGCTGCTAGAGCCGTGTCCAGCCCAGTTTGGCCACCCCCATTCTGGCTCTCACTCTCACCAGTGGGAACCACAACTCAGCCGCAGTGTCCTCTTAGCTTCCCAATAAGGCCTACTCCCAGCCATGGATTGGACAACATCAATTATCAGGGCTATCTGATGATTGCTTTTTCAAAAAAAATTTTTTTCAAAATATTTCTTTAAAGAAATATTTTTCATCTGCTCCTAAACAAAATGCAACGAGAGAATTAATGATTCCCATCGTGGAGCAGTGGAGGTCGGTGAGTTGGGACAGAACAAGAACTGCAGGTTTAATTTTTACCCAGGAAATCCGGGCTCCAGCTGTCTCCAACCTCCAAAGCCCTCACCACCAAACCAAATCCTGCCCTACTGACCAGAGGGCGATTGTCCATTGTCGATCAATGTGACTCTTTCCCAGCCCTGAGGCTCAGTCCTCCCCTCAGATATCCCAGGATATCTTCAAAATGTGGAGTGGCCTAAAGCTTGAAGTTAAGGTAGGAATGATATTTGGGGGCATGGAAGGAGAAGGTGATGCCTTAGCATCTGCAGGTGGAGTTTGGGCACCAGGATATGGCAAGAGGCCCAACCCCTTCCATGTGGTGTTCTGGCTTCCCTCCCTGGCCAGGTACAGAGACTGCACACGCCTTCCTTGATGGTCACTGTGTGGGCTGGTACAGCTGGGCCCCTCAGCCCAAGGATGGCCTGTCCCTCATGTTCCCTGAATTTGGGATCTCCCATTTGTCTCTCCTGGCTACACAATCATCAAGCATGTTTTCCTTCTCAATCTTTTCTTCCTTCCTCTCTGCTTTCTCTTCTCTCCTTGTCCTTGGGTTTCTCTCTCACCTCCTCCCTACTTCCTTCCCTTCTCCTATCCAGGTACTAGTACTAGGGTCAAGTCCTGTCAGGCTAGACTTCAGAACCATCTACAAAGTGCAAGATCCAGGCATAGGAGTGGGTGTAGTGGGGAAACTTTGGGCACCCCTCTGATGGGTTGTAGTTCCCACCAGTGAGCATGAGAACCAGGGTCGGGGGCAGGCCTTGGTGGACAGGCTGTGGCACCCGCTGGCATGAGTGTAGGCTGCATAGCAAGGTTGGTCAAACTGAGCTAGGCTCCAACAGCCATTGATATGTACAAAAGCCAAATGAGATTGGGACAGACTCGACAAGTCTGTTGCACATATCAGCATGCATGTAACTGGGTTGGGGGCTGGCCTGGTAGGGGTTTCTGGTGTTTGCCCCAACTAGGCTACAGTTTCTACTGATATGCATGAGAACCAAGTGTGTGGTGAGCAGGGCCAGGCTGGGTCTCAGCATCTATAGGTTTGAGTATAAGATGAGGCTGGAGAAAGAACTGACTGAGCAACTCCAAACATCAACGTGTGTGTGGGATGGTGTTGGTGACACACTGAGCTGAACCTTGTACTGGCTAGCAGACACACAGGAGTCAGGTTTGCACTTATCTCTGCTGAGGTTTTTTTTGAGGGGGGACACCAACTGGACCACTGGAATCAGAACTTCAACCACGGGGAAAATCATAGGATCTGTGGTCTGATCATGGAGTGCATGTGTCAGAACTGTGTCTCCTCAGTTGTTGAAACCTGTGCAGTGGGTGGCATGCCCAGCCCAAATGCACATGGGGGATATGGCAGTCCACCGGACTCTGCAGAGGACCTCTGGTACCATGGCAGAAGGTGAAGAGCAAAACAAATTGAACAAATCCCAGCTTGGACACCCAGTATCTGGGCAAATGGAGACTCTAGGTGGACTATGTCAGTCAATGGAACTTAGAAGGACTTCCTGAACCTCAGAGCAATAAAATCAACAGCATCCCAGAACTATCAAAACTACTTCAGCAGTCCCCTTGGAATATGCTCCACATTGGAGACCCTGCGATGCCATCAGGTGGCCATCCTCAATCCCCAGGTACTGATGCTATTGAACTACTGGGAGCTGCCCTTTCCCATTCTCTTCCTCCCCAATATACAGGAAGAAGAAAAAAAATCAAAACAGTTGTCTCATCCACTTTCGCCTATTAGTTGATCCTTCCCACCCTAATTGGTGGTCCACAAGGGCATGCATCCCCTCAATAATGCAAACGTCATCGAAAATAAAATTAAAACAAAAAACAATAAATAGTAAATGATGCTCTCAACACTGGAATGCACAGACATTGTATATCCAGATTTGAAAGAGACTGGATCTTGAACATCTCAACACTGTGGCATAGCAAGTTAATCCATAAGGACTGTGCCAACATTCGATAAGGGCAAAGGTGGAAAGCCTGGCCGCTGTACTTCCCCATCTTAATCCCTATTGGTTCACCTGGGAAAGCAGCAGAGGATAGCCCAAGTGCCAGATGCTAGCCTCCCGCTTGGGAGTTGTTGAAGGAGAACCAGGCTCTGGCCTCAGGCGTGGACCAAAAGTAGGCCACAGGTGTTACAGAAGTAGGGAGAATATTACAGGGAGTTGAAGAGCTCTCCGTCTATCTCTCTGCCTCTATCTGTGATTCTACTTTTCAATACTTAAATAAGTAAGAGTCAAAAAGAAAACACTGACCTCAAGGTGCACAAGGGAGGGAGTTATGGACTCTGCAAGGTGGGATCAGAGTGAACGTCCATTCTCCTGTCCTCTCACCTGTGTTTTGCATTTCCAATCTGGAAGAAAGAAACCAGGGAGCTCTATTCTTGTCCAAGGAGAGACAGCTTAATAAAGCAGAGGGCAGAGGAACCACCTCGGGCACTTGGATCCAAAGACCCTGCAAATTTTCCAGCCTCAGGCTCTCCCCAATCAGGAACAGGTGCTCTTACAGCCTGGAGGAGGCATACAAAGGAAGGAGCTAGTAAGAAAGATAGAGACCTTGAGACTGGCCCAGTCTTGCCCAGCACCCAGGATCCCGGGTCAATCCAATTTCTGGTTAGCACCAATCCTTTCCTTAACAGGGTCAGCTGACTCTGTGCAGAGTGAGGCCTCCTCAAGGTCCTCATTTACCTGAATGTTCCCACAGTCAGATGACTACCCCTGGGAGCCTGACTCCGGGTGTGTGAGTTGGCAGGTCAGCCCTGGCATAGCAGGGCTGGGCAATGGCAGCAGTGCCCAGGGATGGGGACATGCCTACCCTGTGCTGACCCCTCCTCCATCTTTGGGACCCTGGGGAGTTCCTTCTGTGCACCTGGGTGGGTGGTTGTGTGTGCACAGGGAGGCAGAGAGGATTCAGTGGGGAAGGGAAATGCAGCTGAGCTGGACATGGGTTCTGAAGGAAACAGCAGATACACACACAGGTAAAATGAAAGCTCCTGGGAAATGGAAGAAAAGGAAGGCTAACTCTGACCCAATTACAATAAACCAACACAGAACATTGATTACTTGCAAAGCAATTCAAAGAACAGAGAGGTGGAGTCAAGATAAAAAAGGTTATAGCAGTACAGTGGTCAAGTTCTAACCAGAGCCTAGGCAGTTGAACCTTAGCTAGCAGCAGATCAGATCTATACTTCTTCACTGCTCTGTTACAGCAGGTCCACACTCTTGTGTCACCCCAGCCTGCCTGTGTGTCACCTGAAAAGCCATTTGAGGCTGCCTGAGGTCCTCGTGGACCTGTTCTTCCTGGAGAGGCAGGTGGTGAGCCAGATGCAGGACAAGTATGTCTTCATCACGGGCTGCGACTCGGGCTTCGGGAACCTGCTGGCCAGGCAGCTGGACATGAGGGGCCTGAGGGTGCTGGCCACATGTCTGACGGAGAAGGGGGCTGAGCAACTAAAACATCAGACATTGGACAGGGTGGAGATGGTGATTCTGGATGTCACACAGAGCATCCAGGATCATTGCTGCAGCTGCCCAGTGGGTGAAGGAGCGCGTGGAGGATAGAGGTACCACCTACACTTGCTCATGCCTGCCTCTTCCTTCTGTGTGCCAAAGCCAGCAGTGCCTGGTGCCTGAGTTGAGCCTCAAGCCTCACTGTAAGGCTAAGTGTAGTGCCATGGCTGGATGTAGTGCCAGATCCAGGAGTGGCTGGGCCATACTTAGGGCAGGGCAAGACTGGGCCAGGCTCAGGGTCTCTGCTTTTCTTACTAGTTCCTTCTGTGTGTGCCTCCCCCAGGCTGTAAGAGCACCTGTTCCTGATTGGGGAGAGATTAAGATTGAGAAATTTGCAGGGTCTTTGGATCCAAGTGCCCAAGGTGGTTCCTCTGCCCTCTGCTCTGTTAGGCCTCTCATTATGTAAGAATAGAGATCCCTGGTTTCTGTCTTCCTGATTGGAAATGCAAAACACAGGTGAGAGGACAGGAGCATGGACGTTCATCCTGATCCCACCCTGCAGAGTCCATGACGTGTGCACTTTGAGGTAGCGTTTTCTTTCCTTTTGAGTTTTTATCAATTCAGACTGTTACAGAAGCAACTGAAACAGAAATACACAAAGCACAAACACAAACAGGGAGAGAGAGTTCTTTAACTTGCTGAGTCACTCTTTATGGCTGCTAAGCCATGGATCTGCTCTGGCCAATGAAAACCCAGGAGCTGGTGGGAAGTGGAGCACCAGGCCTTGATTCTTACATGTATGGTATGCTGCTATTGCACAAAGTGGATGAACTGTATCACAGTGAATATTTCCCTTACTGATTTCTTTCAACACTAGATGCTCACTGTCCTTGTATTCTGGTGTTGAGAGAATCGTGTATTTACCCAGTGTGGCACTGTGAGCTGTTGAAATGTGTTTCTTGCTTTTCCTGGATCGATGGACGTAAGCAAACGACTGCTGTAACAAAAATTCCTCCTCTGCTCCTAAGTTAATACAAGATGTTCAAGCAGGTCCTTTCTCTAATGCCATGGAGAGGTAAGCAGGGGCAGAGCAGAGCTGCAGGCTTAATTTCTATCCAGGAAATCCAGATTCAAGCTTTTCCTACCTTCATGACCACACCATCAAATCCTGCCCTGCTGAGCTGAGGGTGAAGGTCAGTCTGTCTGACTCCTTCCCAGTTCGAGGCTGGTTCACTCACCCCGACCTCCCAGCCAATCTTCTCAGACTCTGAATGTCTGGGAACTTATGAGGTTAGAGCAGGGGTGGTGTTTTGGGGAGAGCATGGGAGAAGAGGGTGACACTTAGGCATCTGCAGGTGGAGTCAGGGCACCAGGATGTGGGAAGAGGCCCCATGCCCTCTGCTTGGTGATCTGGGTTCCCTTCCTGGCCAGCGCAAGATTCCCAAGCAGAGACTGCACACGCTGTCCTGGGCAGACACTGCATGGGCTGGTGCAGTCGGGCCCTGTGGCCAAGGCAAGCCTGTCCCTCATGTCCCTCTGTCTCAGGCTCTCATGAGTCTCTCCAGCCTGTGCACAGATACTCATCAGCATGTTCTTCCTTCTCATTCCCCCACCCTCCTTCACGTCCTTTTCTGTCTTATTTTCGTCTTCTCTCCTCACCTCATTCCTCTCCTCTTTCCTTCCAAGACACACCTGCTGAGCTCTCCATTTTCACAAACCTTGTGCCTGCCCTTCCTGAGGATGGATTGAACCTGCTAGGCCCAGACCATGGGACAGAGAAAGCAGAGGCTGAATACCAGGCAGACACTGCCACCTGCAGCCATAGCGTCTTCCTTTGCCCCTTCTCCTATTCTCTCCGTACATTGTTAAATACTCCATCTGTGCATTCAATTTCAATATGACATTGAATCTCAATAGGGGAGCACTCCCTGATTCATCCTAGAGCTGCTCTCTCCTTTTCTACTGGCTCCAGGTCTCTGGGGCCTGGCAAACAATGCTGGGATGTCCCTGTGCTTGGCACCCAATGAGTGGCTCACAAATAAGACTTTGTGAAGGTGCTCACCATGAACCTGCGAGGGATGATTGAGGTGACTCTGAGCCTGCTGCCTTTAGAGAGGACGACCTGGGGCTGCATGGTCAACATCTCCAGTGTCTTAGATTATGTGCCACTGTTTGGTGGGGGCTACAGCATCTCCAGGTATTGTGTGCAAGCCTTCTCAGACTCGCGCAGGTACTTGATGCTGCTCTCAGGATCCCAGGGATTCCAGCAGGTACCTTTCCTCATTCTCTTTCCAGGCTGGCCACCCTGGGGGGCATGGATCATGCAGTACTGAGCTATACTCTTGGTCCTCCAAGTGTTGGATCAACGGTAGTGGACGGGGCGGGTATTTCTTGCTTTCTAGTCCCCACACACCACTTGTGGGGTCTGAGAGCTATGGGGCCAACCACAGGGGTCAGTGTGGGGATCTCCTGGGAAGGAAGTGGAAGCAGGGCAAGTATTGGGAACCCTTGAAACAGAACTGAAATCTGTACCCCCATCTCTGCCACTCTTTCAGGTTTAGTCTGCGTGGGAACATCTAGGGGCCTCAGCCCAAGCCTTAATTTCATGTTCACAAGAAACCCAGATAGTCCTTCAACTCAGGGTACCCTACAGACTCCCCCAGCCAGCATTTGAATACTGAGGAAGAAATCCCAAGCCCCTGGGGAGGGACTGCCCCTCTCCAAAGGAATCCTACCCAGGATCACACAGCACTTCCTGCTATCTGGGCCCAAGCAAGGCCAGCAGCTCCTCGAGGACTGACACTGATCACTGGGTCGCAGGATGCATCAAGGGCTACAGAACAGGGCTTTGGCTCCATCTCTCCCTTTCACACCCATTCTTGCTTGTCTGTCCTGTCTTATATTGAGGCCCACGCTCATGGTTCACTCTGGAAGGGAAGCAGGTGCCCCTTCCTTGTGAATCAGGTAGGCACAGTTTTCCAGGAGACACAAACACCCCTTTCAATTCCACATCAGGCCTCTCATCCCTGTCCTCCAAGAATGCACTAGACAGTTCCTCTCATAGTTGTGCACACCATGGTTGCAACGCCAACTTTGAGTCAGTGGGAGAGTGTGCACATGACAATGTTTATTCTCAAACAACATACTTCAAGGAAACCAAGTATTCAAAAACTGGGAAATCAGTTTCTGAGTCTTATCATGGGGTCCTATGAATATGCCAATACCCAACACCCCCACGCCTATGAGTCTACTCCCCAGGCCTCATGGACAGGGTCGCGGATGGCCATCCCACCCTCAAACAGTGCACAGCTGTCTTCAGAGGATGATGCCTCCTCTGCCCAGGCCATGCCACCCGTGAAAAGTGCACAATGTACAGACACACCACCCAGGGAGGCAGAGCAGATGCAGGCTCTGTGCACCTGCCACTCCCCCACTCTGTGCAGATGCGTCCTGAACCATGAAGCTGTGAGTCCTGAGAGCTGTTCCCAGGCTACATGGCACTAGGTGAGAGCTGGGGAGAGGCTGGAGCAGCAACAGGCCTGGGGACAGCTGAGATTGAACCCTACCCATTCCAGTGGTAGTCACCCTCCCTCTTAGTATTCCCAACTTTGGGCATGTAGGCAGGGCAGTAGTGTCCTCACAGGGCCTTGGCTGGCTTCGGGCCCAACCAGGAGACCAGGGCATCCACCAGGCAGGTGGGCAAGTAGCTCAGAGGGAGGTAGAAGAACTTGGCGTCCCAGCCAGGGGAGTAGCGGGTGCGGGGGTGGCGTGCAGTCAGTGCGTGCTCCATGCAGTCAGTCACCAAGGACAGGTCCTGCCTAACTGGCGGCCTGAAGTCTTCTGGTAGTTTCTGGTCTGTCCAGAAAGAGAAAGAATTCATGTATACTTCTGTGGTGAACCATGTGACCACCCATGACCGTGGAGCCTGGAGCTAAACACCACAATGTGCAGGGCATGAAGGATTTCCCTACGGTCTCTGCCAAGGTTGGAGACATAAAAGATGGACCCATGATGCCCACTGAGTCTCCTTCACCCCTCCCTCTGGGCACAGCTCACTCACAGGCTTCCAAAAACTCCAAGCCATAGAGCTCCTTGACCTCAGGCCTGGCATGGTCCCATGCTTCCTCTATAGAACATGCAAGTCTCTCTTTGTCCACTAAGTTGGTCTGGAAGAAACCAGGTTCAATCATGGCCACCTTCACGTCAAATGGCGAGAGCTCCCTCCTGTAAGCAAAGAAGCAGGTGCTGGTGTTTCACAGACAATGCCACTGTCTAGTTCAGCATCTCTGATGGGCTGTGTGATCTCTGGCTGCTCTACTTCTGATCTAGCTTCCTGCTAATGTGGCTCAGAAAGAAGACAAGGATGACCCTAGTGTGTGTGTGTCCCTGCACACACAGAAAGATCTGGAATGCATTCTTTGCCTGTGGACACTGGGGAACAAGCAGTCAAACAAAGAAATCTCTCTCTCTCTCTCTCTCTCTCTCTCTCTCTCTGAGATTCCTCATCCTGGGCTACTTCTCAGCTTCCTCACTGGGCTTCCAGTGTTCATTCTGCCCTCACCCAGGTATGCCACAATGCCTAAAGATCTCAGCCAAGGGGTCTCGGTGACAGAGCGGGTCTGTGGACTTGAGCCCAAGCAGGCCCTGTTGGGAAGCACAGTTCCTGCTCTGCACTCTTTGACTCTGCTCAGCCACATCAGAACAGGTCTTGGGTCCAGGATGCTTCCCTACCAGAAAAACACACACATGACCTGGACATGTGACCTGACAGGCTTCTCTCCTTGTGTGGAAATGTCTTTCCTGTGTCACACTGTGTCCCTAGCACCTGCTTTGGTGTATAAGTAAGTGGCCCCAGCGTTCTGTATGGAAGCTTCTGGAGAGAAGACTGGTCCTCATGCCGCTACAAGAGAGTATGAGCTGGCTGGTTGCCCACGGAGAAGCTGCCCGTTCTGTGCTCCTTCTGTGTGTGTGAAGCGTGAGCTCCCCCACCCCATGTTGCCAGGGCTGTGCTTCCCCTAATGACCTCAATGCCAAGGGCAGTGGAAGCCATATTTAGAACCCAGTCCCCTGGGACCCACAGCCCCGCAGGAATCTCTGAGTGCCCAGCTTCACCCTTCCTGGGCACTCCCTGACCACACCGCCTCCAGTGGCAAACAGGTTCCCTTAATGCTTAGGCTGGGGCCCCACCCCCCTGCTGTTTAGCACTTGGACAAGTAGTTCCCAGGGAATGGTTGGCTAAGACTCAGAAAGGCAGGGCAGGGTGATCACAGAGCCCAAGGCTGAGGGATCCCCAGCAGGTGCCATCGTGGTGTGTTTGGGGAAGGGCCAGCCAATATGTCCTGGGGGCAGGAGTACCAAAGGAGAGGCCCTGTCCCAGCTCTTTACCTGAGTGAGTCTGAGAAGGCCTCCACACCATACTTGGAGATGCAGTAGCCACCACCCATCATGGACAAGCGGCCCATGACACTGGAGACGTTGACCACGCGGCCCCGGGCCTTCCTCACCAAGGGCAGCAGGCTCAGAGTCACCTCGATCATCCCCAGCAGGTTCACGTTGAGCACATCCACAAAGTCCTGTTTGGTCAGCCACTCATTGGGAACTGAGTACCCAAAGACGCCGGCATTGTTCACCAGGCCCCAGAGCCCTGGGGACAATGGCAGGGAAAGAGCAACTCTAGGAGGAGCCTGTGTAGTGCCCACCTGGCTGGGGTTCCAATTCATGCCCACTAGATGGGCAACACTGTGACAGGTGTCACCTGGAGGAGTAGGGTAGGACAGATGACCTATGGTATTAGTCGGGCTTTGGGGCTGCCTGTCCTGGAAGCCGCTGGCACGCAACAGCAGCCTTCTTCCTCCTTCTCTTCCTGGTGCAGCTGGGTGCACAGTGGACAATGGGCTGCTGCCCCATGTTACACAACGGCAGGAAGTGATGTTGGAGAAGCCTCACTCTCCACCCTACCCCCACATGCCCCCTGTAGTATCTGGAGGTGTGGAGCTGAGTTCTGAGTGTTCACATGGAATGGTACCCTAGCAGTCACTGAAGGCATTTCTTCTGTTTTCAGACCTTTTTAGACACCATATAGGAGCCTTTGAAAACCTGTGGAGTCTGGTGTGCATACTAAATTAAAACACTGCCTGCTATACTGGCATCACATTTGGTCACTGGTTAGACTCCTGGCTGCTCCACTTCCCATACAACTTCCTGCCAATGCTCCTAGGAAAGTAGTAGAGAACAGATCAAGTCCTGGGCTCCTAAGCACATGTAAGAGATATAGAAGAAGTTCCAAGCTCCTGGCTTCAGACTGGCCCAGCTCCAGCTGCTATAGCCATGATGGAGTGAACCAATGGATGGATGATCTCTCTGTGTCTCTCTCTTTGTAACTCTGCATTTCAAAAATTTTTAAATTGGTTTTTAGAAAATAGTTTGTGGAAAAAGTCTATTACCTTTCAAATCCAATCTCTGTGAGCTTTCAATATCCCTCAACACAGTTGGTACTTGCTGTGGTTTGGGAATGCCCGAATGTCCCCAAAACCTCCTGTGCTCTCTGACTCCTGCTATGGGGTGTCCTGGACCACCCAGGGTTCTACTCGTGAGCATATACCACTGGGTTCCCGCGACCTTACCCATGTAAACCATGAGCCCACTGCAGTCTCTTTTCATGATAAAGTAGCCTGCTTCACGGATTTCATCAAGCTAACGAAACACACACACACAGAGAGTGCCCCACAAGCCACCTGATACAGGAACAGAAAGAAGAAGGTGGCTCAGCACGAATGGGAAGAGAAAATGACAAAAGAAAAAAAGGTAAAAGTAATGTCTGTCTAGATATTTTCACTGGGAACGAAAGACTTGAAATGCTTGCTTTGAGGCAGGCATTGCGGCATAATGCTTTAAGCAGCCACTTGCAGTGCCAACACCTCATTTGGCTCCAGATTTGATTCCCGGATGTGCTGCTTCTGATCCAGTTCCCAGGTAACGTGCCTGGGAAAGCCATAGAGGATGGCCATGTTCTTGGGCACCTGCACCTACATGGGAGACCTGGTACAAGCTCCTGGGTTTGGCCTGACCTAACTCCAGCTGTTCTCGTCATCTGAAGAATGAGGTAGCAATGGAAGCTCTCTTTCTCCCTCTATCTCTCTCGATCTTCTTGCGACTCTGCCTTTCAAATAAATAACTCACTAAAATAATAACAATGAATCAATCAATGAAGTACACAGAGATAAAAATTCTGCAAAATAGAAAACTGCAGAATTTATGACAATAAAATGTAGGAAATAGTTCCCAAGCACAGCATGTCAATTGAAGTAACAAAAAACTCAAGGAATATAACATGGAAAACAAATTTCTGTCATGTTGTAACAGCATTCATCTCTGGGCTGGTGTTGTGGCATAATGGGTAACAACTGCCTGCCAAGTGTTTGGGCTTCTGCCATCCCTGTGGGAGAGGTGGATGAAGCTCCTGTCTTTAGTCTGGCCCAATCTTCCCATTCGTGCTGAGCCACCTTCTTCTTTCTGTTCCTGTATCAGGTGTCTTGTGGGGCACTCTCTGTGTGTGTGTGTTTCGTTAGCTTGATGAAATCCGTGAAGCACAGCCATCCGTCACAGCCATCTCAGGACTGAACCAGCAGGTAGAAGATCTCTCCCCTTCTTGGTTTCTCTCCCTCTCTCTGTAATTCTAACCTTCGAGTGAATAAATACATCGTTTTTATAAAAAGAGAGTTCATCTTCTTAAAGAGAAAATATCATACCAATGTTGTGTTAAATTTAATCCACAGACATCAGAATGTCAGCAATACCCATGTCTGGGTGGTAATGTTCAGTGAATTTTGGTTTTACCTTCCAATTTCCCAGTATTGGACACAATGATCCCTCTCTATTTCTATTTAAAATTTTCAAAAAATCATTGTTCTTGTGTCCTTCCATAATGGAATACACAGGCTAGTATGCTTTTCCCTGGCTGGAAAGTGGTCTGTTCCTGGCTTCTGACCTGCCTGAGCCAGTCTTCAACCTCCTGATCTCCTGTGAAAAAGGAAGGATCATGCTGTTGGAAGGATGGATGCTGTTGGTCTCCAGTAAGAACAAGTTCAAGGGCTCAAGAGCTAGTCTGGCTCTAGCACAGCCCCAGACCACCACCTCCAACCCACAGCTCAGGGGTCCACTTCCCTCTAGAAAGTCTGTCCATCTGCAGCCCAGGGCCTCCATGTGGAGCAAAGAAGAACTTGTGTTTAGAAAGCAGGCCCGGAATACAGAGAGACTGAGTTGGGCCAATTCTCATCAGGATAGAAGACTCGAGGGCCAAGGGGGTGAGTGGGAACAGGAAAGAGTAGGAGCACAGGCTGGCAGGATGGGAGAGGGAAGAAAGCCAACATGACCTCAAGTCCTGAAAACCCTTGGGGCATCTGGCAGAGGAGCAGACAGGAAGAGACCCCAGGCACACAGAAGGAAGAGGCGGGCATGATCAGGTGCCAGGTGGTACCTCTGTCCTCCACGTGCTCCTTCACCCACTGGGCAGCCTCAGTGATGCTCTCCGTCTGTGTGACATCCAGGATCACCGTCTCCACCCTGTCCGATGTCTGCCGCCTCAGTTGCTTGGCCCCCTTCTTTGTCAGACATGCGGCCAGCACCCTCAGGCCCCTCATGTCCAGCTGCCTGGCCAGCAGGTTCCCGAAGCCCGAGTCGCAGCCCGTGATGAAGACATACTTGTCTGTCAGCTGGCTCACCACCTGCCTCTCGCGGTACCAGCGCACCAGGAAGAACAGGCCCACGAGGACCACCAGGCAGCCCCACATGGCTTTTCAGGGGACACACAGGCAACTGATCTTCAGAGCAACGTCTGGAGCTACCAAGCACAAGGCTTTGCCAGCCGCCTGGGCAGCCGATTCTCTGGTGTTGAGTCCTCACCTTCGTCCCATCTCCCTCTTCCTGAAACTTTTCTTTATCCTGCCTCATGCCTTTCCTCATTGACTGTTTCTAAAAGCAACAATAACAACAACAAAAAGACTACTCAGCAATAGTTGCATCCCCTGCCCATTCCTCTCTGCTGAGGCAGGTACCCCTGCAGGTGCCCAGACATGCAATGAAAGCTCTCTTATCTAACTTATCTAAGAGGAACGTGTACAGCTATAGGCTTGTTTTCTTGGCCTGCTGCACCTGCAGGTGTGACACACTAGACCAGACGCCCCATCTACACCTGTGCTTCCTCACGTGGCTCAGCAGCCAGAATGGCTCCTTAGGAAACCAAGTCACAGGCTCTCTCTTTGGGAGTGGTCAAGGGAAGGAGAAAGGGGAGAGGAAGCAGTCCCCTCCCAGGATGAATGCTGTGCAGAGTAGAGCTGGTGCCCAGGACATTGGAAATTAGAGAATACTGAAGTGATTAAAAAAAAAAGAAGAAGGGATTGAAGGCCCCTAGAAGTGAAAGTCCTAGAGTTGCAGGCAGGGAGGAAGGAAATGGCATGCACACAGCAGGTGCACAGGAGTTGGGCTGGAGGGCGGGAGGTTTCCTGCCAGGATCATTGGCTGGAGCTGAGCTGCTGGGCCTGTGTCACTGGAGTCTGGGTCTGAGGGCTGGGCTGGATCAGGCTCGATGGATTTGCCAGCCTGTCCTCATGAGGCCACTCTCTTTAGTACCAGGAAGACGCTCATTATTCCCCACCATGACTCCTTCAAGGAGGGAAACAACAAGGCTTTGGATTAGTGTCAATTTCACAACCTGTTCCTAACTCTACAAGCATGCAGCACCCCTACTAGGCCAGAGACAGGAACCTCCCCACTACACACACCCCCCCCCCCCACACACACACACATGCTCTTTCTGGCAGGAGTGGCAAGTTTGGGAGGCAGGAGGGAAGCACTAACTCTGCTCCTCAGGATGCCTAAGATAGCAAAGGAAAGGCGTGTGGGCCACTTCCCTCACCCCCAACAGGCTGCCAGAATTAGTCCCTGCTCAGAATTCCTGCAGGGAAAAATGCCCAGGGGGCAGGGGCGTGGGCCTAAGTCTGAAGGGACTTGGAGGCACAGGATCACTGGACGTCCTTGTCACCTTTTTTTTCCTTCTGCTATACCAGGCCCTATCCTTGCCACCCTAGGTGGAGCTTCAGAGCCAGCCAGCCCAAGCCACGAAGAGGTATCCCAGTGAGTGCAGAGCACTTCCCAAGAATGGATGTGGGTCTTGGAGAAGAACTCAGCTTCAAAGTTAAGGCAGTTACAGTTAGAAGCCTCTTTCAGGGTGGCAAAGCAGGAGCAGGCCTGTGAGACAGCATTCATTTACAGGCGGATTTTGGAGGGGGCAGGGGAGCCATTGCTAGAGGTTAGTTAGACTTGAGCCAGAGGTCCTGGGTGGATGGGAGCCAGGGCAGATCAATGCAAGCCCTCATGGATTTCTTAAGTGCCAGCTTTAGCTATCCCATCTCCTATCTCATGCCTGCAGTTAGGCTGACTTTGAGCTAACTGTTCTCAACTAGCTTTTTGGAGCTTTTTCTCAGTTTCTCTGCATAGCACTTTCTCGCTCTTTCTCCCCAGGGGATCTGGGTATTGCCTGCCTCATGCCAGGCAATAAGTTCATTAATACCCAATAAGTTCATTTTTTGTAGACATATAATAAATATTTTAATATTTTTCAATTTGTATTTTTTGGAAAGGAAAAGAGACAGAGAGGTCTCCAGTCCTTGGGTTCACATTCCAAGTGCCCACACCAGCTCAGGCTGGGCATAGGTAAAACCAGAAGCTGGGAACTTTATCTGGGTCTACCACGTAGGTGGCCAAATCACAAGTCCTTGTGCCGTCACATTCGGAGGAGGTAGGCCTTGAACCCCTGCATCCAATCAGGGATGTGTGTCCCCAGTGGCGTCTCCACTTGCATCAAACTCCTGCCCTCAATGGCGTCACTTCAGTGGGCTGAACACCAGAGCTCGGCTTGGGTGGACTTGGAGCGCCCTGGGGGCAGAGTCTCACCGTGTGTGTGTGTGTGTGTGTGTGTGTGTGTGTGTGTGTGTGTGTGTGTGTGTGTGTGTGTGTGTGTGTGTGTGTGTGTGTTTCCAGCAGCTGGCAGCAATGATGACCATGCAGATGGACTCCTGACTGCACCTTCCATCTGACCCACACCTGGCACAGCGTCCAACAACACAAGCCTCCATGCAGCTTCAGGGAGTCCTCCTATACCCCAGTGCCCAGGAATCCGTGGGCCTGCAATGGGGGCGGGGAGGAGTGGGGGGCGGGAGGAGGTTGAATACTGGCTAAGTGACCCAGCCAAAACTAGCAGCCAGAGAACAAGCTGGAAACAGGAAGAGGCTGGGGAAGGGTAGGAACCCCAGAGACATGGAGGAGGCCGAGAGCTGGAGGGTGGGAGAGGGCGCTGCTATCTGGGGACCCCCGATCCCTTGGCCTCTTTCCAGTCTTTCCAGGTTTCCTCAGGAAAGAAGCCCCTATCCTCCCCACTCGCGAAAACAAGAAAGGGAACGCATGTCCTTCCGGTCTGGGAGGATGCGGTGGGAGGCAAAGAGGGTCCCCTAGAGAACCCCCTTGGTCCCTCCCCAGATCCGCCCACCCCAAGGAGGCCCCTCCCCCTCCTCCACATTTCCCAGAAGGTACTCCTCCTGGCCCTGAGGAGCTCTACGGAGCAGGCATTTTTATCTTACTTTTTAATTTAATTGTTTTGGTACCTTTTGGACATTCCACTGCCAGCTACACTGCATACAGGTCCTCACTCGTCCGTGAAATTCAGGTCCAATGCCACAGCTGGCATTCGGCCTGGCTGTAAAGACATCTCTTGGGGCGACACCCACATCCCATATGGGTGTGCTGGTGTGAGTCATGGGCACTTTGGGAGACAGCCAACAGTGGCTTAACTCCTTGGGTTGTCTCCCTGCCACCCACATGGGAGACCTGGGTGAAACTCCAGGCTCCTGGCTTTGGCCTGGCCCAGCCCCAGGCATTGCAGCCCTGTTGGAAGTGAACCAGCTGATGGAAGAGCTCGCTCTTGCTCTGGCTCTCTGACTTTCAAGCAAAATCAACGTCAGTAAACAAGTCACAAAAATAAAAGCACAGCTCCACAAAACTAAATAAAAGAGAAAGTGGGTGTTGAGCTAATACTGCTGGTGGATGTGGAGAGAAGCCTGTCGGAGTGACTCGCGTGGGAGGGATGTTGGCTTGCCTTCTCCACCAGGAAGTGAAGAACGGGCCTGCTCCTGCCAAGCACGTTCTTTGAGGTACCATCTGCCCCCAGGAAGGAAGGCCTCACTTGGCCTGGCAAGAGACCGAGACTCAGCAGGGTCAGGTAGCTTGGCCAGAGTGGCACGTAAGCCACTACATGGCATCGCCAGGCCTGGTCACAAAGCCTGTGCAGCCTGAGGGAGCAGCAGCTGGGACCAAGGCTGTGCCCTGCTCTTCTTGGGGATCCTGCAGAAGGGCAGGGCCACCTCCATGGCCAGACCTGGTTTCTTCACTCAGGAACTTTCTGGAAGCCAGTTTTGGGGACAGCTGTGCAGTTATTCTCAATCCCTTCCACCCTGACCTGTCAGTCCACCTGCCCTGGTAAGCCAGGGTGCTACTGGGACTGGAACAGCTGGCCTCACCTCTCCCTCCAGGATCCAGGCACCAACCCTTCAGCCCCCCCCCCCCCACCTCCGCCGCCTGGAACCTGCCTGCCTTTATCTTTGCCCTCCCTGGCACCTTCCTTCCTTTGGAGCTGCTGATCATAATGTCTTCTCTGCAGTTTTCAGGGTGGAGGAACAAAGCGAGCTTGGGGTGGGAAAGGAGAAAGAGTGAATTTCCAGGAATTGTTTGCTGCTGCTACCCCAGCTGCTGAGACCAGGGCAATCTGCCCTCTCCCCCACTCTCCTGCCCAGGCTGGCAAGCAGCCCAACCCCTCCCTCTCTTCCTTCCTCCCAGGCTCTCTCTTTCAAGGTCCGCCCCACCCCCCATCAAAAAAAAAAAAAGTTGGGTGGAAACTGCCGACCTATCATTTAGTTCTTCCTGCCAAGCAACTCCTCCACCCGGAGCAGAAGCGTCCATCGTGTCCTTATGCTGTGAATACACACAGGGCAGTGGGCACAGATGGGCACTGGAACAGGTGGACTTGAGGCTGCAGGCGATACCTCCATGTGGGAGGGAAGATTCAGAGACAGGAGCCACTAAAATGCCACCTTGAAAGGCTCAGAAATAGCCATGGGTGTCCCCCTGGAGCCAGGGTTCCCCTTGCAAGGTGCCTTATCAGTGAGGTGCCAAGGCGTACAGAGAGAAGCAAAATTTCCCAGAAGTCCCTACATGAAGAAAGATAGCAGTGGGATGGAAACCGAAACCCCAGAGACAGAGAAATCAAACTGGGAAATCAAACCAACCACGTTTCAGCTTGTTGTAATTCAGACAGATTTCTGCATCTAGGCGTGGTCTGAGAGCTAAAGGGAGGGTTTGGTTGGAGCGAGTGGCTGGCACAACAGTTAGGTTGTAGCTTGGGATGCTACAGGAGTGCCTGGCTTCAAGTCCTGCTTCCTTTTACTTTTAAAAATATTTTAATTTTTTTACATTTTATTATTATTATTATTATCATTTGATTACACAGTTCCATATTCCCTTATCCCCTCCCCAATTTCCTCCCCCCACCTAGTTCCTCTATATCATTACTAACACATAGTTCTTCATACACAGTCATATGTGCATCATTGCAGGCATGGACAATGGCAGAGAGTCCAGAATCCTATTGTCAAGATATAGTAAACAGTTTCATTGTAAGTCCATCTTTGTCTGGAAGCAGAAATGCATACTACATTGCATCTTCACATCTGGATGTTAGTCTCCACTTCACAGCTATTGTACATCCCCTTAAATGAAAAGTCATAACACAAATTCAACAATAGAAAGTAAAATAGAAATTTACGATGCCGTGAAGTTAAATGACATATTACTAGATATGACAGTCTCCATTACACAACTACTATACATTCCCTTAAATGAAGAGCCACAAAACAAAATCAACATCAGGGAGAAAAAAGAAATTAACAACACCAAGGAGTTAAATAACATGCTATTAAATGACTAACGTGTAACTGAAGAAATGAAAAATCAAGAACCTTTGAAGAAAATGATGCCACGGCATGATCTACGAGTCATTGAATGATTTAATCAGAAGAAAGTGTTTTGAAATCTTTTTTTACTTGAAAAACAGAGTGACGGAGAAAAACAGAGATCTTCCAGTCACTGATACACTTCCGCAACAACTGACCTGGGCTAGGTTAAAGCCAGGAATCAGCTAGTCCAGCAGAGCCTCCCACATGGATAATGGGGGCCCTACCATGTGAGCCAGCACCTGCTGCCTCCCCGGCACATCAGCAGGAAGCTGAAGCTGGAAGCGCAGATTCCAATCCAGGCACTTTGTCATGGAGGAAGGATAAAGCATCTTGACCACTGCGCCAGAAGCCTATCCTAGCAGTCCATTGATGTAGAACTTCCAGATTGGATCATCCACGGGGACAGAGGACAGAAGGACAGTTGGAAGAGATTGGGGACTGGAGAGGACTGGGAGTGTCTGCGAAGGGGCTAAGATCCTTTCCTGGAGTGGCAGGAACAGTGTATGGGAGCCTGACAAGGCAGTGGCTATACATAACCATGTGTGTTCTAACTGCTCCAATATTGAGCATTTTTATTATTATTATTATCTTTATTTGAAAGGTAGAGTTACAGAAAAAAGGAGAGACAGAGATCTTCCATTCACTGGTTCATTCCCCAAATGGCTACAGTGGCTGGAGTTGGGCCAGCCTAAAGCCAGGAACCAGGAACTTCTGCTGAGTCTTCCATATGGGTGCAGAGGTCCAAGAACTTGGGTCAACCTCCACTGCTTTCCCAGGATCATTAGCAGGGAGCTGGATCTGAAGTGGAGCAGCTGGAACTTGAACCTGTGGCCATATGTGATGCTGGCACCACAGGTGGAGGCTTAACGTACTACACTACAGTGCCAACCCCTAGCATTGTGTACTTTAAACCGGTTAATTTCACATCATGAAACTTTCGCCTCCAGTGTATACAGGGGTCATCTCTCAAGTCCTTGACCTTGCACACTACAGTGTGGCAGGTGTGAGTCAGGCCTCAGTGAGGATGAACAAGCCCCTTCCTCCTCCCCTACAAGGCAGGGGGACACTCAAGGAGCCCAGGACATCAACCATGGACCATGGGGAAAGAGTTCTGCCAAACAAGAAGCACTGCCCACAGTGACCCAGGCCCTGAGACAGGAGAGGGAGATCCTATCTCCTGCCCCAGCCCATACCACACCCTTCCCCAGGGTAAGTGTGGAGACCCAGAGAAGAGGTTGTCTTGGGCACCAAGCAGGTGGGGAGCTGGACAGCCTGTGAGGGGCGAGAGAGCAAAAGGGAGTGCTGAGGGTTGGAGGAGTAGCAGGGAACAGACCAGAGTCTGGCTGGATTTTTATATTTCTTCTAGCCCCCAACAACTCAGTCCTGGTAGGAACTGGAGTGGTATTCCGGGCTGCAAAAAAAGAGACTGTGCGCTTGTTACGTGGCCGACATTAGCACAGGCTGGTGCTGGGTGGACTGCTCGGCCTCCAGGGCTCCCCGCTTCCAGTAGGCATGAGGGTCAGGTCATCCCACTTTGACGAGGAGATAAGACCCGAGGCTTTGCTGGGACATCCCCTCTAACAGGATTGGGGCAGAACAGGAAAACCCTATCCCTCTGCTCCAGGGCCTCAGCCAGTGACAGCTACTTCCCGGATGGAGGGCGGCCCTGCAGCTGGTGGCAAAGCCAGGCCTACAGCCACAGCTTGCGCACCCTCCTAGCAGCTTCTCCACAGCCCAAGCCGGACAGGAGCACCCAAGGGACATTCAGGTGCGTGCCACCCTAGACAAGGTGAGCATCAGGGGCTTGAGGGGGTTCTGTTGGCGCTAGAATTAATCTTTTCAGACACAAGCAATCCTGAAGCTCCCTAAGTCCCTGCCTAGGGGGCAAAACCGGCAGGTGCATCACATATTATTTATTCAGTTTGACTGTAAACCCTGCCCTCCCCTTGCTCATCCTTTAGGTCCCAGTCTCCTGTGGCCTTCTCCCTTGGGGACCCAGGTCACCTTTCCTCCCCTACCCTCCCTTCTCCTCAACAGGTGTTTGCCCGTCCTAATGACAGCCGCAGTCAGCTTGGGGCCCAGCCCCTCAGAGCCAGTTACAGTGGTGGTGGCAGTGACAGCAGCAGCCACAGAGTCAGCACCTGTGGCACCTGCCAGCAGCGAGTTCGGAGACATCCACAACTGGACAGAACTACTTGACTTCCTCAATGCCACCCTGTCCGAGTGCCACCTGGAGCTCAGTGAGGACACCAAGCGAGTGGTGCTCTTTATCCTCTATCTGGCCATTTTCGTGGTGGGGCTGGTGGAGAACCTGCTGGTGATCTGCGTCAACTGGCGGCGTGCAGGCCGTGTTGGGCTGCTCAACCTCTACGTGCTCAACATGGCCGTGGCTGACCTGGGCATGGTGCTGTCCCTGCCCGTGTGGATGCTGGAGGTCACCCTGGATTACACCTGGCTCTGGGGAAGCTTCTCCTGCCGCTTTACACACTATTTCTACTTGGCCAACATGTACAGCAGCATCTTCTTCCTGGTGTGCCTGAGTGTGGACCGCTACATCACCCTCACGGGCACCTCAGCCTCCTGGCAGCGCCATCAGCACCGGGCGCGGCGGGCTGTGTGTGCGGGCGTCTGGGTCCTCTCAGCCATCATGCCACTCCCTGAGGTAGTCCACATCCAGCTGATGGAGGGAATCGAGCCCATGTGCCTCTTCCTGGCACCTTTTGAAACCTATAGCCCCTGGGGCTTGCTGATCAGCCTCTCCACTACTGTCCTGGGCTTTGTGCTGCCCTTCCCTCTCATCGCTGTCTTCAACGTGCTGACAGCCTGCAGGTTCCAGCGGCGCTCTGGCCAGTCTGAGGGCCGACGCCACAGCCTCCTGCTCTGTGCCTACATAGCCGTCTTTGCCATCTGCTGGCTGCCCTACCACGTGACCCTGTTGTTGCTCACCCTGTATGGGACCCACATTTCTCTGCACTGCTACCTGGCCCACCTGCTGTACTTCTTCTACGACATCATCGACTGCTTCTCCATGCTGCATTGCATTGCCAACCCCATTCTTTACAACTTTCTCAGCCCCAGCTTCCGGGACCGGCTACTGAGTGCCGTGGTCCATTACCTTCCCAAGGACCAGGCCCGACGGGGAGGTGCAGGGGCCGCCTCCTCTTCCTCTTCCACCCAGCACTCCATCATCATCACCAAGGAAGGCGCCAGCCCACTGTCGGCAGTGGGCCCTGGGCCCCACCCAGGCCCTAGCTGCAGGCTGTCCTGCTTGCCTCCAAGCACCTCACCCATCTCTGCTCCTGAGCCTCCTGCACCCAGTGGAGGTGGACTCCGGGGCTCCTCGTGAGAACAGGCTGCCCGAAGGACCAGATAAGATTGCTGGGATGCGACAGAGAGCCATTTACACATGCAGCTGCATGTTGCGTGGCCCTCAAAACAGTGAGGTGGGGTGAGGGAGAGGAGTGGGGTGGGGACAGAAAACAGGTCCGTGGTGTTATAAAGTTTGTCCCAGGCCTTGTATCCCATGCAGTGGGGCAGGGTGGGGGAGGGGAAATAAAGCATAGAGGCTGCTCTGTCTCTGATGTCTGAAGGGCCCCATGTGTTTCTAGCTGGGGTGGGCTACTTAGAGGGAGAAACAGGACACCCATATTTCATTATCTCCCTGGGGGCCGGAAAGAAGGAGGTCAGCAGGAACCTGGCAAAGCATCCCCCACCATGTTTGTGCACTCACTCCACTTCCAGCTCAGGGCTTGGGTGGCGAGGACAAGAGGCCAGAGGCCAAGGACCCAGGAGGCCTGGGCAGGACATTCCTCTGGCTGTGATAAGTGGGGTGTGAGGCCAGGGCCGGAGACAGGCACCCTACAGCTGGGTCAGCAGGATGGTGTCTCCACCCCTGTCCCCCTCCCAAGCCAGGAAACAGGGGCTTCTTGTTTCCTGACCCATGCCTCCCCTCCCCCAAAGCAAATGCTCTGGGCTATAACTAGTATTCCTTGAAGCTGTGGATCTAAGGCGCCCGGAGACTTCTAGGGAGAGACCCCAAGCTCTCAGCATCACCTGTCACCATACCCTTACCCCTCCAGATCTCAGGGGACCCACCATCCCCCTCATCCCCAGCCTGACCCAGGGCAGATCTTGGGATAGGTGCCCTACCCCTCAGCCTCTGTCCCCTGCACAGGATGGGGGAGGCCACAGTGGACACTTCCCAGCTCTGTCGCAGGGCAGGGCACTGACACCAACACTGTGTCATCAATCAGCTCTCCCTGGCCACATCTTCTCATTGCTTTCCTGTCCAGCAACTTGGGTTCATAAACACTCATGTTAGAGATAAGCAGCCTTTGTTGCTGACACGTAGCTCTCTGGGAAAAGGCTCCATCATCAGTTTTAGTGAGTAGGACTGTGTCCATGAAGAAGTCTGGGTGGAAGCCCAAGATGGCTTGTATCTGTTCCTACTTCCACATCCTCCTCCAGTTTGTGGAGAGGGATAGGACTGTGAATGATCCCCAGTCTTGTCATGGTCTCCTCCATCCTGCTCCAGCACACAGTGTCTGCAGTTACAACTCACTTCCCTGACTCTACAAACCTAAACTTGGACCCACAGGATACATCCAACATGCGGTTCCACTGGTGCACACTCTCGCGTGTCTGGCATGAGGTTACCAGCAGGGCAGAGCTGAAGGCTTTGGGAATAAGTCTGGGTTGTGGCTCAGGCTTGCAGTAGGGCTTAACTTAACAATGCCAAGGTTGCAGTGAGAACCTTCTTCCCCATGCCTGCTTAAAATCCAAGGCAAGCAGCAGGTGTTCAGTCTAGTACTTGAAGACCTCACATTCCAGAGTCAGAATGCAGGGGCACGGGGACTCATCCCCAGCTGCAGCTCCTCGTGCCAGCTTCCTGCCAATGGAGAGGCAGCGGGTGATGGCTCAAGTGGCTGGGTTCCTGCCACCCAAGGGGGACTTGGACTGAGTTCCTGGTCCCAAGCTCCTCCGACAAAACAAAACAAAACGCCAAGATCTGATGTTCAGATCCTAACTCCACTGACCTGTCACATCCAGGTCACCTCAGAGGCCACTTCCCTAAGTCCCATTATCACCACCCCGGCAGTAGGACTCTACCCTTGGGGCCTTTGCACCCCCAGTCAGGGCAGAGCAGACACCAGCAGGGCTGACTGCCACGGGGCTGTTCTGCCTGGCCAGCATTTACCAAGCCCCTGTGGGAGCCTAGCCCAGCCCTGCACTGTGGGACCGGTGGACCATGAGCCTCCCACAGCCTTGAGCCAGATTCCTCCAAAGCAACACACCTGAGTTAACCTCATGAAATACTTCCTGTCCGCTCCAATCTTCCTCTGCTTTCACGTCCCAGTTGCCTCTCAGCCTGGTCCCAACGTGTCACAGGAAATGAGGCCCTGCCATACCTCAGCAGGCTCCCAGTGCCCACCGAGGGCTGACAGAGGATGTGCCCTGAAAGAGGTGGCGCCTATGACCACATTTTCTGCTACAAACAGGTCAGCAAGTGAACTTGGGGAATTCCAGTCACAGGCCAGGTTGGCGTGTGACCTGGAAGGTGGCCGGCACCTGCTGGGCACACATTTGCTGCCAGGAGGGTGGTGGTGAGGCCACACATTCTGAGCACATTCAGAGAACACAGGGAAAGAACTCCCATTTCCGATTTTTTTTTTTATTCTAAATAAAACCACACTTTGTGCTGAACAATGGAATATAAAAGAATCAGATGTACAACGATTTTAGACATCTACTATTTGGGGGGAAAAAAAAGTTTACAAAATATACAAAACTTTACAGCAATAGATAGTAAACACTTAAATATTAGGAGGTCAGTACTTATTAATTTAATGGAAGGAGTCAGACGCTGACGACTCTTCCCCGCTTCCTAAGAGACTTCAGTGAGTACCGCTGCGCAGTGGACACATGGGGCGGGGAGGTGTTAAAGGAAGATTAAAAGCAGGACAATTTCAATTCCATTCTGTGAAGTTCATGATGTATAATCCCACAGGAACCAATGTTCTGCACCTGCTTCCTGACCCAACCGGGCGGGCTCGAGGGAACAGGACGTGTGGGAACTCCCAGCATTGCCCCCACTTCCCCAGGCCAACCCAGTCAGTGTCCATCACTAATGGGAATTAAATTCACTTCTGAAGTGTAGTAGTCTTGGGTCTAGGCAATAGGGCACAGTAGACCAGGAGAGGCAAACTCATCAGTAGCAAAAAAAAAATCCTGACTGGGGAAAAAGATATTCAAGCCAAACCACCTGTCCTGGAGACAAAGAGGTGCTGACAGATGGAGAGATCACAATGGGCCAAAGTCAGACAGAACTTTCACCCATTTCCTGGTCCTTCAGGGTCCCCTGGACCCAACCCACAGCCCACCTTCTTACTACCCAAGTAACCATGAACCATGGAAAACTCTGGAGTCCTCAAAACAAGATCAGGACCAGCAGCGAGCCAGCAACAGCCCCCTCTTCTGGCTGATCCCAGGATGACACAGCAGTGGCTCACCCTCCGCTTAAGCAGCCTCTGTTCAGTTTACACGCTGCCAATTGCCACCTTCAGAGTCCCGGAAATTAGAGACAGGAGAGCTCCACAGAGAGCAGCCCTGGTCCTGAGGGGAGGAAGGGAGAGGGGTCAGGCAGGGCTTTGGGGCTGCGTGGCAGCAGCTCCAGGAGAGAGGGGACCACAAAGTAACAAATACTGGATAGAAAATTAAAAATGCAAAATAAACTGCACACCTCCTCTCCTCCCCACCCCCGGATCCCGGCCATCCCAGAGGGCCCTGTGCCCCCCGTAGTGTTTCAAGTAAGACAGTTCAGAAAAGGGTGAGCCAGGGGCACAGGTGGCAAACAGGCATGTCCAGGTGTGACCAGGGCCCTGGAGCTACTGATTCTGCCTGTGCCATGTCCAACTGCACCTACCGGTTAGCATGGTATAGGGGTACTGGGGGACAAGGGAGCAGGTTTGTGGTTTTAGTTTAATGTTTCAAGGATCTGCTTTTTGGTTCGCTGGCAAAAAGGAAAAAGTTCACAGCTTCATATGATGTATACAGACCTTCTGGCATCCCTGATGCCTGTTAAGGAGAAGGGTCCCTCCAGCATGGCTTCACCCCGCCCAGCTACCTAGCTGGGTCCCCAAGCACCTCTCACATCTGTCCCTGCTGACCGCCCCTGTTCCCGACACTAGGCAGACACCTACTTGAGTGTGGCCTGTCACTCATTTCTTCCTAAATGTCTGAGAAGTCTCCTGCTGCTAGCCCAGGGCACAGGAAGCAATTTGGGCTCTGATGGCCAAGAGTGGGCCTTTGGCTGGCCCCTGGATGGCCACACCAGCAGAGAGCCAAGTGCTGCAGCAGGCACAAGCTGCAGTTCGCCAGCACAGCTCCAGGGTGACAAGGACAGGAGGCTTCAAGTGCTGGGAGAGGAAGAGGCGTAGCTGCCACAAAGCCCTGTGTGGCACCTCAGCCCCCTCGGTGCCATCTCCACCCACCCCTTGAGTAATGAAAGGTCTGGGAATTGAACCAGCCCCAGCTTTCCAGAACTTACCACCCATTCCAAAGTGGGGGGATGGGGCATAGCCTAATGAGTTCCGGGGCTGAAGAAAAAGGATGTTTCACAGCCTCAACACATTCTCCCCTGGCTATAATCCCCAACTCTCTGGCCAGGACTGTCTCCTACAATATGGCTACTTGCTGAGAGAAAACTCAACTGCCTGAAGTCTCTCATGCAATAGAGATGCTGGGTCATATGTATATATTAAAAAAAAAAAAAGGAAAAACTCCAAAATAAATAAGAAGTAGTAACGTCCAAAAAGCTCTGTGGGTTCCTTAAAACCACAGAGACAGCCCAGGGTACCGCTGCGTCCCTCAAGGGCCTGTCAGACCGTGGCCAGGGGCTCCAGAGCACTCCTGAGCAGGGTGAGGTAGTATGAGCTACTGAGGTGCCACCTTGTGGGTATGCAAGATCCAGGTTCCCCTCCCTCCAGCCTTCTTTGGACAAGACCCGAGCATAAGCCAACCAAGAATGGAGCCAAGAATGGAGCCACAGGCCCGGAGGACCTGGATACCTTGGGAGGGCCCCAAGCGACTGCTGTCCAACAGCGCCCCCTGGAGGTGATGCAAGGACAGATAGAGCAAGCTAAATTCCAGCAGGCTACAGGTGAGAGGCAAAGTAAACAGGTTGCCCCCATGACAACGGAGACAAACAGCACACACACCCTGCTACACAGGGCCCCTCTGTCCTGAAGGGCGCATAGTTCGACACCCCACCGCCTTGTGGGTTCTTCTCATCTCTGCTGCCGGCCCAACACCTTTGGGTGGGGGAATGAACATAAATTAAGGCAAGGCTGCAGTGGTCTGAGGCATCCCCACCTCCCCACCGGGAGAGCAAGGTCAACGGAGGTGGCCAGCACGACATGGGGTCCAGCAAAGTGGTTCCTTGTCCTCTCTGCCCCACAGGGAGGACCCGGGCATCCTGGGCCGTCACTCAGCAAAAATCACGTCTCTTTGGAAACAAGAAGAAAAGAGAGACCTCCTTTCCTGTCCCTCCAGGTGGCACTGCAGGATGCCCCTTCCGGCTAGCAAAAACTCACCCCAAAGCTTCCTGCCCCCAGCCAGGCTCCAGCTAGCAGGGGGTGCTCAGTGTCCAGGCCGCAGAGCCAGGTTGTGGGGCCAGTAGGCACCTCCATCCTGACACCTTCTCCCTGTGGAGGATTGGGCACAGCCACCTGTGGGGAGGGGGCCAGCTGACCAGTCCTCTCTTTCAGGATCACATCACCAACTCCTTCTCACAGCTGGCCGGCCCAGCCAAAGGTCTGGCAGAACACGCACAGTGAAAACAAATCTCTCTCTCTCCTCTCTCAGGTGAGGCTGTCGGCTGGATTCTTAGCAGCATAAAAACCTATCTGTAAACTAAAACCAGAAGAGCCTGGGGAGGGAGACCAGCTGACACGAGCCACTCGCCTAGATCCCAAACCTGGCCTCCAAAGAATCAAACACACAGCCCTTGGGGGGCAGGAGCGGGTGTGGAGGGAAGATGCGATAGGGCCTTAGCTTCTGAAACAGCGTGTGTGCTCTTTCTTCCTTCTTTCAACACAACAAAAAACAGAATTCCTCACAAGGCAAAATTGTAACTTGGGCTAGGGAGGGATCACCAGCCATTCGGAAACCAGGGGCCTTGGCTGCCCCCTCGCGTGCTCCCCCATGTCGCCTCAGGGCCGTCAGCTGTCTGGGCTCTTCTCAGCCTCCTTCGAATGAATTATGTACATGAAGGTCTGCTCGATGGTGAAGTCGGGCGGCAGGCTGCCCTTGTGCACGCCCACGTGCTTGCTCATGAGGTTGAGGGTGGAGCTGTAGTGGCCGCAGACCGTGCAGCGGTACATGAGGGCCCCCGAGTGCGTCTTGAGGTGGCACTTGATGGTCGAGCGGCCGCGGAAGAACTTGTGGCAAACCTTGCACTGGTAGGGCTTCTCACCCGTGTGGATCCGCCGGTGGTAGTTGAACTCGCTCGTGTGGGCAAACCGTTTGCCACACACTTTGCAGCTGTACTTGCTGTTCCCGGGCTGGCCCTGCAGAGCTAGCTCCTCGCTCAGAAACTCCTCAGCTGGCAGCTTCCGCTTCGGGAGACTGGGCAGCTGCAGCCCCACCCCGGGCCGGGCATCAAGGCCACTGTTACATTTGTGCTGGCTCACGTGGTAGCGGTAGGCAGCCTCCGACTTGAAGCTCTGGCTGCACAGGTGGCAGCGGAAGAGGACGTCATCCAGGCTTTGGTGCACAGCCATGTGCTTCTCCAGCAAGTGCCAGTCCACAAAGCTGTTGGCACAGACGGAGCAGGAGAAGACAGAAATGCCGAGATGGGAGAGCGTGTGCCACATGAGGCTGCAGAGGTTGAGGTGACGCTGGTCACAGACACTGCAGGCCTGGCCCTTCAAGTTCACGTGGTCGAGGATGTGGCCCCGGACCACGTGGAAATCTTTGGCCAATGCTTTCCCACAGGCAGCGCATTTCAACTCCGGGCAGGCCGTCCCTGCAAACAACCCCAGCTTGCCAGGCAGGGGGTCGCTGGGGTGGACGATGATGTTATTCTCAAAGATCCCGTCCCGCCGGTGGAGGGTCAGCTGCCATTGGGTAAAGAACTTGGTCTCACACATGTCGCAGGAGAAGAGGAAGATCCCGATGTGGGACAAGACATGGGTCACCCGGGAGTTCCGGTCCTGGAAGTGGGTCTCGCAAACCTTGCAGTTGCCTGTCAGCAGGTCCACGTGGTCCCGGGCATGCTGGCGGATCAGCTGGATGTTGGGTTCCAGAACTTTCTTGCACACCTGGCAGGGCATGGCCTTACTCTCCCGGTTGTCGCTCTCTCCAAACGTCAGCTCATCTTCACTGTCATCGCTCAGCTCAATCACTTCCTCCGCCGTCCCCATCTCCTCAGCGGGATCTTCAAACTGCAGCTCCTCATCGCCCAGATCCTCCAGCTGCAGCTCGTCCAGCTGCCCAAAACCTGGGTCTCTGGAGTGGTCACTGTTGCTCAGGCAAGAATTGGTTCCCGTGGTGACGTCCACCCCGTGGTCAGGAGGGAAGAAGCTGTTCTTGCCAAAGTCCCCATTGCTCTGAGCTTTGTAGGGCTGGCAGGAGCTTGTGCTGGTCTGGATGCCCGTGCTCACAGTGCCCAGCACTGGCTGGTTCGCCAGGCTGGGAATGGATGGACAAGGGGCAGGCGTGTCATGCTCTTCTGTCTTGGGTGGCTGCGACAGGGGCAGGCCATGGCTGGCATCACCAGCCACGCTCCGTTCTTCCTCTTTGTAGCTGCCGCCCGCATCACTAGCCAGCACATAGTTCCTATCAGGGCCGAAGTGCTCCGTGCTGCCACTGCGGAGGTCCCCCAGGGGATGGGCGGGCTCAGTGGAGGGACAGCCTGGGGCAGCCGAGTGGCTGTTGGTGCTGCTGGCCAGGGGCTTGGCCATGGCGGAGCTCTCCAGGTCAGGGAAAGTGGAGTGGCAGGCCTGGAGGAGGTCCTCCATCCCCAGGCGCTCGGCCACCTCATAGATGACCCCCACGTTGATGAGGTCCGTGAAGAGCTCCGAGGTGTAGACAAAGCTCAGAATCTTCTCAAAGTTGGCAGGGGTGATGAAGTCCACCACGTAGGTCCGGGCGGCGTCAAGTCCGGTATTCAGGAAGAGGTTCTGGAAGTAGCCAGCCGCGCAGGCCAGCACGGCCTTGTGGGCCGGGAAGGAGCGGCTCCCCACCACGATGGTCACATCACACATGGTCTCCGAGAGCCGGCACTTGTTGAGCTCCTTCAGCAGGTTGTTGGGGTGGTTGGTGCTTTGCAGTTTAATCCTCATGCCCATCTTAGCAGCTCCCACGGCGGTGCCTCCTTCTCAGCACGCTTAATCTGTGGGTGGCAGCAGATAACCATGAATGAAATGCCACCCTGTTGTACGCTTCCGGGCCCCAGAGCTGTTCCCTCCTGCCGGGGACAAGGGACGGGCCAGCCCGAGACTTCTGCTGCATACACCCAGACACACAGCCACCATGCCAGAGGGTAGCTTGGTTCTCAAGACTTGGGGGACAGAAGAAAGGAATGTCTGGCTGGGCAGAAGCTTACACCCTGGCACCAAGGCAGAGCATTTCCTCCAATGCCACCCTGCACCTGCTTCCCAGGGTGCCTGGCTCAAACTGTTCTCCTCCAGATGCCCTCCCCTAAAACAGGCTTGCCTATCTGGGCAAGCATCTCTTCCCTGGCAATGCCAAGTGCCCTCCCCCCCCCAAGACACACACACAACAGCCCCCAGCTCCTGAACGAGCCAAAGATAAGCCTGTTCCATCTTGACCTTTTCCATCATTGCCACCACCTCCAAAACCAATTTCAAGCCCGAATTCCAATCCCCTACTCCAGACCCTCCAGCCTTGGCCATTTCCACCAAGGAAGAGTAGGAACGCCAGGGGAGGGCTCAGTGGCCTGTCTGCACCGCCTGTGATTCAGCTACACTGTACTCTCTTTTGCTGCCTCTTTTGAGGGTTTTGCACACACTGGCCCTGTACCCACAGATGCACCTGCCTTGCTAGAAGAGACTGCTAACTTTGCAGGTAAGACTCCGGACTGCTGGTCGCACACCACTCTCTGCCCCCTGGGATGCTGGGCTGCCGGAGGAAGAAAGACCAAGCCCATTCCTGCCCCCTGCTGCCCACCCGCCCTGCCCAATCCGCTCCCACTACCCAGCCCACCCCCTTTCGTCTCCATCTCTCCCCCACTTCACCAACAACTTTCAACTTTTTCTGGGAGCCCAGGAAGCTCCGGAGTGCCTTTGGGTACTGGCCTGGCAGCTCCAGGGCCTGGTGGCCCACACTCAATGGCCTACGACCAGTCTGGGGGACACTGGCGAGTGCTGGCGGGAGGGGGAGCTTCGGAACTCCCAAAAAGGGAACCCCCAAGAAGCCGGCGACGGTCGCTCTCTGTTTGAGAGCAAGCGGTGCTGGATTGGCTTGGGGAGCTCCATCTCGGGGTGCGATGGGCGCCCCAAGCGCCTCGGTCCCTCCCCCCCACACACACACACCCACACCCAGAGACAGCGCGGGTTCCTCCGGGTGACCCTGGGTACGGGGGTGAGAACGGGTCGGGGGCACCGGGCTCCGACGAGGGCCCCCAGGGAGCCAGCGGCGGGGGTCGGCCAGGCCAGGCCAGGGTCCGCGCGCCGGCGGGCAGGAGGCGAGTCCGGCCGCGGGGAAGCGGCTGGAGCGAGTCCAGCGGGAGAGCAAGGGAAAGGCCGGGCCGGGGTCGGGCCCTGGCCAGGACAGCCCTCGGCCCGGCCGCGCTTACCCGGCTCCGCGGGCCCCGAGCACCATCGCCACCGCCGCCTCACACAAAGGCCCCGGCCCACTGTGCCCGGCCCGACGAGGAGGCGGCGCCGCTGGCCGCGGCCAGACTCTCCATCCGCCGCGCCGCTCGCCGCGCCGGCCCGGGCCGCCCCCGCCGCGCGGCCCGCAGCGCCCCCCGCCGTCCCGGAGGAGGCAGCGCCCCCCGCCGCCGCCGCACGGCCCCGCAGCGCCCCCCGCCGCCCCGGAGGAGGCAGCGCCCCCCGACGGCGGGGCGGGCGCGAGGCCCGGCTGGGGACCCCCTGCCAAAGCACACCCTGATTCCATCCAGTCTTGTGGACCTCTGCAGCGTGGCGACCCGGTGCCGGGACAGTGAAGCCCTCTGTCTCAGCCCCAGGCTGCCATGTTTCCTGCAAGCTCAGCACTCCAAGCCTCCTGCGCAAGAATTGATATAGAATGTTACAGGCTTGCCCCGAGTCCCCCTCCTCCTCCTCCTTGATCCCCGGACCCTTCATTTAAACCCTACTCCCTCCAACCCCTTGCACTGCCTGACCAGAGCCACAGCCCAGCCCAGCGCTTTCCGGATAGGCACACAGTTGGTTGGAAGAATTCTTTGGTGGAAAAATGGAAAGGAAGGACACGTGGGATGTTGTCCACTGATGGCAGCCAGCGTGGCCTCACAGCAGCATGTCAGGTCTCCTGGTGACTTTGTGTGTCCTCACTGTGACACCTCCCTTGCCGGTGGTCAGTTACATTGGAAGCAGGCAGGTGTCCTGTTAGCTAGGGCACATGGTAATGGCCACACAGCCTGCCCGTGTAGTGTGAGAGCAGGAAATGTCCCTGTGAAAGTGTTCGTTCTGTTAAAGGCAGGCAGCCTTCCCCTTGGGCAGTTGGGACATGGCCCTCCCAAAGTGGACATCACACAGCTGCAGGCCAGGGGCCTCCAGCATGACTTCTACAGAGCACAGGTGTGTGATCTGAAACGGGGCTCGGTCCGTTCACTCTGCCTGACCAGCTGCCTTAGACATCTCTGCAGAGTGGAGCCCCAAGACTCACACCAACAAACCACTCAAAGCGTATAGATACTGTTGAGACACAATTGTTTTAAAAATAACTTACTGGGGTTGGCACAGTGGCACACAGGATTATGCCACTGCTTGCAATGCCAGCATCCCACATTAGAATGCTGGCTTGAGTCCTTGCTGCTGTCTTTCCCATGAAGCTCCCTGCTAATTTGCCTAACAAAATGGCAAAAGATGGCCCGAGTGTTGGGCCCTGCATCCACATAGAAGACCTGAATGGAGCTCTGGGCTCTTGACTTCAGCCTGGCCCAGCCCCTGGCCATTGTAGTCATTTGGCAAGTATAACAGCAGATGGAAGATCTCTATCTGTCTGTCTGGTGTGTGTGTGAGAGAGAGTGAGAGAGAGAGAGAGAGAGAGAGAGACTCTGTCTTTCAAATTAATAAACTTTTTAAAAGTAAATCACTAGGGCAGCATTGTGGTATGGTAAATAAAGCTGCTCCCTTCAACACTGACATCCCATACGGGTGCTGACTCTTGTCCCAGCTACTCCATTTCTGATCTAGCTCTCTGTTCATGGCCTAAGAAAAGCAAGAGAAGATGACCAAGTCCTTGGGCCCCTGCCACCCAGGTGGGAGACCAGGAAGAAGCTGCTGGCTCCCAGCTTCAGATCAACTCAACACTAGCTATTGTGGCCATTTGGAGAGTTGAACCATCAGGTGAAAGACCTTCTCTCGCTGTCTCTCCTTCTATCTTTGTAAAAATATGCCTATCAAATAAAAATAAATCTTAAAGAATAATCAAGAGTAAGTCACCACACAGCAAATCACCATACAGTCACAATACACAATCCAGGGAGCTAAATGGAGAAGAAAGGGCCAGAGACAGAGCTGAGGGCATGTCAGCCAGGTGTCCTTAGGCATCGACCTTTTTGCGGCAGGTGGAGGAGGGTGGAATTTCTTCAGCTGTCCTCCCAGTACAAAATCAGGATGGAACTGAAGCATGTTCATCTCTCCTGGAATCTGCAGGCCTGCAGTTCCTGCAGACCCCACCAGAGGGCATCCTTCCCTCATGCCTGCTCCTACTTTCCAAGGTAATGGTCTGCTCCCCTGGGTGCCTAACACCCACCCAGGTGGTACAGAACCAACCCCAGGAGGAGGCTTGCCTGACCCGAAAGGACCCCCACTTCCCTGCCACCAGCAGACGGCCTAGGTGGCCCCTCCAGAGATGTCATTTTGCTAATGCAAAGCACTGAGTCCCTGAAGAAGGACTGTGATTCAGGCTGGCTGGGGCATTCTTTGACACCTGCTTCTGCAGTTGGCACAGGTGCTGTCAAAAGGAGCTCCCCCATCCTCTCCTTGCCTCCATCAGGCAGCTAGTGATCCAAAGCAGGCTCTCCATAAGGTTCTGAGTTCTGGGATGGTAGAGCGTGGCCAGACAGAAAGAACTTGTAGGACGTGGCTGCCTTGTCTCCAGCCCTTGCACTGACTGGGGAGAGTATAAACTTTATCTTTGCAATTCAAGGATAAGATGGAGGTCACTACACCAGACTGAACCCGGGGGCCTGAGGACTCCCCAGGCTCTGCAAGAGGACAGACACTTCCCTCCACACACACAACTCCTTGGATTCAGTGGACTGTTGACAAATGGCACATCAGATTATTAATCTGCTTATTGATACTTAATTTAAATTATTAATCAGATTAATAATCTGATGTGCCAAGACACCACCCCCACATACACAACTCCAAGGCCAGTGCTGTAGCATCCGGTGTAATAGGCTCACAACAAAGACATCTGAAGTGTTCCCCCACTGTAATAACAGGCCTCTGAAGGCGGCAGCTGTGGCCTGACTTGGTCTCTGCAATAACTTCCTGATTGCCCCTCCATGACAGCTGGATCAGGGACAGTGCTGCTGGACTCCAGTGCCTGTGGGTCACCTCCCATCCCAGAACCCACGCTCAACAAAGAGATGGGAACAAGCCACACAGCGCTGTGGGGACATCCCACACCCCTCCAGTCAGGACTTCACTTCTGGCTCGTTTAGGCACCGATTCAGGAACTAGAAATACAAGCAAGTCATGCCAAACATCTGGACTGTCTTTACAGCCTTTATTTGCTAGGAGTCATCTTCCAAATTCTTTTTTTTTTTCTTTTAAGATTTATTTGAAAGAGATAAGAAGAAAGCTATCTTTCATCCACCAGTTTACTCCCTGGATGGCTGCAACAGCTAGGGCTGGGCCAGGATGAAGGCAGGAACCTGGAGCTTCCTCTGGGCTCCCACGTGAGGGGCAGGGGCCCGAGCACTTGAACCACCCCTACTTTCTCAGGCCACGAGCAGGGAGCTGGATAAGATGTTGTGGTGCTGGGACAGTAGCTGGTGCCCATGTGGGATACCAGCATTACAACTTGACCCACTATATCACAACCCTGGGCCATATTCATTTCTTTGTTTATTTGTTTTTAATCTGAGACCAGCTGTGCACAGCATTGTTTAAGGCACTGCTGGGGAAATGGGTATGTGCGCAAAACAAATAAACTCTCATTTCAGTGAGATATGGTGCTCATGCGCAGACATGCATGAGGAAACATCAAAAAGTTCATGAGAAGTGGAAGTGGATGATAAGCTCACTTGGGTGCAAAAAACAATGAATTCTACGCTATTATTCATACTACACATTTTCTGCAAAGTGCACTTGTGCGTGGAGTTTTGAAACCACATATGCATGTATGTAGGTGTGTGTTTATGATGTAGAGGGATGAGACAAGGCAAGGAAAATCCCACCAAGTAAACACCTCACATCCCTCCTTTAGGGAAGTCCTTTATTGTTGAGGAAGAGAGAGAGAGAGATAGAGACGTAGTATTTTCAACACAAGACACTGGAGAAACCCCAGGGGCCCCAACAGGCAAACCTCCCTGGGGCAGGGGAGGTATCAGAGTCAGGAAGCAGTAAATGCACAAGGCTAGCTGAAGGTTGAGAAAGGGAAGAGGGAAAACATGCACCTGGGAGCCCCAGGCAGGGAGCTGGGATCTTCCTGAAGCAGCCCAGGAGTCCGCAAGGAGAGTGCTAAAGACAAGAAAAAACAAAACAAAACAAAAACCTAAAAACCTACATCACATTTGACAGCCACAAAAATGCTACTAAACATCCTGTTTTCCCTCCGGCCCTAGACCTTGGAAGCCTCAACTTTCCTAGCAGAAAGTGCAGAGCCCCCATCACTGCTACTCTGAAAACCTGCGTGTGTGTGTGTGTGTGTGTGTGTGTGTGTGTGTGTGTGTGTGGAGTCTGGGGGGTGGCCCTTGCAGGGAGATGCGGTGAGCAGTGCCCCATGAGCCAGACATATATGCAGCCTCACCCAAAGTCCCACCCCACCCACGGCCCACATTGCCTCAGCATCATTGAGCCCCCCCCTTCAAGGAGCCTCTCAGAGGTCGGAGAGACCCAGGGAACATCTCCCATGCAGTAGTTTCACATGAATGAAGCAAGAGGATATGCTGTTAGCCTGTCTCTTCTAATCTCTCCAAGGCAGCCTCTCTGATCTGCAACCGCTGTCCTATGCTACCTGCTATTGTCCTATTCTGCTAGGCATCTAACAGATGGAGAATGTCCCAGTTGAAGCCAGCCATTATGCACCTGGGCCCTCTGAAAAAGTCTGGATTCTCCGACAAGCCTTAGAAGTCAATTTCCACAATGCATTTTTTTTTCTTTATGCCATTTGTATAAAATACTATGGCAAAATTGCACTGTAATTATCTTTATGGTCGGTGCATACGGCTAGAGGAGAGGATGCTATCCAGATATAGCTGCCCTAGTAATTACCCGGCCGTCTAATGAGAGCAAGATGATACAGCCAGCTCTGGGTAATCAGCGAGTTACAGTTATTATAGCTCTCAGTACCCTGTCGTCCAACACTAAATGGGGGCCCAGACACCCCCCCACCCTCATCCCAAGGAGTCACCACGCCTGGGCAGTGTTATCCAGGGGTCTAGATCCAGCCACCCAGAGGTCCAAGAGTGGGAGGCAGGGACTCAGGAAGAGAGGCAGGAGTCACTGCTCCCCAGGGCTCCCCAAGGCTCTCCAAGGCTC